TTTCATTTAATCGATAAAAATTGAATCTTTTACCCCGTCAATTTTTATCTCGCGAAATTACGTAAATGTGACACGCAAATGAGAGCTATTAATAAGTGGAGAAGTTCGTTTTTTATTTATATACATTTATTAAAGCGCTAGCGCGACTTCGTCCGCTTAAAATAGTTGGCGTTAAATTTTGTTTTTGCAAAACTCCTCCTCAACATATTTAATTATAAGTGTTATCCACGATGTCGTTCGGGTCTCATCGTTCTTTTAAGGTAATCTGAAAAGATGTTGTACGCGGACATTTATTTAAACCTTTAGAGTGGAGTCATTTTTTTTCAAACATATTTTTAGGTTTCCGCAGCTATGTAACAAAAACTCTCAAACATAATTATTTTCCCCGTTTCCTCTATATTTCTTCGATCCTATTGGTAGCTATTTTATAGACTTAAGCCTTACTAGAAAAAACGTACTAACCGACACAAAAATAATTGATTAATTCAAACTAGTAGTTCCTCAGATTAGCGCGTTCAAACAAACAAAGAAACACTTCAGGCTTATATTTTTAGTATAGATGTTATTATAATGACAATAATAATATTTAAATAAAACGCTTTAACGGTTGATAACGCGATATATTAGTTAAACTTATTTGACAATGATTTTTAACTTCGGCCCGACATTTCGGATGCTTTGCAGCAGCGGCTGCAATCTATCTATATATCGCGTTTTAAACCATTAATATGTACTACTAGCATAAACTATGGACAGTATTCAATAATAATAGTAAAAAATAAAAGACATCGTATAGAATGGGTACAAAGTAAAAAATAAATAAATCCACATATCAAGTTTTATTTTTCCGACAGCAGTTCTCTCATAAGGTTGGATAGGCACCTAATTTTAAAGAAACCTGACCCAGTTAAAAAATGCGGTCATCCAAAAAGGGTCCCCTTCAAAAAATGTTTCAACGCATAATCACGGCTACTCGGTAAAGCTAGATGACACAAATAAAGGCCTATTTTCGACACTTATTAACAAGATGAGTTTTAAATATAAGCGAGCAGCCCTCGTTGTTATATTATAAAAATAAATCGATATTTTCTCTTACAAAGTGTTACATTATTGGAATAAGCGAATATTTCATTCGGTTAAAACGATAGTTATATTATTTACTTAGCAATGGCGTCACAAAAGTTTTTCGGCAACCGTGGTCAAGTGGCGACTAGGACTAAACATGGCGGTCGACCATAATGTCAAGTTCAATCTGACAAGCCAGCGTCATTAGACTAAGCGAAGATATTTATAAATAAATAAAAATTGAAACTCATATTGTTGCGAATATTTTGGTTTTAGTAAAGATTTCGTTAGATTTTAAAGGCTGGTTACTGCGAGTTATTTATATTACAACTATATTTCCTGCTACATAACATAGTGTTAATTATATTGGATATGTATTAATTTGCTAGTTCAACTTAGGGTTAACAATGTTTACAGAATGTCTTACGCTCTCTATTACGGGGCTGCTCTTCCCTTATATGCGCCCCTGAATCTTTACATTTTGTAATGACCTAATTATTTAAAGGCTGAATATACTTTAATACTTAACAATAGAATGCGAAGCTATTCAGATTCAGAAATCCGCAAATTGTGCAGTATCAAGACTAACTTCTTTGTTACTATTTTTTAACAATAGAGCTTCCCGAACAAAATCTAAAATGCAAAATACTATTATGTATATTATTTTAAATGTAGAACATACTAATGGATGAAATCGGACTGCATTGAATTGAGCTGGTATCTTAAGTTAAATTTAAGATATACAATCCGTATAAAAGTAGACTAATACTAATTTCAATTACGTAGAAAAAGAATCGCTCATTTTACCCACTTTGAAAATAGCATGCGATGCAGTGGCAATGCTGATAACACTCGAGCTATTGAATAAATAAGATGCAAAACTAAAATAAATGGAAAACGTTTCACATAAAGGTTGTTACACTTGACTATTTACAATTTTCATAATTAAATTAAATTATTATTTGATTTAATATTAACGGTACGCCGATCGCAGGTTTGAGTCCTGCCTATGTCATCGACTTTTTCTTACTTTAGAAATCTACTCAGATTAGAAAAAACTGACGAAACGGGTGGCGCTTGACCCGTGCCCTCCGAACCAAATTGAGTTATCGTGACGTCATTGATGATTTTTTTTTTCAATCCATTGATAAATGCACCTCTCACAAAATCTGATATACTCTCAACTCTCTCTTTTAATGTATCTATAGATATCTCTCTGCTGCGCTACAGCACTTAGAGCCTTAGTAGCCTGATCAATCAGAGACGCGTATGTCTCCAATTTCTAGCATTTAAGTGTAAAGCAAACAAACAAAACTGATGACGAAAAAAAATTGAATTTCTTTAAAAACTGGTATATGGTTCACTTAAGTATCGTATGTACTTAACGCGTAAAGTAATGTACTTAATTATGTTTTTTATTTTAATGTGTACATTAAAAACAAACCATTTGAAACGATTTAAAACGCGAAATGTTAAACTTATTTACTAATTATTTCTACTACGGCCCGACGTTTCGGATGCTTTGTCGCATCCGTGGACAAAGGTAAATGTTTACTAATACGTTACGCGTTTTATGCCGTTAAAAGGGTTTTATTTAAATATTGTGTACTTGTTTTTTTTCTTACAAGACCGCCCTTTGACGCCATTCCATATGATACGTATTATGTGGTTTGAGAGCTCAACTGAAGCACTCTCATCTAGAAGATGCTTATACTGGCTAAAAGCCCTTTGACTTTGTAGTGCCTTAATTACTTTGATTTGTAGTTCATTTGCAGATAATCCAATTATAATCACTTTCATTTGAACCTATTTATAAGCCAGTTGTAAGTGCTTAAACCCACCACGCTACTCCAATACGGTTTGGCGGTGTTTAACGACTGCCACCACCAAATTATTTTGTGATAAACGAAATCGATGGATTAACTTGACCTCCGGACGGTGGTTGATAACACTTCCCTTACAAACACCGGATTAGTATAATATCATAGAAAAATTCCAAATTTGCATTTCGCTCGAACCAGGGTTTGAATCCGGAAAGTCGTGACCAACCACTAAAACATCCAGGCAGTGAAATTGATAACAACTGCATATGTGTACGTATGTGCAACGTGAAAGTGTATCTGTACTTTGCACTCATTAAATGAACAATTTGCAATGGATAACAAGGCATACCATATTGTCAACTAACTATACTTTATACCAGTCGTGTCACAAAACGTTGGGTCATTGTAAATGTCGCTTAGACGTTGAGAACTAACCGCATTCTTGTTTTTAATTTACAATTTTCATAAATATTAGATCATTGATAGTTATTATATTTTTACGAATTAGTTTTCGTGTTAATTTTTATTTATTTTTGGCTTCACGTAGCAATTATTTAAAATACAGACACTTACGAGTATAACTTCAAAATGAGAATATATTTTAAGTTTGTAGGACGTTATCTGGATAAAAATTTCCAGAAAATATCTACCTTCATAAATGCTGATTTCAGTTAAAACGCGAACAATTTATTGGTTTAAGTTTGCTATCACGAGAAAAGAAATCCAATTTATATTTAACCGTATCTTGAAACTTTTATCACGCTCTAAGACAGATTTGTGTGAAAAGAAACTTTTTTATTGAAGGAGGACTTTTAATGGACGAATGGACTTAGTTCGATTTTTGGAACTAGTAATTCTGGAGTACACTCGAAACTTTTATAAAAAAACATGCTCGATTCTTTGTCGTTGGCAATGCAAGCGATATATGAGTAACAATATCGTGTTTTCGATCCCCAACGAGTCCAAAATTTGTCGAATTATTTTACAATTTTTCTGAAACATGAGGAGTTCATCTGAAAATCTGATATCAATAGTAGGAATATCACAATTCCGTCCGGGTCGCGAACTACCGTCCACGGATGAAGAAGCCGTGAAGTATAATCGCGTTTCGGTTTCTACGCTATTCGGTGGATTTCCGAATATCCGAAGTCAAAATAGGTCGGAGGGGCATCTTGTCAACATATTGCTGAGGTATTTTACCTATCGTTTAGTAAATTAATACGATTCTTGTCTGTCATCTATGATAAAAATGACGACTTTTATTAGCATTGCGACACTTAGTTTTCCCTTTGCTTAAGTCTTTAAAAATAAGTATACAAATCAAACATAATTAATTTTTGTTTCATTAATAGCAAACTATGGTGTACAGGAAGGTATAAATATACGCATTAAATGTTATTCTGTTTTGTATAACATTAAAATATTAGCACGATAAATCTCTAACCATTTTGAATAGCACTTAACTATATGTTTTGCTATAGCATTCTACTTGCTTTTTTAATTGTCACCGATTTTTTTCTTATACCCCTTACACAAAGGAGCTTCATCTGCAAACATAGTGAAGGGCTTTCAAAATATGACAGTCAACTAGACGATTCCAACAAAGCTGTCTGTTTTAAAAATTCATGATCTCTTTTGCGTTCATAGAACTCGTCTATGGTGCAACGTAGTTAAATAAAAAAAAGTTATATGAGAAAAATACTGAGCTTTTAAGAATTAAACTTTTCAAATATTATAATTGATATATAGCTTGTTATACGCCTAAAATAAAATTATAATTACGTATTATTTTTATCGCTTTCTTGATTTCAACTGAAGTATATACATTTTTGTAGAAACAATTACCGTATTAAACTATATTATGTTGCTTTATTTATTTCAAGCATGTATGCAAGAATAACGTGAAATGCAAAAAATATGGTTCTTTTTAAAAGGCCTTCGAATAACAAATAGATTTGATAGATGCGTGAAAGAGGGTGAGACAGAGCACAAAACACATCTACACACTAGAGTGAAATGACATGTAAACACTACTAAACAGGGCAGCGTGAGAAGGGTTCTAAAGAGCGGCAGAACAGAACATGCGGAAATAGTCACATTATGGGGACATACGTGGGCGTGGGGTGAGGTTATTGCGCGGCATATACAAGGGTGAGCGGCCGGCGCCACCTGATAGTCCATGTAATTTCCGTAGCCCATGTGGTCGCAGGTGCAGGCACAGCTTTCGATATGCCTTCGAAGCTCGAGCTCGATCTCCCAAGGCGGCTCCATGAGCGCGAGCAGGGGGGCGGGCGCGCGCCGCGGCGTGCCCGCGCCTCCGCGCGCTTCTAACAGAGCCCCAGGCCTCGCGCGGGCCGCACCTGCGCGGAGCCACCTGCCTCCCCGCCCCCCGCACGACGCCCTCCACCATGCAGCCCGTGGCTCAGCGCAACGGAGCGACGACGCCGCGGGACGCGCCTCGGAGCCGGCTCGTTTGGGCCGAGCTGGGTGCCGCGGCGGGCGCAGCGGTTAGCACGACGGCGCGCATAGCGTAGCGGCCGACCGTCGGCTGAGGAATGCCGCGGCCGTGAGCCCGGCCGAGTGCCCGGGCGACCCGGCCGCGCCGGCGCCCCGAGCTCCACGTGACAACCCGCTCTCCGCCCGCAAACACCCCATCCCCCTGCGACCCGCCTCCCCAGCATCCCTACCCTGCAACGACGGCCGGACAAATCTTTCAGATGCACAATCGTTAACCATCAATCTATGGCATGCAGGTAAATATTTTGAAATTATTTCAGGTCTGCTAAACCTAGCCTATGACGACGCGGCATTCGAGGTGTATTATTGTTTCAATTAACACTGTTGTCAGTTGACCTACTTATATTATACGAACAATACATTTGTCGTCAATCAATTAGAAGTGGGAGTTTTGTTATTTTATTCGTTTTGGTAATGGGAATTCAACAAATGATCTAAGGGCGCTGATTGTGTATTCCAAATTGATAAATGTATATTGGCTCTGGCTGACTTACATACTTTATGAATACGAAATAAAAACAAAAGTAGTGACCATTCAGTATCACTATCATAAACAAACAAGGAACGAAATTTTCGTGTAAATTCGGCTTCATTAAGGTAAGATCTGTATTTACCCTTAAAAGCCTCCTCCATTCTAACCCGCCTTTACTTTTCTCTCTCGTGATACATTTTTCTTCATCATGTACAGTAAAACTGTAGGTGAGGCGTTCGACCAAGCAAAATTTAACATTAATATTTTTATCTCAAAAATGAAAATATAAAACTAGCAACTTTTCCATTATTACGACAAAAATATATGTCTCCTGAGCGCCGTTCGTTTCACATTATTTTACTTTTAATATCAGTACGAAAAACTCGGAATATGTTCAATGAAATTTATGATCAGTAGCTTGGGATTTGTGCAAAGTTCCAATATACGGTACAAGAGTAAAACACACAACTTTCACTGCTCCGTACTAGCTGCACTTCTGTGAGAAATAATAAAAAACGAAGTGCTGTTTGATCGAGCTCTAAATATTAAAAATAAATGTCCGAGAATGTTGCATTCAAAAAGAATATTAAATCTAAAACACATATTTTGTAAAATAACTTAATAGTACTTATTTTGTAACAACAAATTTGTGTAAGTTTTTAAACGATTTAACACTTAGCCGAAAATTATTTTCAGTTGACTAAATTTAACATTTAACATTTTGAATCTTAGAACCATAAACATTTAGTATAAATGTTAGTCGACCACCTCTGCAGCCAAATGGTTAAACGTAATGCCTAGCATTGCGTTAAGCGCGAGAGGCCCTGGGTTCCAATCCCAGGGAAGCAAAAAATTGTTTCGGTCGGGCGGGACACAGAAGTCTAACCAACTACTTGCCTGTTAAAGAACGGATCAGTGAAACGAACACGAAAATGTGTTCGCTCCATGCCCCACGAGGGGAAACAGGATATCTTAATATATGTTAATACACGGAAGTGTAAATTTTGTTATTCATTTAGTGGCAAAACAACTTGATATCTTTATATGTTATGTTATGCTTAATTTCTTTCACTATAAATATAACGATTTACCAACGTTTTTTTTAAGTTTTTTATCAGTCTACTTTTCAATATAATCTGTTTATTTTCACTAAGTTTTTACACCACTTGGCAACCCAACGCTCGCTCAAAACTGTCTAGCTTGTAATTTCTCCAAAGCCGCATATAAATTACAGTGTTTGTCTTTCTAAGAAGTTGGAAATTACAAAACAAGTTCTTACACCAAACTATTCTCAGTTAGGTATTTTAAAACAAACTACCTGGTAAGACACAATGTTAGTGTAATTAAATATAAATGAATGTTAGTGCAATTTACACATTAAATTGGACATTTTTAACTACATACACTGTAATATATTTCTCCTAATTATAGTAAAAGTACTAATAACAAAGAAAAAATTGCGTTTCCGATTAAGTGTGTGGTTTTCTGAATGTTAAAGCAAGAATAAATCGATATCTAAAAATCTTATATGGTTGGTGCGTACCATTAAATAAACCATGATAAAGCCTGTGCGAAAAAATATTAAATGATAGTATGCAATGTTTTATTATTTGAATATAAATTTAAATTTGAATTATATTATTAAGTAAATAGATGTGAAGGCCAAGATTTTATTCAGATTCAGTACAAGGGTACCTATGTATAAATTGATACATAGTTTAAACTATCCCGGTATCCACAATGCGATTAAATCTTTCTTTTCTGTTTAACAACGCTCTAGACTGTAGAACAGTCTAAAAGAAAGACAAAACCTATAAGTATTATACTGGTGACTCATTAGTGCGTTGCCTAACATCTGCATATTCTGTACACAGTTGATAGGATAGGATTAATGAGACACAATGCAAAATAAAGCAATGCAGTTGTTGTAAGGCTAGGACACAGATGGAAGAATAGTGCACAAGCTAGCTTTTAGCAATGGTATTACGATTGAGTTTCGATTTTGTTAGTTGAATCAGGCTGAAGCAAGGAGGCTGTATGCGTGCGCAGAGGATCATAGACTTAGCTGTATGGACGCCAGTCGGCATGAGACGCGCGCGAAGTGTAACCGGGCCCTTGCGGCGTGCCCATCCCGCCTCGGGAGCCACCTGGAACGTCCAGGTAAATATCAAACTCAACAAATAACACATTCGAATCCACTTCTTTAACTTTTGAAAATTTCTTTAACCTTAGAATCAAATGCTAAAACGAAACAGTCTTACTATTATACTATAAGTACTTCGATAAAGTTTACAATTTATTTCAAATACAATTAGTTGGTTTTATTGGACAATGAAGATTCAACAGTTGGCTGAAAACTTGTTGCGCACGCAGTTTTTTTCTTTATTAATTGATACGTAGACGTCATGATATTAAGCGAGGTTACACGCTATATACACGCTAAGCCTTATTTGTAAGAAACAGATGAAGAATGTGTTTTGAAGACCTATTTTTTAACAATTCTTAACATAACATTTATACTACGTAACAATTTTTATTACGTTTAACTTTGTATGTATTTAACGAAAATAAAATTCAAAGAATTCTTTCATACGTTTGATTGCAAAGCTTATGAATATGTTAAGGTTAAAATGTGTGTATGAATGCAAATCATAACTCGGGTCTAGTAAAAGAATAGTCTCTTTAAAACTTTAAAACATTCGTCAAGAGTGTAGAGCACTTCAAGAAAACGTCAAGTCATACGTTTTCCATATTTACCCTCTAGTGAAGGAAAACAAAGACAGACGATATATATAGTTTTTATATTTTCAAAGTCAGAATTTTCAAACGAGTAACATTTCGTATGTGTTTTGTTATCCTTCGTAAAGCTTGTTTTTTAGTAATAAAATAATATAAGTATATTTAATTGTTTATAATTGCAATATCCAAAATATGTATAAATTATATTATGTCGTCCTTATTTATTATAAGTGTAGCGACGAGAATCGATTTCCTATGTTAAAAGCAAAAATTTATTGGTTCCAAAAAAGTTATGGGCTAATAAAGTTACAGTCGTATATTATCATTCTGCCTCTGTAGCTAAATGGATAATGTGTGAAATCCCGTTTCCCCCTAGTGGGGCATAGGGCGAACACATTTCTGTGTCCGTTTCACTGATCCGTTCTTTAACCAATTGCTACAGAGGCGGTCATGGTTAATACATAATATAAAATAAATAACGAATAAATTACACGTCATTTGTTTATTATAAGTGTAGCGACGAGAGTCCTTATCGATATAAAAAGCCATTTGTTGGATTTAGAGAAAATAATGGACTAATAAAATGACAGTCGTATGCCAAATGGTCCGCCTCTGTAGCTAAATGGTTAAACGTGTTGCCTAGCAATGTTGCGTAAAGCGCGAGATGTCCTGTGTTCGAATCCCGGGAAAACAATAGACTGTCTCGGTCGGGCAGGGCACAGAAGTCTGATCAACTACTTGCCTGTAATTAAATCGACAATTGAAATGGACACAGAAATGTGTCGCCCCATGCCCCACGAGGTGATACTGGATATCACACGCGTTATTAATTCTACCATGATAACAAAATTATTTACATTACACTAGCAGAATCCTTGTAGAATAGGAAAGCTTCCATTATGATGAAGACTTTGATTTAAATAGCTTTCAGTATCTTGTTCCCCAAAAAGGATTAAGTAATCTACAAAGCTTTGCTCTGAGCGTTTCAGCCGTCTGTAGACAATGGTATTTTTTGTCATTCCAGCTCTCTGTATACTGAAAATAATGATCTCATAATCATTTCAGGTGGTGCGAGGCAAAATGAGTTCACAGTGCTTGTGGCATGCATGTCGTGCTCTCTCGGCCGGCTTATTACTGATGCTCTTAGGAGGCGCTATGGCAGTAATAGGTATAAAAATACAAATATATCATCCAAGCTTTCGCCGGCAACTTGGCCTACTTGGAAATATGACTTTGGTCGACATAATTTTCGGGGATAAATAATTTTCCTGTTACATTAAATACGTTCTATCAGAATTATAGTTTAAATATTCACAAGTTACATATCTACGATATATAGTCTTGAATTTTTTCAAGAAAACACTTTAACGGTTTCAAACGCGACATATATTGGCTAAATTTTTTTTTCAAATCAGTTTAAGTAATATATATCGCGTTTTAAACTGTTAAAGTGTTTTATTTAAATGTGTACACTGCTCGCGTAAATTACAGACAGTGTTTTTGAATCGTTTGAACCCGCGACAGATAAAAAAATTTTTTCAATGGTTAATTTCAGACGGAAAACCGCTGAAAGTAGATTTTATTTAGAGTTTAGGAGAATAGCATATCTATACATGCTATTTTCCCAAACTCGAAAATAAAATTTATAAATCATATTTTCTACCACCTTTCTGTATTACCCACACGTAGTACGGAAAAAACGTTTTTCCACTATTTAAAAGACTGTAAATGTATCGGGTACTTTTTTGTCATTTCTTAAAAAAAATAGCTTATATATTTTTATTACAAATAAGAGAATAGTAATAAGTTTTCGGCTGGCAACATTTTATGTATAGTATGCACTGATATGAATAAACATCCGATATATAGAAGTTTCCCATTTCTTCCATAAGAAAGTTTCTTGGTATTTGACTTGCGATAAACCTGAAATCTATACAAATATATGTATTCTCATCTCTTTGCATTGAAAGAGCAGACGGACACGTAAACATTTCCGGTTGTACACCGAAACTGACACATCCGGAACACAACATCCGCGAACTACACAGCTCACGTTCTTGGTTTACAGTATTTTATTCTATTTTTAGTTTTCGCATTATATGTCATCATGCTGTATTTCAATTTAAGTAATAATTAACCACAATTATTTACACATATAAATATACATATTCGTTTTTTATGACCGAAAAGGACAGATAAGCACAGGCTTCACGAAAGTGCAATACTTAGCCCTATTTTATAAAAGAGTTGCGCTGTCGACCGTTGATTTTGAAATATATATTAAACTAGCTGTTCCAGCGACTTCGTCGGCGTAGAATAGTTACTTTGGGTATCAATATTTGTTTTTGCAAATCTCCTCTTTATAGATTTAAGCCTCGCGATGTCGGTCGCGTCCCGTCGCTCTTGCAAGCTAACCCGAAGAGATAGCATTTAGTGTCGCAGATATCTGTTTAGATCATTTAGAGATCTATTTATTTTTTAGGTATCTTGAACCGTTTTTGCAGCGTACGCAATGGAAGCCCACAAGAAAAATAATTTTCCACGTTTTTCCGTCATTTCCCGCCGTTTGCTCCTATGAGGAAGGCTTTAAAACATAACATGACTAATGTTATGTTTTAGAGCCTTCCTCAATAAATTCTCTAAGCAATACAAAAATATTTTTTCAATTCGAACCAGTAGTTCCTGAGATTAGCGCGTTCGAACATACAAACCAACAAACTCTTGAGCTTAAAATATTAGTATAGATAAACATATGTTTATCTATATAGATAGGGGGGCAATAAACTTTTATATACTTAAATAAGGAAAACCTACAAATAACAAACGTTTAGGCTAGTTGAAAAACGCCTTACAGGTAACTTACCGCCCGAGAAAAGATTTTATTGAATTAAACTTGTCAACAAGTTAATCGTCGTAATTCAACTGAATTAGAACTAGCGACATGAAAATAGGATTGTTAACTTCTAGGACTATGAATTAGTGGTAAAGCAGATAATGTATTATTTTATTTTTTAATGATAGTTGATGGAAGGTGATATACCACAGCCTATTGCATCTAAGCAAGATGCGCGACCTATTTAGGCTTTAGATATTGGGAAATCCGCAGACTGAAGCCGAAACGCGATTAAGCTTCACGGCTTTTTCACCTGTGAACGGTGGTTCGTGACCCGGGCTGAATTTCTATATTCCTACCACTTACTTAATATCCAGATCTCCAGACGAAGTTCAACACGTTTCAGGTAAATTGGAAAATTGGAAACACGATTGACCAGGTGGGGATCGAACCACGACCCATTCATTATTAGCCCTACATTGCTACCATTAGACCGATATATCGTCAAAAATAAGTGTAAACATGAATTCTACTAATGTTTCAATTGCTAATGCTTTCTTTCTGCTCAATTTTTATTGAAGATCTTAACCAAATGTATTATTATAAGTTTTGTACAGTTATTTATTTTAGTACACTACGATTATACTGTAATTACATTAATATTACTAAGAATACAAACTAATTTAATATTTGTACCTTAAAATATTCCAATTTATATATGTACATAGCTCAAAGCATTAGCAATTCGCTCATTAAATACGCAAGCTGTTATTATCGAACCAATTCAACCGCATTCATACAGTTTGCCCAAGCCGCACTAAATTAATTGTACGTTGATTACTTACTCACAGCCGACATCAATTAAACAAAAGCCGCACAATACTATTATTTTATATAAATTTAATAATCGACATCGATTAAGACTTGAAACTGTAGATAATGATTTAAAAAGCATTTTTAATTTCGCGGTTGAATGGTTAAAAATATTGCCTTAAAGTACAACAGGCCCCAAGTTCGAATATGAAAGTGAAAGCAGGGTGAGCATTCTGGAGAACTTCTTACCTGCAAATACAGTCTGTAGTTTACGCGAGTAGTACACATTTAAATAAAACACGTTTTAAAACGAGAGATGCTTTCGACGTTTCTATGATGTCTCGTCGTGACCACGGCGGCTGGAAAGCATTAATTGCTGCAATTTTCAAATAATAACTAATACAATTCACGTTCTAAGCGTTAAAGTGTGTTATTTAAATATTTGTCTGTAAATAAACGATCAATATGTCTGCCACGTGCTGCGGGCATACGAATCGGAATTTCTCTTAATAATATTTATTTCTTCAGGGTATTATGCAGACACGCTGTCAGTGGCACAAGAGGTGCGTGGGAACGCTACGGTTTCAGTGAAGGACGAAGCTCGCGGCTTTCATCTCAATAACCTGTCATACGCCGGTCCTATAGTTATGGGATTTGGAGGTAAATAATCTTTGAATAGTTCGACATCTGTATTAAAGATAATACAGATATCGAACTATTCAAAGTTTGCAAAGTTTAGCAAGGAGCTAAATAACGTTAAATTAATTTAAATCCAACGAACAGACTTATTATATAAATGTAAGTTTGAGCTGATGCTAATGTCTTTTTGGAAAGTAGCTTACGTTTTAGTAAATTTTAGATTTATCCCCACAAAATTTTTGAATTAGAAATTAGTTGAAACTTTTAGAGAAGCCATTCACTTCGAAAACAAAGTGTCATTGTTGCCTATAAAAAAAGTAAACAAAAATGCCCTATTTTATTTTAGCTACATATATTACGCTTGGATTTTACACAGTCTTCGAAAATTTCAATAGAACAAATTATATAACCTTTCTTCCGTGACCTATCTCATGTTCCGGGTCTTATGGTCCTGGGTTGTCCGTATGTTAAGCGTGACCGTTTTAGGTCTTTTGTGATAGTTGACCACGTAGCAGAGAGATTAGATATGGCTTCCCTTTGGACTTGGATTATACAACGAAGAGTGGAGTCTTCCTTAATAATAAAAAAAGAGTCTAGATTATATTATTCAAATAAAAATAAGCCTGATACAGACTTTTAAACGATTTTTAGTTTTTTTTTTATTAGCAAAAATCACTTATTAATTATACTTGATTTAAACTATGATATTTCAAAATTACAGGATTCATCGTTGTTGCAGCCTGTGTTATGACATTTGAAGCTAGAGATAGCGCGGCAAAGGTTACTCCGGCTCGACCCCAAGCTCTACCTCGACCTCTGCCGAGACGTGGAGTTTGTGCCACCCCGGCAAGACTCGACCAGCTTGGAGTATACAGGCTACCACATGTTCTCCCACTACCACATGCTCTACCACTGCCTCAAGCACACAGAATACGACCGCCGCATACAAAAAAGAGGTAAAATATTTTTTTATTTACATTATCGTAAGACAAGCATTACGCTTAATAAAACCAGTGTAATTGCAATTTTTACGCTTCGCATGTAATAAATAGAAAATAAAGCCTTATTGACCACATCATCATTTCATCGATCCATTAAAATATAAGTCCTTATTCTCTAGTAAAAAATATTTACGTAAAATTATAAAACTACTACCTTGTAGGTCAAGAGGTTTTAGAACATACGACAGCGGTATAAAAGTATTGGGTCCGAAGCTCGGATCGGGCAAAATGTTAGTTCGTTAACTGTATTTTTGCCAAGGAAATTTCTAAGAAGAATTTCGCATAGAAAAAAAAGTTAAGGTATCAAATACTGTCTATAGTTTACGCGAGTAGTACACATTTAAATAAAACACTTTAACGGTTTAAAACGTGATATATTATTTAAACTTATTTGAAAATGATCCCTTGACCACCGCTGCTGCAAAGCATCCGAAACGTCGGGCCGAAGTTAAAGATCATTTCCAAATAAGTTTAACTAATATATCGCGTTTTAAACCGTTAAAGTGTTTTATTTAAAAGTTAAGGTATCGATCTCAGTTGTCGTCGCTCGTTAAAAAGCAAACTATAAAACAGTCTCCACTAAAGTAGGTATGTTTAGAAGCAGTGAGCGGGCTAGAGAGAAAGCGAGATTTGGTTCAGCACCAGACTTGCGTAGCGCTAGCTCGAGAGCTACGCTTCCCGTAACAGCTCTACGGAGACCACTACGTCGCTACGCACTCTCTGTAGATGAGCCACCGCGCTCGGCAGTCAGGTATCGCAAATCGCTCGAAAACGAGGCACAAACTACAGAATTTATTTTTCTATTGCCTTTCTCTTCCTATTCTACTTTATAAATTGTATTAATAGTAAATATAAACTAGACAATAGAACGTGTTGCAAAATTAAACATTTACGTACATTGTTCTCGGTCATAATTTTTTTTTATAATGCTCGTTTTGCTTCATCAGTTACAATTTTTCTTGTTCTAAAATATGTAAATCATTTACAATTACTCAATTACAAATTATATCTTATAAAAATATTTCCACACTTTTTTTATATTTATAACACCTAACAACACATGCACTTCCATATTATCTATGTTTTAACTTTTTTATTTTAAATGTTAATTTTTTATATTTATTTCAAGTGCAAGTGCGGCGGAGTCGGAATGTGGGTCACAATCTTCTCTGGCTTTAGATCTACATGGAAGCGGCGCTTGCGCAGGTGTCACTCTACGAGTCCGTGACAATACGCGCCGTCGTCCTCTCGCCAGACAGCAAAGACTCGTTGAAGATACGCTACACCGTGAGTTCTACTTTAAACTTTGTGTCTCAAGTAATGAACCAAACAACTAAGTTTTACAATTATTTTCAATGTCAATGTACATATATAATATGAACAATATCAATGTTTATAATTTTAACAATAATAATAATTTTTCAGCAATATTGAGCGAACGTGTTAACACGATTAATAATAAACGAGAGGGAGACTCTTCTCTTACAAGGTAAATATATTATTTTCTGTACTACCATTTACTGTTGCATCGTGCCTCCCATATACACATACATTCAGTCGCTTAACTTACTCACAAAATTAGTTAAATTAATTATTATATAAAGTTGTACTTTTCTATTTGTACAAGAGTCAAATAAATGGATATTTTTCAGATTCTTCTCAAATTACCATTTAGTGTCTAAAACCTAAAAACATCTTCATTACGATTAAGTCACTAGCTTCAGCTCACTAACAGATCAACTATACAGAATTAAATATTCTTAGTAAGTTGTGCCTTATTTTATCTTACTTATATTCTTAATATCGTCATTATGTTGCAGGGTTAACAGAACTTCAGATGTCGAAATGGTTCACTTATCAATAGAGAGTGAGGTCCGCGCCTGTAGTGCTCCGCCACCTTCTAGCACACCCCCGTCACACAGGTCCTCTTTACAGACTGAAAATTGCGCGTTAACTCTAGAAAATGAAGTTTCATCAACAGAAACACAAAATATTGAAGCCATAAAAGACGAAAGTAACTGACCCTTTGTAAATAGTGTTCAATAGATTTTAAGAGTCAATATTGAAGAAAGCTTCATTTTGTGAAGACAATATACAAAAAAATATATACTAACGGACTCTCTACCTTTATTTATGATTGATTGATTGAAAGCACACTATACTTTATGGTAAGAATGAAATATTTATGAATGGCCTAAAAATAAAGAAAAAACGTTTTATAGATTATATTACGAAATAGAAACGTAGTAGTTTACTATTGTTTTATGTATTCCACGCGCATTTAAACCATATATTGCATAACATTTAAATCTAAGAATTATTTATCAATACTTTTGTTTTTTTAAACTATAACATAAATTATACGTAAGCAGAGTAAAATAATAAATTAATGCGGCGTTATATAACCGCCGATTAAGTCCCAGTTATAACTAATCCTCGCTCTAAACGCTTTCACTTCACCTTGCTCAAAACATTCCATTTTACTATGAAAGACTGATAAAAGCGAATTTTAAAAAATAATAATCATTCATTTCTAATAAAACAAATAAAATTAGATACGTAAAACGAAATCATTGAATTTGGTTTAGTATTTGAAACGTTATATACAAAAAATCGATAAATATCTTGAAATGCGAATAATAAATGTCGGTAATTTTTCACTACGACTTGACTTTTCGTAATGCCCTCCGTGACCCCGGCTGCTAAAATATACTTATACAGTCGACTTGTAATTTATTATTATAATCAGTATTTACAATAGTTCGCGTTTCAATCCGTTAATTTAAGGTGTACTACACGCGTAAACAATAGAAAAGAATTGATTATTTAAATAATATTATTTTCAAAGATTTACTTGATGAATTTAATACATCTACATCCATCCATCTAGCCATAAGCATCTTTAAATATGACTTTATTTATCTTAGAATTAACCCATTAAACCCTAGAACTAGTTTTAATTTTTATTGATTTTTATATTGTCTACAATGTAATTTTTATTTATATTTTTGTATACCACATATATAAGTATTCTAATTTAACCTTAACTATATGAATAGATATACAATGTATGGTATTAATCTACGTATAAACAATGTGTACTTCTCGAAATAGTATTTGTCATACTTCTATACTGTATGTCAATAAGAAAGAGTTCAACGCGCAATGTTATTTTTGTAGTAAATGTTACAATGTTTAAATATCCTCGCACGACCCTATATCTTAAATTTAACGTTAGAAAACTGGTGTAAATAAGTACTCTACCAACACGAGTAATGCAATCATGATATATATAGAGTCGCAACCTTCTAGAAGTTAAAGTAATTTAATATGTTTTAATGAGAAATCATATGAGTAACATTTGTTTTAAACTTATACACTCTTATTACAAAACAAGGACTAAATCGCAAACTTGGTTTAAATCCTGGTTTGAAATCCTTAATACAAAACGAAGTTTAACGTTTGTACTGAACTAAGTATGGTACTAACTTAGATTCATTTAGGCCATGGTTTACGAGATAAACCAAGACTCCGCAGTTCTGGTTTGAACATTATTTGTAATAAGGCCGTTACTGTCATACAGGGAGTAATTGATATAAGTTCGTCCAATTTATAATTACTTTCGATGTATTTTTTTAAGGTCAACCGTCAATCACCAATTCAAAAATAACACGATGTGTAAATGTATAGAGGGTTCTGTAAAATCCTTGGTTAAAGTTTTCAAGTCTGAACGTACAATCAAAAAGTACAGTGTACATGTATAACAATAAACGTAAAAATATTATTGTAAATTGAGATAACTAATGTGCTCATCTTGTTAATGTTAAGTAAAAGTTTAAATGTTGTAAAGGTCTCAAAGTCATTAGGAACATTGAGCATGTTTATTCAAAGTAATATTAAATCATTGAAAATATTATTCTGTGGTAAAACATAATAACATATTGGTTATTAATAAAGGAGTTTTTTCAACGAGTCTTGGAAAGCTTTACAAAATTCGGTGAGCCGTACGGAATCGTTTGATATGGAATTTTTATAATGTTATTGAAAAAAAAACAATAAATACGTGAATAATATTGTGGTCTTTACTGCATCGGTTCTGACTGAAATGCAAATTCGTAAGGAATTTTACACGATCAACGTTTTGTATATGAATTATATGAATTTTCTTACACTTAGGAATCTTTTAACACCTAGTAGATAATTAATCCCAATGGTTGTTGTGATGTCTATTAAATTTGTTGATTATAAAAAACTGTGTTTTTTTTTCATCAGAAAAGTAGATCTTGTTTTTGGGTTTGATTCCCATCGCATATGACATGTTTCTAAAAATCTTTATATCTTTTTAAAACCTGCTACACAACACCTGAAAAATCTAAAAAATCTAAAATATATTAAACTAGCGTTAAACGCAACGATTGTTCTAGAAAAAAAATACAAAATGGTATGGTGGTTCAATAAATAGTATGTACCATGTCCATAATCTTACTAAATATTATTTTGTCATATAAATAGTTTATATTCTCTCAATTAAAAACTAAAAAAAAACACTCTCACTATAAATAATGAACGTAAACACCAAATCTTGTATAAAATTATTTTTTTACAATTACTGCCTACTGCCAATACCTTGATATCTACCTAACACGCCATATTCAAGTCTCTAATAATGTTAGTTCTCATTGCCACTGAAACTATGCAATTCATTATCACACCACAATTCCAAGAACCAACAATTCTCGTAACAAAAAAATAGTAAAGAGTCAAAACATGAAAAGGCCACGGATTAGACACACTATGGTTTCTCTGTCATTATAACGCCCATAATCAGCGGTATCCGCACAGGGCGCAAATCTATCTTTATCAGCACAAATCTATGCCATGACAGCCGTAAAAATCACCTCTAATCCGATAAACTGCGTGCCGTATTGGATCATCCCTGAAATCTTATTAGCAATTATTGTTGCTATAAAACTTGAGGCCTGCTCGTAACAGTCAGCAGTCAGTCAATGGAGTTGTTCTTCACGCAACTATCGAGGACTGCTCAATCATGATGCCGACACAAGATATGGACAACAGGACAGAATATTATAACATCTATGGAGCATATTTCGCCCCCTTAAGGTAAATAAATACTTTACATAGCTTGGCAATATCGTATATTAAAATTTGTTTAAAACTTTTGTATACTCTATTAGTAGGACACGGTAGCTCAATTGGTTACAGCAACAGCACGCTGTCGAGTGTATGTCGGTTCAAGTCCTGCCCGTGTCGTAATATTTGTCATTTTCGATTATATCGAATTTTAACTTATATAGTGCCATCATGTGCGATATGTGAAAAATATTAGTCTTCAAATACCTTATTGGTATTAAAAGATTAAAATTAATTTAAATATTAAAATAAGTTTCAATTTAGGTCGGGGGGCGAAAAGATGCTGGGAGAAGGCTTGACTGGCGAAGATCTGGAAATGATACCAGAGCACTGGTTCAAATATCCAGAGCCACCCGCTAGTGCACACACAGCCTTATGTCTGCTTTACTGCTTCTTCACCGCAGCTGCCCTTATTGGAAATGGAATGGTCATATTCATATTTGCCTCGTAAGATATCTTTTGTTTTATTATTTATTAATTAGTTCTGACTTTTAAGTCCTCATACTTATACAAATTTTAAATAATACTTTAAAATAAATTTGTTAAAATGCAACACTAATAACATTTTAATTGGGAAACATATTAGATAGTAAATTTATTTTGACATAAACAGCAGCTATGAACTTCTCCTTGGCCGTAGTTAAACATTACGCGTTTAAAACCGTCAATCTTTATCTTTATTTGTTTTTATTTCAGCACTAAATCTTTACGTACAGCGAGCAACCTTTTGATTCTCAATCTGGCCATCTTCGACTTTATTATGATGTTAAAAGCACCGATATTCATCTACAACAGTGCCATGAAGGGCTTTGCAGCGGGGGCAATGTGGTGTCAAATATTCGCGCTCATGGGATCCTATAGTGGGATTGGTGCGGGAATGACAAACGCTTGTATAGCTTACGACAGGTAATATGCCTCTGCAGCTAAATTATTATTTAAAAACGTAGGTTCATTATTAATTAATAAAAAAAGAAATATATAATTATACGCCAGCAACATACATCACAATAAATTTTAGGATTGCGCGTAACAGCGATCAAATAAGATGCTTCATTGCCTTATACAAAATTATCCTCTGTAACTCTTTAAATGTAACAAAAACTCTATATAACCTAAAAGTTAGATAGTAGTTAAGCGTAATATAAACGTGAATATTGTAAAGTAACAGCACGGAACACTGACGATGCCGGTTCAAGTCCTGCCCGAGTCGAAAAAATTTTCAATTTATTTTCGATTTTAAGTTATTGTAAAGCATTTACTGAAACACAATAAATTAAGATTATTATGTGTAAAAGGTATATAAATATGAACACAACCGAGTCCGGTTATGCATTGAGTTTTACAACAACACAACATTCTCTACGTTATTATATATTCTCTATGTTTGTATCGTTATATGTTAGTACATATTAACATTAAATTTTTTCGATATTCACGACCATAATGATTTATCTAACGATGTCTACAATGCTATTTACTCATGCTTACCTTCATAACAGACATTCGACAATCACAAGACCCCTAGATGGTCGTCTATCGAGAGGAAAAGTCCTACTGATGATAGCATTCATATGGATTTACACGACACCATGGTCTTTAATGCCGCTGTTCAAAGTGTGGGGACGTTTCGTACCCGGTAAGTCCATTTAATTTAATAAAAAAATGTGGGTAGATTTTTTTACGAACATTGCTGACGAGGATTTTGTGTGACGTTCGGCCGTCCTAATTATGAAACAGTTGTATATTAGGAAATGATAAGTGTCTCTCCACTAAGGCAGAGTCGGAGTTCAAAATAGCTGCAAAAGGTTTTATACAATTTATTTTTCAGAGGGGTTCCTGACGTCCTGCACGTTCGATTATCTGACAACATCGTTCGACAATAAGTTATTCGTAGCTTGCATATTCGTGTGCAGTTACGTTTTCCCGATGACGTGCATCATATATTTCTACAGCGGCATTGTAAAACAAGTGTTCGCTCATGAAGCAGCTCTGAGGTACTTACAATTTGTTATATCTACGAAACCCTCGCGCTAAAACTCTCTTATTGACCGATGTGTATGAAATTTTATGCATATTCAGTATGTCTGATTATCGGAAAGAACGTTTTATTTGAATATAATTAACTAACATATAATAAACATCATTCACTTAAAGTACTACATGGATATTTTCGTAGTTCCTACAGAAATTAAAAAAAAATGTTAATAGTTTATTTAATGAAAGCCGGTTACAAAATGTATCTAAAAATTTTGTGTTCTCCATGGGTTAAGATAGATTAAGAAGAGTCCCCCAGTCTTTGTATTATGATTAGCCCATTAAAATGTACACAGGGAACAAGCTAAGAAAATGAATGTGGAGTCTTTGCGTTCGAACCAGAACGCCGCTGCTGAATCTGCTGAAATAAGAATTGCGAAAGCTGCTCTCACCGTGTGCTTCTTATTTGTGACATCTTGGACACCGTATGGCGTCATGTCACTCATAGGAGCTTTCGGCGACCAAAACTTGTTGACTCCAGGGGTAACCAACATTTATATTTTATTTAAATTATCTGTGGATTCTTTACAGCTTAATACTTTATACATAATAAATGAATTATTTACTTTTCCAAGGTCACCATGATTCCCGCAATCACCTGTAAGGCTGTGGCTTGCATCGATCCATGGGTATATGCAATTAGTCATCCAAAATACAGGTACTTAATGTAAACCATATTATTTTCAAACTTGTATTTCACCATGAAATGAACAGTAAGTACGTATTAGTTATCGGCATGCAGTACATTAATGAACGTATTTCAGGCAAGAACTTCAGAGAAGAATGCCTTGGTTACAAATTAACGAACCAGATGACAACACCTCAAATACTTCGAACACGACGACCAACAGTGCAGCCCCGGCGTGATCATAAATACGCAATAAATATTAATTATTAAAAAATGTATAGATAAGGTACTCTATTTTATGCAGTTAACTCAAATGAGTGCAAAAATACAAAAAAAAAACGATGTTTCTACAACGACGAACAAAGCCATGCTTCAAGGACAACGGAATGAATAAGTGTACGAATTTCAGTACACTGACATATAATTTTATAGTAGTATCGATGCAACATAATAAATGTGACGAACACGTTTTATATTGTTTTATTAATAACCCTTGTATTAATATTGAATGTAGTTCGCGCGAGTACACAATACCAAAAAAAGATTTACCGGTTTCAAATGAAACCGAAACGTTGGATCATAGTAAAATGAATATGTTTTTACCGTTAAAAGCGTTTTATTTTAATCGTCTTCTAATCTTTGGTAAAACATGTTACAAGTGTAGCATTTTTTATGCAGGCTTAGTAAACAAATCTACAACATATTACCGATTTTACTAAAAGCATTCGCATCACATAAATACAAATAGCCTTTTAAATATTTAAAAGACTATTTGTATTTAAGTTAATAGTAACTTATGAAAATGGTTTTTTATTCAATTCGTAAACTATTATTAACGGCAACTGTTCAGCTCACTTATAATAATATACTTTTTATTTTGACTAATTTACAAAATTCAATTAAAAATGCAGTCTAAGAAGTTACGTTAATTCATAAATATCTCTACCAGAGTCTAAAGCAAATAATATACAAGAGCTAAACTTTAGACTTGAGTCTAGGCACCAGTGTAAAAATATTATGATGCCAGTAAAATTCTCTATCTATAATTTACTATAGTCTGTTAGTCGGTAGAACTCTGTTAAAAACCGTCATCTTGAATGTCTAATGTATCTGTAGCTACTACATCTGACTTTAAAAGTTAATGTCGTAATTCGTTTTTGTTAAAGAAAAATATTATTTTGCGATTAGGTGATATCATTGTTTATTATTTTTATTGATATTCGAAAGTGATGTATTTTTAATGTTTCTGTACAGTTAATTTATACTGAAATTTGCCGTAGAGAAAAGCCGTCGCCGACCTTCCCATGGTTGAATAAATTAAATAAACAATTTAAATTACTCAAGAAAACGAGGTAAGAAAAAAAAATGTCCGTTTATCAGTATACCTACTATATTTAGTATAATTTAACTACAATTTTACATAGAATATCAAGGACAAGTGCAATCATGGATAAATTAACTGTGATATCTGGTACTCTATTTATGGCAGCTGATGTATTTGCCATTGTGAGTTTAGCAATGCCAGATTGGATAATAACAGACGTCGGAGGTAAATAAAATACTTTTTTAGCTATATTTTACATCATAAGTTGCTCTATAGGCGAAGTTATGATAAAAAAATATCTTGCAGGTGATACAAGACTGGGATTAATGTGGTCATGTATAACACTTTATAACCGACCTCAAGTATGCTTTACACCAGATCTTCAGCCTGAATGGTTGTTAGCCTTAATATGCATATTCATAGGATGTATTTGTATTACAACAACTGTTATCCTATTAGCATCAAGTCATTTCGACAGAAACGTTATACCATATGCACGATGGGTGGGGTTTGCTGCAAGTATGTATCCGTTTGAAGTTATATTAAAAGTATTTAAAAAGTTTTGCTATAAATGTGTAATCCTTTTTTTTCAGTGGTAGTATTTTGTCTCGCAGCTGTTATTTTCCCTATGGGCTTCCATGTGGATGAGATTGGAGGTCAGCCGTACCAACTTCCAAACAGTCATCAAGTTGGAATATCATATATACTTTTTGTATTATCCCTGTGGATAACAGTTATATCTGAACTCTTCGCTGGAAAAGTCTGTTTACCACATTTTTAATTTATTCAATCATAATTCCAATTCAAGTTTATTTTAGTTTCTGAATAAGGTTAAGTTAAGGAAAATATTTCTTTAAGTAATAGGAGTGCATGAATCATTAATCTTAGTATCTTTGTTGTTAAACAATTATTGTCCTTTGTATGTGTTGATAGTTTTAAGAGGGAGATGCCATTTTACAAAGTTTTGGCTAAGTTGTAAATAGTTTTCTGTAAAAATTAAGATTATAATGTACCTACTAAATCTCATTCCATGTGTATATTTGTAAATAAGTCCATAAATAAAAATTACGAATTACATACATATTTATATTCATTGTAAAGAAAACCAAAAAAATATATTACACTGCTTGTAGTAACAGTCTTCTTATCAAAACAGAACTGTGGGTTTGATATCTGATTAATATTTATAATTATACTCCCTACAACTGTACTTTTTATTCTACATTAAGCAAATATTTGCAGCAGGTGGTTAAAAATTAAACTGTAAAATAATCATTGATTTTTATTTCTACTGTGACGTCTTACAAGCGATAATAATAATAATTAATGATTTACTATTTAACTAAAACAAAACGCAAGTATTTACAAAATAAACACTAGAACCAGTGTTCATTGATTACGATATTACGAAACTTCATGTGAATGTTTATAGCACTTTAAATGTCTTTACACTGAATCTCCCAATGTCGAACATCTTCTTAGCATCGTAGCAGCAAATATTCAAAAACTCAGAACTGTCGAAAACTAGCCAATCTCTTCAGCTGTTCAACTTAATACATAATTGTGATAATTCGCCGCCTCAGCCTAGCAAAATCAAGGTGCTTATCAACAAGATCCAGAATCAGGACTGTAGCTGCATCACTCATCAGGCTTGTGACTATGCAATGTTTACATAATCACACAACAACATGCTACTATTACAGGACGGCTGTCAAACAGAAAATGTTATATATTTGCAACAGCTGGGAGGCTGGCTTTGCAATCAATTTGAGTCTGGTCACAACCAGTATAGGAAAGAGGAAACTGATTTAAGAATTCAAAGGCCTTAGAACTTGACTCAAACGCCAGCTCCCGAGTGATGAAGTCCACAGGAACACTCTGTCTGTAGCTGTACACATAAGAATATATTAATAAAAAACACATCCAACCAATAGGCTGGCATTATTTAAAAGAAGGCAGTAGATAGATAAACAATGGGTTTATTATTAAATACCAGTTAATAAGACCTATACAATCACCAACACTTACTTTTGAACATACTGAAAATATTTTGAGAAGCATAGATAGATAAAGCAAAATAAATATTTGATAAAATTTTGGTACAAATAAACCTTCCCTTAAAAAATATGAAGTAAACTAAAAGAGAACAAAAAATAACATACGACTTTATGATGTATTTGAGATACTGCTTTCGCTCTCTTTCCACAAACCAGTCCATGAGGTAGCCAGCCATCAAGGGAGCAGTCTTGTACAAGAGGAAGAATTTATGCAAATTGCCTGTTGCCCATGCACACCTTGTACTCAGAGCATGTTTAATACAATCATTTTCTCTGTCTTCTTTGGATAGAAACTTAAATATTGTTGTCAAGTCTAAAAAAAAAAGTCCATATATAATAACTATGAACTAGTGAATGAATATATTATTTGAAAACAAAAAAGAATAGTGAAACTAATGTAATTGAAAACATGTATGAGATGTAGCCAGAAACTAATATTTTACTTACCAAGAGTATTTTTAGTAAATAAATAATACAATATTCTGTAAGCAGTAAATTCAGCAGCATTAACTCTGCAATCTGGCAATTCTGAATATAACATTTTTAATTGTGTTTGGCACTGATTAAATTCTTCATGATCACCTTTCTCTAAAGCTATTCTTGCATGAGTTTCATAAACTTCAACTGTAAACCGGTCTCTTACACCTTGTACCTACAAATAAATTGATACATTGCAAGACTGATTTACGAAATTATAAAAATTAAAGCATGCAACTACATTTTTTGTTTTTCTCTGTAACCTTGAATGATACACGAAATCAAAAGCAAAAAAATTGCATAATCCTAAACTCCATTATTATCACAAAATCAAATAATACTTACTGTTAAATCTTGACGTATAGACTTCAACTGATCACACGCGTACCTATAATCTTGTTTTTCTATCCATTTATCTTTAACATTTCTTAAAGAGTTCCTCAGTACAAAAACAGGCCGAACCTCACATGCTTCTGGTGCTCTAGTTAATCTTAAGAATGATTTTTCTATGTCTAAGCAAGTTCCTACTATATGAATATTATTAAGCTCATAATCTCCTTCATTATCCTGCAGAATAGGATTTCTAACAGTAGGATCTAATTTGTTTGACTTAACCTGAAATGAGCTAGCAACTGAAGGGATATGATTGCTACCAAAGCGTTGTGCCCTCTTTTGAAGTTTTTCAGCATTGCCTTGCATATCTTCAACATGAAACTGACTATAAGCTACCTTTTTAGCCTTTTTTTGAACTTTTTCAATTTTCTTTGAATCAAGTGATAACCTATCTTTGACTTTCTGTTTATTTTTACCTTTAAATACTTTCTTATCTTCAACTTCATCCCCAGAAGCAGATGAGGTGCTGAAAAATATGTTTTTATTATTAGTCAATTAATTTTTAATAATAACTATCCTTTTAATGTCGGCATGGATATATGTTACATACCTATGCCTTTTCCTAGATGGGCTTCGTGACCTACTGCGAGAATGTGGACGTCTTCTTCTCTGTGAATTTTTAGGTAGGTATGCTTTTGCTGCCAATATCTGTTTAAGTTTGTTAACTTGGGGTGAACTGTCATTTTTTTGATATAAACCTAATGCACCTTGAACAGGTTTTACTTGTAAATTATTTCGTTCACTGTATACACTAGGGATAGGTTCTTCATCCCAGTTCCTAGTCCAAATTTCATCCTTATTCGCAGCAGCAGTAATTCGCCCTTTTAAACATATATCTATTTGATCACGATCAAAACCTGTTTTACACTTTTCATAACACCTTTTTATATATCGTTCTAAACTTTCAGGCCATACTCCAGCTGTTGTTTGCATTGATGATGAATGTAGAAAATCAGAGTGGTCATTCTTTGAAAAAATAGTTTGCGGTTCCTCTCTGTTAATAGTATCTTTTGGCTGCTCTGTGGGTTCAGGAATGTCTTCTGTCGCAATAGGAGGGGGAAGAGGAACTTCAAGTGGTGGTGGTGGAGGAGGTTTAGGTAGATCTTCTGGAGGGGGGCATGGGGGCAAAGGAGGTGGATGGTCAGGTAACGGCGGCAGTAAAGAGTCGTGAGAACCCTGGACATTTTTTTGATTACCTTTTTTACGCTTCTTCTTGTTGCTACTGTTATTGACATTAGTATTATTCAAAAGAGGATTCTCACTTGGAGGAATCGGTGCAGACTTACGACTACTGTTGAGATTAAATCTGATAGGCGATTGATTGAAATACGGCCGATTGGTATCTAGTGGAGACATTCCTAATAAAGGAGGGGGTGGTTTTGAAAATTGTTGATTTCCAAAATCAGATTTCGCCTCCTTATTTGGCTGAAATTGATTTACGCCATGGAATCCGACATTGTTTGCCATTTGGTTAAAATATTGTTGTTGATTATAAAAGTGCGGAAACATTCCTCCTTGGTAACCGTTGTACCCAGGATAATAACCGTACATCCATGGGTTGGAGTTTGGAGGCAAGCCACTCATAGTTTGTAGCGGTGGTTCTTTTTGAGTATTCTCAGCCATGGCAATTGACTTTTTAAATAATAACTAAACTCAAAATAATTGTACAGATGTGCACAAAAAAATTAGGTTGAAAAATACCTTTACCAAAATGGCGACTCGCAAATAACTGTTGTCGTCATTGTTAAATTTCCATAAGTATAATCAATCAATAAGTGCGATAAAACATCGTATTTCTTCTTAACTGTAATATCTTATACCACTTAAGACACAATTACACTTAAATAACATGAAATCTTCAAAGATTATCAAGAGTTACGTTGTATTAATGTCTCGAAATAGCAATGGAAAATTAAATCACATTGAATCTTGACTCTTGGCTCTTGACTAAAGAATCCAGTATCAGTTAAAATAAGCTTTGAGCTCGACCACAGATAGTGTATATAGTAATAAGTAGGGTAAACTCCCGGCTCTGCACAGACGTAGTTGACTCTACAGATGTATCAACAAATGTACAATGACAGATTGCTATCCTAATTTATGAGTGAAGTGTCAGGTTTACAATTTTTGTTCTTACAATAACAATAAACATTGTAACAATAAAATAATAATCTTTTTCTTAAATCGTGATAATGAACGTTTTTTAATTGTTAATAAGTTTAATTATATTATATATACCTAATAGTTACATTCCACTACTACATAATTAGAGAAATTAGTTTCAAATAATAGGAATATTTTATTGTTTATAAAACTTGACTTTTATTTTGTTTATGAATAATTTTAAGTATTAAACAAAATATTAAATTCATATTTGCTATGTAAAGCTTTGTTCCTATGGTACTCCCAAGTGTTACTATTTACGGATAAAATTGTATTAAAATCTAGAAATGGATTTATTGAAAACTCCGTCTATACCCTCGTTACTAGATTCCGATATAGAATCAGTGGGCAGTTTCAGATATGATGATTTTGAAGAGGTTATATGCCTATATTTTGTATTTTTCTCTATTTATTTTATGTATTGTTTTATCATAATTTATCAGGAATTGAATAATAATTTTAGTTAGACGAGGTAGAATACGCCCTTCCAGTCAGCGAAGCACCTACCTTAGAAGAAGTATTAACATCTGATCTAGATGAGCATATTGAACTAGAGGTAGCTGAAGAAGTGGTAGAAAAGGATACTGCAGAACCAACTTGTTCGTCACTGCAAGTGGAATTATTACATGCTGTATCTCAGCAGGTTCTTCAAGCAGAAGTGTGTATTTTTATTTCTTTCTTAACTGTACTCATTCTTGGCTGTAAAGTTACATGAATGATTCAATGTAATATTTTAGGAAAGATCATCCGCTGGGTCAGCAACTGCTCTAAGTGTAGGCATCAATGGAAGACTAACAGTTGGGACAGCACATGGCCATTTATTATCCTTCCATGATCAGACTTTACGATGGGTTTGCAATGGTCATGGAGAATGTGGTGCTGTTACTTGCTTGGCATACAATAAAGACAGTACAAGACTTTTGGTAGGCTATGGCAGAGGTGATGTATATCAATATGAGAGTATACGTGGAGCTGTATTACGTAAAATAACTCTTGGTGGTGATACATGGGGAACCTTAAGAGTAACATGGGCAGGGACTGCTGGTTTGGCTTTAGATACCGGTGGATCAGTGTGGCTCATTCGATTTATTAGGCCATTAGGAGTTCGAACTGTTAAAATATCTTGCCTTTTTTCTGGAGCAAGAGGAGAAGTCATTGCCATGTCAGCAAGATGTCCTAAATTTTTGGCACTTGTCACACTTACTCGACTCATCGTAGTTGCTGGTGGGCAAGCGGCTGGCTTACGTTTAGGAGGGCATCCTGACACTATGCCTGTTATCGAATGGTATGATCCTAATAGCAGATTATTAGTATGTGCAAGGGGCCATGCCCTACAATGGCTTAATGTAACATATATAAACAACAAGCTAGGTGTGAAACCATTGAAACGTATCGACTTACAAAGTGTTCCACTTTGGCTGGGATGGCTTGGTGGCAGTATAACTATATTTGATACTGATGAAAATCTCCGAATTTTGAATGATGACGTAAGCAAACCTTTGGATTTGTCTAGCATTGAACCTGTTTATGCATCAGCTTTTTTTAAGGTAAGCACCTGAAAAGCACACGATTCTAAAAACCTACAGCTGTGTTGCAACTAATTAACACACGCTAAGTATTTATTTTAGGGGTATTGGACGGACGGTCGTGTGTCTCAAGCAATGTGTAAAGCCGGTGAAACCGCGCTTGCCGGAATCTGTATCAGCGAAGGTACTCTATCGATTCTCGGACGCAAAGGCATCACACGAATCAGTCTTCGCGATACACTGACCAGAGCTCGAGCGTTTATATCCTCTGGACAATATTATCAAGCGTTGAAGTTACTTAGCTCCTCGCAGGGTCCGAAAGCGAAGGAGTTAGCCAGCGAATTTGTTGTTACCCTCTCTGACCGGCCGCACATTCTCAGCAATAAGAATGTCGCCGTGCAAATTGTAAAAGTGTGCTTGAAATTGGGGCTGACGTAAGTTTTTATATATTTCTCTAATAACTTATGCTCTAATATAAATACAAAAAATACTTGCACAACCAAAACGTTGCCATAATTTTTTATAAGATCTTCCATATTTTGGGCTTGATATCCCAATGGTAGTAGAAACAAACACAAACAAAAACAATTTGTCTTTGTTCAACTTTGCATGTTGTGTCTGTCAGTAATTGTGATAAAATATCGACAGTCCTTAATCTAATAAATAAATAGTAATACATATAGGGCAAATATTCAACGGGTCGTGGGTTCGAACTCTGTTGGGTCACATGTAAATATAAAAATTATTAAAGAGACATCCGCTTTCAGCGATGAATTATGGAATTGTCTTTGGGAGAAAAGTTCGCGGGAGAAGGCATTTGTGGAGGCACTCGGAGACGCCGCAGTCCGTGGCGATATGTCAGAAAACCCACCTACACCCGATTTTACCCAGGTAGATATGTATACATAATTATGTATATGTCAAATACTGTCTATAGTTTACGCGAGTAGTACACATTTAAATAAAACACTTTAACGGTTTAAAACGCGATATATTAGTTAAACTTATTTGAAAATGATTTTTAACTTCGGCCCGACGTTTCGGGTGCTTTGCAGCAGCCGTGGTCTCCCCGTGACCACGGCTGTTGCGTTTTAAACCGTTAGTGTTTTATGTATATGCGAGTATATACGATTCTAGCGTCACTAACTTGCCTTCCTAGAACCTTCTCAATAATACACTAAAGGTTTAAAACACGAAATATATTTATTTATTTTTTATTTTTAGAGACTATTTCCAAAACCTTTTCATCAGCACTTGAACTTTATGGTATAGTACTACATACGTATTAAATAAGCATATAAAATTTCATAACTATCGTTCATGCTGTTTCAAAGGAGTATGGTAACAAACAGAGATTTTTAATGAGTCTCTCTCTCTCTATTCAGGCTCTTATTGAGGCTCTAGCAGATTTCGAACCTGAGTTGGTAGAACGAGTGGTCGCGTCACTTCCTCTGACAGCTATTGACCCACACCGTGCCAGTCTTTTTACTAGGGAAAGAAAACTTTGGCGAGGAGTCGGCGCTATTGCGGCAGCTATAGGTATTTTATTTTTTGTTATTACAAAAAACGTTTAAAATATTTTTCATAAATACCAAAGAAACTGTAATTAACTTCATATGTTCCTAAATTAAGTTGTAGGATAAACAAGTGATCTTTGTTTATCCTACAAAATCTATTTCGATTATTGGCTTTGATAGAAACATATTTATTTTATATAAATTCATTATATGAATGATTACTACAGAAAAATAGGACAAGCGTTCAATATTGACTGAGATTACGTTACGTTGGTATTAGATTATATTACAATTTCATAAGGTGAAAATGCACGAAGTTACCATGAGACTTAAAATGAAACAGTTTTCTAATCATTATTTTATTTAGGTTAAAAACATTTTATTATATTGATAGCACGTTTATTCCCCGTATTATTTTGGTTTATAAAGAAATTTATTAAACTGAAATATTTAGTTTGTATATTTACCAATATCTTATTATGACTTCAGTCATTTATTTAAAGTTAAGCTTTTGTTAGATCAACTTGTGAAAATGAATAAAAGTATTTTTGTTTTTTTTTTTGCCCAGACGGGTGCAGTGGTGCGATGCGCGAATTAGTCCAATACGTCGATTTGGAGTGCGCCGTGCGGACGGGTGGTGAATGCTCTTGCGCTGGAGGTGCTCTTGTCCTGGCTGCAGCTGACGCGTTGGCTGCGCGCTCACCTGCAGCACGACCTTTGCCACCACACGCAAAACCTTCGGCCCGGCACGATGCACTACACTCTCTGTTACACGACGAGGTATTCTTAGCATAGTAATAGTTTCTATTAAAACTTCGTCCTCTTGTGAGAGTATAATGAAGATTGATCTTGATGGCCCTTTACCGGCATTTAAACAGGAGGGTCGACCGTGTCCACTACGAGTGATGGTCACGCATGAGACGAGTGCCGCGGTTAGGCTGTTGGAACAGTGTACGCGAGATCCCCCGTTCGCCGGACCGCTTGGCAAGCAGAACCGATTGCGGGTCGCGCGCGCACTTTTATCCTATACTGACGGTATCCAGGTGGGTTTCATTGTACTGGAAATTAAGTTTTTTTTTTCAATCTAAATAGATTTACAGATTTAGGTACTTTTTTTTGTTGAATATATAATATATTTTTTATTATTTATAGGAAGCCGATAGGAGGCTTGAAATCCTAGAATTCATCACTACCCAACTAGGAAACGGGTCACTCCCCTTAGATCAAGAGCTGATACAAAAAGTGCAGGACGTCGTTGAGACTACGCCAGGTGAGCGCTCCGACCGCGCTTGGCTCGCTGTGCTTTTGCGCATTCGCATGCAGAGAGATCAATTACTTCCACTCTACCGCGACCATATATCCACACCGAGAGTCCTTTGGCGCGTAGACGCCTTACTCGATAACCATGATTTGGCTTTAAAAGAGTTTTTTGAAATCGACAATCCTTCTGAACAAGATATCAATGAACTCTTCGAGTTTCTACACTCCAACAGGGGGTTAGATTTCGGAGCTAACAGTGAATTACACGAGTACCTTCCGGCCCTGATAAACTTAAGACCAGAAGCCACGGCGAGCTTACTGAACGATGAGCAGGCGTTGGACACCCTTCCCGCCACCTTACAGCGCCTGAAGGCCGAACCAGCTTTAGAGTTCGGTAAGTGCTTACTTAATAAAAGCCGTCTCAGAGGTGACGCCGCTACAATTTATTTGCAAAGCCTCTGCGAACTGCGGCCCGCTGAGGTTAAATCGTTCCTAGTCGATCATCCTGGCATCGTCAGACCTGAAGATGCACTTACAATAGTAAAAAAATCCGGTCCGAAAAATGCAGAACCGATATGTCTCGAAGCAACAGGAGATCATATGGGCGCGCTTGAGGCGTCGCTGCGATTGATTAAAGCTGCTCCTGAGAACAGTCAAGGCACTCTCGCCTCGGAGGCGAGCGAACTGTGCGCAAGGGTCGCGCCAACTGTACCGCGAAGCGTTGCCGCCGAAATGTGGACCCGCCTACTTCGCAGCATAGAAGCGATCCCACCCCAAATGCTATTCGAGGCGATCGCGTATTTACCACTAGAGGAGTTGCTGCTTAAAACGTGCAATTCCGCGCAGGTGCAGAGGGTGCTCGCGGACGGAGCGAGCGGCGAGGCCATGTGGCGCTGCGCGAAGAGGATAGCGGGCCGTGAAACGCACGAGGCTCTAAGGAGAGCCCTGTTTGTAGCGCGGCGCGGGATTGCGGTGCGCGGTCGATGCGTCCGCTGCGGGACAGCGCTCGATCTCCGCGTGGGCGTACGCACGGCGCACTGTGCGCGCGCGTATCACGCAGACTGTGAAGCGTACCCCTTCTGTGAATGCGGCACGCGCTTGCCCACCGAAGTAATTCATCTACCACCGCTCCACCCGCATCGTATTTCTGTTTCGCAGGATTTCAACCTGCTAGTGGTCGCGCCTCCCCGCCCGGATTTAGAAGGTATCGTTTAGCTTCTAAATGTTTCTAACCATCTTGTGTATAGTAGGCAATTTACGACTGTAACAACAAAATGTATGTAAATAAATATATTTATTATTCTAAGTGAAGTAATTTTTTGTTGTTCATATATTTCAAACTATGTATTTGTGAATGAATGATGCATGTTTTTTGATAAGAAAAGTATGAAAGATATGCTTTAGATAACAATAATGAATAAAAAAGGTACAAATAAAAATTTATATTTTTGAATCATCCTATTTATTAGTTAGAGTAATGTTACAGTCATGAGTTCTATTTTTACCAGTGTGCATTCAAATTATACAGAGATCTTTAACTTCCAACATCAGTAGATATTTTAATATAATAAGGAAACTATAAGAGACTTATTCAAACAGACAATAAAAAGCTTTCCTACATAAACTTGTTGCAGTGAAATTAAAAAAAAAAATATATATATATATATATTGGAAGAACACAGACACTAAATATCAATTATACATTTCCACCGATTAAAATAGACTATACAACAACAGATCTAGAACTAACGCCTTCGCCTAAATACCTTATTTATAGTTATTAATAATCTAAAAGTACATTTAGAATACGACGATACTAAATAGGCAGACTATAATTAACTATTAATTAGGGTTGTATTTTTTTTGGCCAAGATAAGATTAGGGAACTGTTTGAGCGAAGACTAGACTATAGTACAAAACAATTCATTTATCCATTATTATTAGACGAGAGATCTGACATAAAATATATAGCTAAATCGTCTATTGTCTTCTGGGTTTTGTTCAACACATGTGAAGAAACACTAACGTTCTTAAATTTTGTATTTACCTGGCATAAACTACAGATAATAAATACTAGGTGAGATAGCATCGTATCAGTCGTACTCTAAATATATATAATATGTATACATACCAAATTATCAGCACATTAATAGTAAAATAAGTGCATTTATATACTATACTGTAAATGTTGATACGATCAATCTAACCATTTTGTCAACATATTGCACACCTAAATATTATGTTGTTATTAATTAGCTTGGAAAATAGAATACGCCACTCTATAGAAAGTCGTTTAAAAATTATTTTTTGATAAATTGGAAACTATAGTAAATGGGCCTCCATGAAGTTTCGAATGGCTTCATTCCGCATTATCATATCTGACCCTGAAAAAAAAAATTTTTTTTGTTGTTTATAGATTATAACATAATTGCAGAAGGTACGGGGCACTTCACTGCAGCATGGGTTGATGATATAGTAAAATAAGATTATGTCCAGGTAGGTATATATATGTCACGGTAAGATTGTAAACTATATTCGGCGGTACACTATCTTCCGAGATTAATGGTAATCAAAGTTGTATTGCATTTAAACCATAGATGCAAAGACCGTGGTCCGCCGACAGTAAAAATAATACTCAAATTATTATTATTTTTTCAATTTAATAAGTTACATTTTTTATTGTCTTTAATTACCTATACTTCTGGCGGTCCGTTATCAGTTCATGATTTGTCCGAGTGGTCCCTTGTCTTAATAAGTCTGTGCATCCCTGATAGACAAAAAATGGCAACACTACAATCATATGATGACGTCTATGAAACCGGCTTTTCGGCGGTTATATTCAACGTCAATGCACAATTACGTATGGCAGTCTATCTTTGAGATATCGTAATCAATCGCAAAAACTATTCTCAACATAATATGTCATCAGTTCATGTCTCTATATTATTAATAATAATTAATAGTTTACAATCTTATTGTTAATGACATAAAAAAAGAAAAACATTTTTTTTATATCTAACAGTCGTAGCAGCCTATGGGAATGGTAAATCTGAATAAGAAATTAATGTGTTTAAACCGAATAGTTTAGTAAAATTATCTCTATTTAACAAGAAAATATAATAATCCCTGCGGATTCAAACCTAGGACCTCTCCTTTAAAAAAATGCAAACCAAAGAGTTTTACCACTGCAACTCTTAAAATATTAGTAAAAATTACTACAATATATAGTAGTGTGTTATAAAAAATACCTTTGCCTCTGTCCCCTGCGTTTGCTCAGCCGACGTCCCGACGAAGGTGCCTGGAGCGTAAATCTGTTAGTAGTCTCTGGAGCCACTCGTAGGCTGCGTTCTTGTGTCGAACGAGCTACGCTTACCTATATTATACTTATTATTACTTTATTTTAGACGATAGAAAAAGAGAGGTTAAATAATTTTTTCGTGAATTTCCCACTAGTGCTTAAAAACGATGTGAAAAGATGGAGGGGGTATGACAGATATTAGCTATTATCTTAGTTTAACTGTTTTTACTTAATTTTAAGTGGTTAAGAGTTTGATTTGCTTTCTCTGATTAAGGAATTGGTTGGATTTAAGTGTCGTTACCTTATCCATAAATCTTTTAATTAAATCCGGACAGTGTAAGTTCTTTTCTGGCTCCCAGGAATCAAACTTGTTGGACCAGCCCTTCCAGTGAATTAGAAATTCCCTTTCTCCATTCTTCTTGTGATGAACCTCTAATATACGTTCTACCTAGAGAAGGGCACACATTTATAGTTCATATTTTTATTTGAGGCATAGCATTGAAGTATATCATCGTCACTTACTTCATATTCAGCATTTTCATCAGCATTTTCGCTGTTCCAGTGTGTCTTTGTTTTTTTAGCTGGAACCTTACTTTCTTTCTTACTTGCCTTTCTTTTCGTTCCTTTTTTTGTTGGATTTTCTTTCTAAAATAATAGTGACAATAAGAAATGGAGGCAAATAAAAACACTGACCAAAATTGGTCCTGGTCCCATAGAAATCAGATAAGATTCAGGAAGCATTTCGCAATCAAAAATGATGTAACAGCCAATTACGCCAAGAAATAATGTTACATTTCACTAGCCAATCTAATGAACTAAAAAATATAGATGCTATTGTTGGCCCTGAAAATAAAACCATGCCCAAGTGACATTTAGTATTTATTTTTACATAGGAATTGTTGCTGTTGCTTTATGACCTCTTTTATATACCTTATTTATTTATTAACTTTATTAATTACAAACACCCTGGAAATGGTTTGCAACAATAGATTCTTATGTACTAGGTTATAACTAAAATAACTTGGTATTTCAAATTAAATCATTTTAATTACCTTGTTATCAAATATGAAACAACTAAAAATGGAGTAAGAAATTCATAAGAAAGAATCTTAGCAAAGGAAAATGGAACATATATGACGATGACATTAAAGATGTAGCTGCAGTCAATTGGAAAAGAGTGGCTGAAGACAGAGAATATGCCAATGACATCTTGATAATCTTAGCAATGTCTAATTTTGATGTAGGTGTACAAGTGTCTCTAAATGAAAAATGTTCAGGGTACAATTGAAGGCTATTTCATTTTTCTTTAGCAAAGTGTCCATATAACTTACTTCTTCTTTGAACTTGGTAATAACATCTGGACAGGATAGTGTGTCATGTGGCTCCCATGTATCACTATCAGCACTGTATCCTTTCCAACGGATTAAATAGTGCAGCTTGCCTCTTATTCGCTTAGAGTCAACAATCCTGTCAACCTAACACAAAAATAAAAAATTGCTTAAATAGGTTTAGCCATATATAAACAATAATCACTATATCGTTATAATTCTCTGTTTAGAACAGAATAATGTTTAGAAATTTAGTGATGAAAACATTTATGTGCAAATGAGATATTACCTGTGTTTTAGACAAGTTGAGTTAAACATTGTACTTATGTATAAAGTAATACTAATATACGACTTCAATTATTGTCCAGCCTATTTGATACTGATAATAATAATTAACAAATTCCAATGAAAATAAAATATGTATCAAGGCAATTTTGGGTAGTGGTAAAATAACACAGTCAAGCCATAACTTCACGTAAAATCAGCTATATTATTTAATATGACTACATGAAGTCAATAGTTATGTTACCTCATACTCTTCTTCATCGATATCTTTCTTACTTTCTTTGGCAGTCTTCTTTTTGTTAGATTTTTTTCTACCCTTGGTTTTAGGAGATTTTGATGTTTCTTTTAAAATGTCCCCTTCATCCGTGTCATCTTTGTCGCTTTCATTACCTTGTACCCTTTTGACGCTTTTACGCCTTCTCGATATAGTTTTAGTCTTACTTGTATCATTTTCTTTAATGGAAGTATCGGACTTATGTCCGGAATTCTTTTCATCACTATTCTTGGATACGATATTACCGTCCTCTGTTGATCGGTCTAACTCTGGGTTATCGTCGTGTGGAAGTGATCCTGATCCATTTGTTGACGAAACAACATCGTCGTCTACTCGATTTTTTGATACTTTACGCATTCTGAATTTCGGAATATACACAATAATGAAGTCTTGTTATTTAAATATCCCAAATACGACTTCACCACTATTATAAACTTGCTTTTATTTACCAAATAAACGGAGGGAAACAACGCATTATGCCACCATAGAAAATAGACTGTAAGCATTCGAGAGTGGCCAACGAAAGATGAACCTTACCTAACGCGGCAAATTCAAAAAATAGTAATACATTAGTTATACCAACTACTGTGTTAAGGCGGCTTATAATGATCAAAACATATTAATCACTAAATAAAAATACCTAACACAGATGACATGCGTTATATTTAGGCGTTGCATAATTTTTAACGTAATATATAATCAAAAACAAAATACATGGACCACACTTGGACTGTATATAATAATGTTTAATTATAGCATATATTCAATAACATATTATATATTCTACGATATCGATACCATCACCACAGACTAAAATTAACATGTAAAGTACAAACAGTGTTACCTACAGCATAAATATAGCAAAGTCACTAGCACACCCTACCAAGTGATTTACTTAACTGTGCTATTGTGATATCATGGTATGTGGTCCCGTAAATACTATACATCATGACTACAAGAGGTAATAATAAAAACTCTCGAATGAGTTTTAAGTTCCAAAATGAATCAAGTATCGATTACAAGGGAACAAAACCCACAGCGGAGCAACCATCTATTTTTGAAGTCCTCGTTTTAATGATAGTGCATGTTTGCAAGAAAGTGCTTTTCTTTGACACCAATTTAAAAATAGCCATTTATTTAGGCGCACTCTTTTTACTTTCTTTGATTGCAGATGTTCTTACATTTCCTAAAACTTATTTTTCAAGAAGTGATAATATCTTTAATCAGTACTTCGTTAAAATAGGTTGGTTTTGGACTTTATTTCTCTCAGTCCCCTACGTCCTTTTAACATCATACACAGTTTGTTGTGGTAAAAGGAAAGTTATAGCCACAGCTCACCTGTCAAGACTATTAATTGCTACTGCATCGTGGTACACATGGACAACAGTTTTTAATATAATTGAAACCAAATATGGGCGCTGCAATTCCAACAAGTTTGATAGCAAAGTATTATGTTTGAAAAATGGACATTTTTGGAATGGATTTGATATTTCAGGACATTGTTTTATACTTATATATTCTAGCTTAGTTTTAATAGAAGAAGCTAGAGCTATAATCGGTTGGGACAGAATAAAAGATTATATTAGAGATGAAAATTATTCAAGAAGCCAAAATGATAAATCCCCAAGCCTAAATCCTTTAAAGAACATCAAGACAGAGGACATGAATATTCTCAAGACATCTTATGAAAAATTTACACCATATGTTAGAGCTCTTTTAATAGCTATTACCTGCCTTCAATTGTTATGGGATGTGATGTTAGTTTCAACAATAATATATTACCACATTATGGTTGAAAAGTTCATCAGTGGTGTCATTGCTGTCTTAACGTGGTTTGTTACCTACAGAGTATGGTATACATTACCAAAAGTTTTACCTAATTTGCCTGGACATGGCCTATTTAAGTACAACAGTGATAAGCCTGTACATAATGTGATGAATAAAAAAAGGCCAAGCTCTACTAATACAAAACATTTTATGGGAATGCCCATAAATAAAACTCAAGACAATGACTTAAATGAGGATGGAAGATAAGTTTGAATATAATAATCTGAACTATTTTATATAAAGGGTTTTTATAGTGCTACAGTTTACTAAGGTGGATATTTCAAGTAGGTAGATAATAAACTAATTGCACAATGTAAATAATGGTTGGAAAGTGTATTATTAATTTACTCTGTTTTGTTATGTTAATGTTTTTATTAAAGAAATAACATGTCCATAACAGTTTCAATTCAACTCAATATTTGTATATGATATATATGACTATGAGATACTGAGATAAAATATCTCAAATTTCGAGATAACAATAATCACAAAAATATAGAATGGTGGAATGAACAAAATCAAATTGTCTGATATTAAAAATGACCAATCTATAGAATATAAGTATTATTTAAATAATTACATGCAAACAGTATAACACTGAACACAGCCTACAATACTTTTCCATTAAGTTAATTAATTAATGAATAAGTTTCTTGAATAAATAAACAGTTGCTAAAACCATTCCTACTGATACAGCACTTGCAGCGCCTAGATAAACTGGGGGTTGTGATGTTATAATCATTTTAATGTGAACTGGTAAGCCTGGGATAGTCTTTTTAAATGATTCTCTTTCCTTGACTCTCTCAAAATATTGCTCAACGTGGGGGCGTTTTCTTTTGCTCCAAAATCTATCTTCTAAACCTAATTCCCAAAGGCGCTGTAATAATACTGCCAAATTGATATCGGCAATACTAAATTGTTCACTGCACAGCCAATTTTCTGGAAACGCATGTTTTTGTGATGTTAACTTCTGAATTGACAATTATTTAAAGTTAAAAATATGACTACTTACCTTGGTACTGTCTTGTTAATTGTTCTTCAACTTGCCCTAGTACATCATCAACCACATTCAGTACTTTTAAATATTCTTCTTCATTGGTTATAATTTCATGCTTCCTATCTTGGATTTCTGCTTTATATAGCAGAACATTCTCAGCTTTGGGATGTTCTTTGGCTAGTTTTCTTAAATTTTTGGAGTTGGATAAATCACCATCTGAAACATATTAGAAAATATTAGCAATTAGTTCTTGTTTCAAGAGCAATACCAAAGTGGAAATGACTGAGATTACTTTTAAGCACTTCTCTGACAGGTAATATAAAAGGTAATTTTGGAGTTCCACAGAGATGGGGGTGGAAAAATGATCCAATAGTTATAAGCCCAGCTGGCAGTGCTTCAATCATTTCTCGAAACATGTTGATGTTTTTCATTATTTTGCCATCTGAAGATACATTTATTAGCGGTGGTGTTTCTGAAATTAAAAAATAAGTTTTAGTACAATAAAAGCAAAGAGAAATGCACTTTATTGATCTTTTAGATACATACCTTGATTTATGTGTTCCTCCAAAAAATCTAATATTCTTGTGGAATCTGGTATGACAACATTATCAACTTTTAAAACAGGTATTTCTCCTCGTGGGTTTATTTCAAGGAACCACGAAGAATACTGCTCTCCTCTAGTTATATCGATTAATAGCGGTTCAAATTCAATATTTTTTTCGTAAAGTGCCATTAATACCTAGAATTAAAAAAAAAAATGTAAATGTGTTATCCATAATAATATACTGACATAACACTACATATTTAAACACTCATAAGTGCATTTAGTAATAATTACCTTCTGGGAATAGAAACTGTAGTAATTGCAATATAATGATACATTTGTTTTAATTCCATTGCTTTGTGGTGTATTATTTATTTTTGGAAGGTGAAAGTTTTCAATATACTTTTGTACATAATGCATTTCAATTAATAATTTCACTTATCGTATTTAATATGGAGTAAAGTATCAGAGGCAATATTTTCAGAAAAGTTAAAAACTAATGAAAGTTTTAAATTTCAAATTATAAACACATTCTACCAACATGAACAAATTGAAATCAGGTGATAATAACGTACCGGATATTATACACCTTCTCTTCCGGCTATACAAATAGCGTGACCAGAGACAACACAAAGAAATGTATTTTATAAGTATATTGTTTTTCTTTCCTGGCGTATCTGACAGTAAATTAATAATTAATGCTTTGTGCGTACACATTGTATTATAATGACTTTCAACACAATTGATAGAAACTCATACTAATCTGACTCTGTGGTTGAATCTATCATGTAAAATAACATAAGCTACACTTACATCTGTAGCGAGTACTCATGAAATTGTGAATAATCAATGCTAGTTAATAAAAAATAAAAAGTAGTGAAATCAATTTATTGGAAATTGGTCAAATATCAGTATTAAAGAATATTGGGAGATGTTGAAATGAATCGTGAAGTTGTGTTCACTAAGAAATTTGTATTGAAATGAACCACTTTTGAGCAGTACTAGGACGGTTTACAATTTACTTATTGTAGCATTTACGCTGTTAATGGCCCTCCTTAGCAATACATATATTTCAGCATCTATGGTTTATGTCTATTTATAATTAAACTATGGAGGCTACAAATAATACCGATGCAGTAAATCTCGGAATAGGGGAAGTGGAAGCTGAAATCGATGACGAATTGAAACAACTAGAAGAAGTAATCAGAGATGTTTACGATACACGAAGCGAAGTTTCAAGTTCATCTTCAAGCGATACTAGTTCACCCAGTATCAGTTCTGAAAGCACAAAATCTAAGCGACGCGATATTAGTAGAAAACGTGCAAAGTCGGATAGTCACTCCCCACCTGAAAACAAGCGGCGTCGAGCGTCCGGGAGTGTTAAAATAAAAACTTACGACTATATGACGAAACTGAACTACTTGTTCCGAGATACTAGATTTTTTTTAATCAAATCAAATAATGCTGAAAACATAACACTTTCAAAAGCCAAGGGGGTTTGGTCTACTTTGCCTCAAAATGAAGCAAATTTGAATCAAGCTTACAGAGAGTCCAGGAATGTATTGCTCATATTTTCTGTAAAGGAAAGTGGTAAATTTGCAGGTTTTGCTAGATTAGGCAGTGAGTCTCGCAGAGATGTGCCTCCAGTGTCATGGGTCTTACCCCCTGGATTATCTGCTAAGGTGCTTGATGGAGTTTTTAAAGTTGACTGGATTTGTAGGAAAGAATTACCTTTCAGTAATACGCTTCATCTATATAATCCTTGGAATGAAGGTAAACCAGTGAAAATTGGTAGAGACGGACAAGAAATAGAACCAAAAGTAGCAGAGGAACTGTGTAGATTATTCCCTGAGGATGAAGGAATAGAAATGACTCCAATTCTGAGAAAATCAAAAGAGTCATCAAAGAAAGGCTATCTTAAAAGTGGGGCGTACAGAACATATAGAGCCCCTTTGTCTATTAGAAGTGGTCCTTATAGGAACAGAATTATAAGTTCTTCAAGACCTAGACGTAAAATTTTTACAAATCCACGAAGTCGTTTGGGACCATCATATAAAAGAAGATCTCCATCTCCTTATTTAAGGGAGCGGTTACCAACTTGGTTTCTCAGGGGTCGTGATGGTTATGGCAGTAGTGGATCTGCATCAGCAGCTGCTGAAGCCTATGTTGCTGAGTACATGAGATCTATGCATCATCAGTTACCTCCTTTGCCATATGTTGCTCCACCAGGGTTCAGTGCAGCCCTACCTGCATATGATGGACTTCCACCTCCGCCCCCCCCTCCACCACGTTATTATGATTTAGCTGACTACCCTCGTTCAGTGCTTGTATATGACAAAAGGTCATATGAGCGATCTGTTGATGAATTTTTGTGGCGCACTACTGATAGATCTAGAGGTAGAAGTCGTGATCGTGAATCACATAGATATAGAGATCGCAGATAGAATTATATTCATCAATGTATGTTTACTTGTGTTTAATAAATAAATGTGATTGAACTTAGAACTTGAGTTAAATTTAATAAGTGATGTGGTGAACTTTTGGGACCTTTTTACCGTTAAGCATGAACTCTCTTACCTCATACTTTAAGGGACTATGCTAGTGACAAGAAATTATCTAAGTTGATTACTTAGATGAAGGTCTACCTGATTTTGCAATTATAAATTGACAAGAGAGTGAACTACAGAAAAATCATACTTATAAGACTAACTGCTATATACATATTGTAACCTTTAAGGCTGTGAACATCTGTGATTTATATGTAACTTATATACTATGATTGTTTAAGAGTTTCAAAAATACTAGAACTACAATATTTGCAATATTTTTAGGAACATTTTTGTGTTTCATAATTTTACTCAAAAAGTTTATAAATCCAATAATAATCAATACCAGTTCATGTTAAACTAGTAAACACCTGCAACCTTTGTCCAGATGTTAATAGCTTCATCCTCTGGAGAAAGCAGGTGGTTTATTTTTATTGACATGTTTAATTCTTTCTACCAAATATCAAAATTTAATAACTATGAGAGCATTCACTATCATTCATTTATATTTTATTCAAACAAATTACAATTTTAATATCATTTGGTAATAGATACTGTTGCTTATATAAATGATGGTTGCGAATAATCACCACTTATTATGTTATCATATGAGGCTAAATTGTCTTCTTATATCAACCTAGACATACTAAATTCAATAATAATTAACACGAACTGATGCCTCGATGCTTTTTGTGCCGTGATGCCTTTATGCCCTACTGTGGGCTGAATCAAATGCATTATATTTGCTCCAATAAGTGAATTTTTACTCAAAACATCACAAACCTGAAAAACGTTAACTTTCAGTTTCAAATATAACTTGGAATATCTGTGAGAACCTTTAAGTATAGCTTCTTTTCAGGTTGTACAAAAAATATACCTACCGAAATAGTTGGATATGAACGTTGAAACAAATGCAGCAATGGAGCAGTAAGAAGTCAACGGCAGAGGTCACACGTTTATAAAAGACAAGACCGACATTTTAATTACCTACTTTATAGTATTTACTTAAATTAGACTTTCTGGTGTGACAAACCGACATATGAGGCCATTCTGAATCGGTATAAGTGGTGAACATACAAGTGACGAAGCGATAGGCACAGTTTCGTATCATATCTTATACTGGCAGAACACCGAGGTTTTGCGGGTTCAAGTCCCGCTGCAGTAATCTTAAAAAATCGTATCAGCCTTCAGAGCCATGTCGCACTGTCGACCAGTCGCCGGCGACCAAAATGTGAGTTGCCTGGCCCACCGACGACCAAGTGCGTAAGCAACTTATAGTCGTCGGCGACTTGTCGATAGTGCGTAATAGATCTTACGAATGTATATATTTATTAGGTCGCTTAATAATCACTTGATAATAAGCCTTCTAAGAATATATTTGTTTGACGATGAACTCTGTAATACACTACCGCAATTTGTAGTGGTAAAGGAATTTGTATTTCTTTATTCCTTAAGTAGATCTAGTTTTGATCCGAGGAGAATTTAGACTGCTTTGGTCGACAATGGCCCTTAATGTATAAGTTTTGAGCAGAAAAATTAACATAATATTATATGTAGTACCTACTATCTGTAGCAGCGGCCGCGTAGAATACCTTCTCAACTTTACAAACTACGTTGTTAGCGTCCCGTAAAGATAGACATTATAATGTCGTGGACATTTTGTTGGGTACATATTTTAAAGAGGAATCATTCATTAATACATATTTTTTGGGTACTCCAGGTACTTTTTTTGTAGCGTTTGCAACAGAAACTCTTATAAATATATATTTTCCACATTTCCCACTGGTTCTTCGCTCCTATTGGTCACAGCATGATGACCTTCCTCGATAAATGCTCAAACCAGTAGTTCCTGAGATTAGCGCGGTCAAACAAACAATCAAGCTCTTTATTCTGCTCTCTATTCAGCTTTATAATATTATAAATACGATAGTTAATTCTATTATTGTTTATTAAATCGAACCAACTTTTTCAGACCTTTGACCAACAGCTGTGAAAAAGTTTTGTTTAACTGCAGTTTACAAATCTGTTTCATTTTCAAAGCTACTATAGAACTATCGATACAATATGGTGGCGTATCGTGTATCTATGTACCTTAGTAGATTTTTTCGAGGTGACTTATGTAACGGGAGGCGTAAATATGACGCAGGCGCGATTTTGGTTTCGCGTGAGAAAGGGTGCGTCAGTCGGCCCTCGGCGTCCAGAGGTGCTTCGCGCTCTGCGCCGCGCCCCTTACCGCCAGAGCGTGGCACGGGGCGTGGCGCTTACGTAAACACGCATGCTACACCCGTCGCTGCGGCCACGCCACTGTCCGTCCTAGAACGACCCCATGTCGGCCCGCCGCTTTCTCAATTTATGTGGATAACTCAAAGCTCGCTGCCGTGCCACCACCGCAGCCATTGCCATCACCGTTTTCGGCGCTTATAGGTACCTACCTCCTTGGTTATGGTTTTTTTTTAATTCAGGAACTTTTTACCTGATTAAAGGGATTTTCGTTATGTAAGATACATAACATGAGACACGCTAATCCTAATATACTATTTACTTAAGTCTTAAGATGATATTGATTAGGATATCTTTCCTCTGATAACGTATACTCAATAATACCTATACCTAAATTTGTACACGAAGCCATAGGTCGACATTGTTTCGATTAGGACAACATCTTGAAATTTAGGCGTGGAAAAATATTGCACATAAACGTTAGTCGACTTTTATGTTAATAGACAGAATGTCTTTCTTTCCCCACCTCGCTAACTGCTTGTGATAGACAAAGAGTAATCTATCTAATACCTATGAATGAAGGACCGAACTCTATAATCCCGATCCTATGTTTATGGACCCGTTGCTCAGCTCCATGGTAAATATGTTTCTTTGCGATGGGTATAAGCGGGACGGGGATTCCCGTCCCGCTTATACCGATCAGTTGAACAGTTACGAAATTAAGCTACGTATATATAGAAGCGAGTATAGATAGTGCTTAACTTAAATCGTCGGATCTCGGTAATTACAGCTAAAGACAAACCATCCCCCTGCATACAAAGTTTCTTCATAGTCAGCGAGTTTGTTGGAAGGTGTAGGTATGTATAGCCAATCGTGAGAAATAAATATTCGTTGAAAATGTTTGACCACAAAATAACCCCTAAAGCACAAACAATGCCTTAGAGTATCTTAATTGTATTATATCTTACATAATCATCGTAATATATTTGTTTATAACAATCGCCCTAATCCAGGTACTTCTTTATTGGATTTTAACCATCGGTGTAGGAAATAATGATCTAGGTGAAGATATAGTGTACTTAGTTTTTTTTAATCTCAACATCGAACAAACATTTCAAGAAATTGATAGAATTTATTTATTCTTATAGTTCAAAACCTAAGTAAATTCAATTTTATTTTCTACTAATTGTTTTGTTAAGGATCTTATCAATTAGGTTTTCCTAATTAGATCTTTAACTACCATCATATATTTTAAGCCTCGAAAATGTTAGGTACTCGAACGAAATTAAAAAAAAACCTGCGTTAAGATATCGTGATATAATGCATTAATACTCCGTAAATCGTGTTTTTTAATACTAATTATTTAACATTTTAAGTAATCAACATTTTTTAAGATAATTAAATGGTTGATGATATTAACAGGTTTGAAAAGTCGAGCTTTAAGTCGAATTGCGCGTGAAGGCAGTACCTAAAACACTCTTAAGCGTACGTACGTGCTGTCGCTGCAATAATAAATGTCATACCATTTTCAGCATCAAGAGTCAAGATGCAGGCGCGAGCGTCGCTGATGGCGTTGGCCGCGCTGGTAGTGGTGGCTGCGAGCGCGGAGCGTGGAGGTGGTATCAGAATCGGTGGCTCTATTGGCGGCGGCGGTGCCATCGGGACCGGTAGAGAAGGCGGTCGGGGTGGTGGAGTGCGCTTAGGAGCTCGGGCTCGCACCTCACCGGCGCCTCAAATACCCCGACAACCTTCAGTGATAACCGCTGCTCTTGTCGTGCCTCACAAAGCCTTTGGCGCGCGCGATTATACGAGAGCGGAAAAGGCGGCCTTGTCGAAATTGCCGCGGAAATTAAAACTTTTCTCACAAGTGCGACTTAACATTACGCTTTCTATGCAAGGCTTGACGCCAAGTCCTATGTGTAAGTGTTTATTTTGTATAGTGTATGTACATATTATAGTTGGCCGTACCATAATTAGCAACTGCATGGAATGATGTACATTCTTCTTATTATTGTACTAACATTAACATTCTAACTTTTTTTTCTTTAACTATCAAATAATTTCCTCGCATGTATCAAAAATATTTGTGATAACACTACGTACCAACACAGGGCTGTTAAGTGTTATGATAATAATAAAACTGTATTCACTCATTGAGTTTATATAAATGCTTCCAGCTATCTTGGACTCGCTATGTAAAGAATTTTTAGCAGTCAACGTGTCTGCTATACTGTATCTTATGAATCATGAACAATACGGGCGGTCTACTGCCTCAGCACAGTATTTTCTGCAATTGGCCGGATATCTTGGCATACCGGTAAAGCTTTTTTAACTTCGCAAGTTTAAACTATTTCCACTTTGCTTTCATGAACCTGGTAGAGTTTGGAACTTAACCTACGTGCTATATTCTGTAGGTAATTGCGTGGAATGCTGATAACAGCGGCCTTGAAAAGCACGCTTCTCACGCGTCTTTAAGATTACAATTGGCTCCAACGATCGAGCATCAAACCGCCGCTATGCTGTCTATTCTAGAACGATATAAATGGCACCAGTTTAGTGTGGTGACATCTGCTATCGCAGGGCACGATGACTTTATTCAAGCAGTTCGAGAAAGAGTTTCTTCACTCCAGGTTAGTCAATCTAGTCAGGTCATAATATTTTGACTTTACTAGCGTTTGATTCAAATTACTACAAGAATAAATTGCGACATAAATCGAAATAACATTTCAGGATCGTTTTAAATTTACAATACTAAATGCGGTGGTAGTGAAGAAACCAGCTGATTTGAATGAGTTGGTAACTAGCGAGGCACGTGTTATGCTATTGTACGCCACGCGGGAGGAAGCTGCTGAAATTCTCTCGACAGCCGCCGATTTACATTTAACAGGCGAGAGCTATGTATGGATAGTAACACAGAGTGTGTTGGGCTCACTGCAGCCACCTAATAAATTTCCAGTTGGAATGCTCGGTTAGTTTTATTCACTTGATTTACCAATTAAAATGTTCTCACCTAGGTATCGAAGGTAAATATAGCGAGCTAAAATAAAATAATAATCCTTGATTAAACTAAATTTTAGAAAATATTACAAGAGTTGAAGTTTCTACATATTTAGTAAAAAGTGGTGTAAATAATGATTCTACAAAATTGTACAAAATTCCAGGTCGAAATATTGAGTCGTAGTTCACTAAGTATGTTTCGTATTTTAAACCGTCAAACGAATTTTTTTTATGTTACGCTAAAAGCTACGGCTGCGTCAACTTACAAGCACTGTTTTATATTAAAAGTTGATAAGCAGTCGAATGAAATTTATTTATAATTTTAATTGGACGGTGTTTTTAGGAGTACACTTTGACACATCAAGTTCCTCTATTATATCGGAGATAGGAACTGCAGTGAAGGTGTTTGCGTATGGTGTAGAATCATATATATCACAGACAGAAAATTTACGATATCCCCTGGGTACGAGATTGTCTTGCGATGGAGCAGGCAGTGGTGAGGCGCGATGGTCCACTGGTGAAAGATTTTATCGACACTTGCGTAATGTGAGCGTCGACAGTGAAACCGGAAGACCTAGCATAGAATTCACTCCAGATGGTGAACTACGAGCTACGGAGTTAAAGATAATGAATCTGAGACCTACTATTGGGGATCAGGTAAAGTTCTTCGTATATAAAAGATCGTTTTAAAAATATGATGATTATTAAGGCCTGCTATTTTTTTAAGTAAAAAAAAAATATTTTTATCTAGCTTGTGTGGGAAGAAATTGGAACGTGGAATTCATATCCAAAAGAACGTTTGGCGATAAAGGACATCATTTGGCCAGGAGGGTTACATACACCTCCGCAGGGAGTACCTGAGAAGTTTCATATGAGAATAACTTTTTTGGAAGAACCACCATATATAAATTTGGCACCACCAGATCCAGTCAGCGGGCGATGTTCTTTAGATAGAGGTGTTATATGTCGTGTAGCACCAGAGATAGAAGTTGTTGGGTAAGATAAAATATTCTTGCAAATTGATTTTATAGTAGATGTGTAGACCTAGGTATATGCTATTTCACTAATGCAAAATTACAGGATTGAGGCTGGAGCCGCTCACAGAAATAGTTCCTTATATCAGTGCTGTAGTGGATTTTGTATTGATTTATTACAACAATTAGCAGAACAACTTGGCTTTACATATGAGCTTGTTCGTGTGGAAGATGGTCGTTGGGGCACTTTTCAAGACGGCAAGTGGAATGGGCTTATAGCAGAACTTGTTAATAAGAAGACAGATATGGTGAGACGCTTATTCTTATTTCGACATTATTAAAAAGGTACCTAAAGCTTTGTTGGAGACTTGAAAATGGACCCTGATGTGTTTATGACATAGACATCTATAACAATATTATTTTTATTTAACTGCAGGTACTCACATCATTAGTCATAAATTCAGACAGAGAGGCCGTTGTTGACTTCAGTGTTCCATTCATGGAAACAGGTATAGCTATAGTCGTTGCGAAAAGAACAGGAATAATCTCTCCCACCGCATTTCTGGAACCGTTTGATACCGCATCTTGGATGCTGGTAGGCGCAGTTGCAATACAAACTGCAACCTTTTGCATTTTTATTTTTGAGTGGCTGTCGCCGAGTGGTCTTAATCGCTCTCCTGGCCAAATCAATGTGCAGAATCGGTTCTCTCTCTGCCGAACTTACTGGATCGTTTGGGCGGTCCTTTTCCAAGTGAGTATAGACTATTCTTGAATACACTTATAGATAGATGATTAAATACAATCCAACCGACTTTTATTTTGCAGGCTTCGGTGCATGTCGACTCACCTCGCGGTTTTACGGCGCGTTTTATGACGAATATGTGGGCTATGTTTGCGGTGGTGTTTCTCGCTATATACACAGCTAATTTAGCTGCTTTTATGATTACAAGAGAAGAGTTCCACGAGCTTACTGGTATTGATGACCCCAGGATCGTGAAACCGAAAACTTATCAGCCCCCACTAAAGTTCGGGACGGTGCCGTGGTCCCATTCGGATGCTACACTGAAGAAATATTTTAGAGAACCGCATTCTTACATGACACCGTAAGACTTTTAAAACTAATTTTTTGATTTAATTATCAATAATGACAACTTGAACTCGGTACTTATTACAGTACTATTTATTTTTAGATATAATCGAAGCACAGTAAGTGCGGGTGTGACCAGTATATTGACTGGCGACCTGGATGCTTTCATTTATGATGGAACCGTTCTGGATTATTTAGTGTCCCAGGTAAATATTCAAATATGTATTACCAAAACTAAGTTCACAATGTATAGGTAATAAATGTGTATTTTCAATGTTGTATCGATTACAGGATGAAGATTGCAGATTGTTGACAGTCGGTGCATGGTATGCGATGTCAGGGTACGGACTGGCTTTTACACGCAATTCTAAATACCTAGGGATGTTTAATAAGCGATTGCTTGACTTACGTGCAAATGGAGATTTGGAACGTTTAAGAAGGTAGGATGAAGCTTTACTGTAACTGTAAACTTGAACAAGAAAGAGGTATAGTTGTCAAATGTGATCGTCATTGTGAAACATTTTAAACATCTTTTGTAATTTACTGTAACGTAGTTTAAATTGTTGTAGTTTCAGTAAACTTAACGTACAATTGCGCTGTATGTATCTCCACGTGTTTGACTCTTTTTAAGCTACCTTTATCTCCTGTCGCAGATACTGGATGACTGGGACTTGTAAACCAAATAAACAAGAACACAAGTCGTCAGATCCACTTGCGTTAGAACAGTTCCTGTCAGCGTTCTTACTTCTCATGGCCGGCATACTACTAGCTGCGGCCATATTGTTCTGTGAACATTTATACTTCCGTTATGCGAGAGAACACATTGTCAAATCAGAGCTACACCCTTGTTGTACGCTGGTCTCTATCTCAATGGGTAAGACATAAAAAAATAGTTTAATATGTAAGAAAATTACCTACGTTAAAAAAGACAGTTAAACTTTAAGCCATTTTATACTAATTTAACTATATTATATATTGCCATAAAGTCCTGACATTTATTATCTAATATTTGTATGTTTGAAACATTCATACTAATTGTTCTAGGCCAGTCCCTTTCAATGCAGAATGCAGTAATGGATGCTACTGCTGATCATGGATTTAGATTAGGCAAACGACCTCATTGTCGGTCTGCCGTATGTGCTGCCCAGGTATATTTGATGAATAAATTAGGTACTGATAATTTAAAATCCCATTTCCCAATATGATACACGAAACGGACACGCTTCTGAGTTTGTTTCATAGATTGCCTAACTTACAGGCAAGTACTGAATCACACTTTTGCGTCCTGGTCGACCAAAACAATTTAGTATCATTCATCAGAAATCAAACCTAGAACGTCTTACACAATGCTAAGTAACGTAACGCGCTTTATTATTAAGCCTCAGACGCTTACCATAGAGGCAACCGGGTATATTAATACAATCGTCCTTCGTCCTCATAAAAAACTAAAAACAATGCCGGATATTCGAATGCTTTCCAATAGATTTGGCGCGCACAACATGAGCGAGACGCAGCAGTAGCGCGTGCGAGGCAATTAGCAGTGGTTCTGGCTGCACATGGTCTGCAGCCTCCACCACGCCGCCTCGCCTCGGCTGCCGCTCTTCATGCTTCCGGCCGCGCCCACGACGCCACAAGACCACGCACGCTACACGTGCCCGCGGACTTGCTGCCGGACCTCGACCGACCGCTCTCTTGCGACGACCTACGTGCCAGGTACTATTAACGTGCTACGTACGTACTTTTTTACGTATTTTACCGTCGATTTACTGTTACTAAGTAGGTCGTAATTGCCTGTCGGGCATAGCAACAAAACCACAAAAATACACTTGGTTTTCGCTGCTCGTTCGTATTCATTATTTATCAATTTTTGTTTCTTATTATTAAATTCAATATTAGTCTTATGTATTGTTTTAAAGTTGTTTGAATTTAAAATCTGAGCCTCCTAAAGATAATTTCTATATTTAATATAATACAGGGATCAGGCATTATAATATGTATATCAATTTATGTACTCATATTTATTCTAGGGAGCGGACTCGTGTCGAAATGGAAACAGTGCTGTGAGGCGCATATAGCGCCACTTTTTTTCAATTCCTGAAGGCTGTTCTTACACCAAGTTATACAAAACAAAATTAGTTATACTTTATGTTAAAATAAGGTCAGATAAAAAAAACGTTGTAATTATTAAATAAACTATTCCAATTATTAAAACCGAGATGCGGGTGTAGATAGCGAAGCGTTGTTGTGGGACGCGCGCGCAACGCGGGCTGGGCGTCGGGCGTGCGTCCTCGTGTTGTCTACTACAATAAATATATTTTTTGGACAATATTTTCTTGTTTTATTCTTGTATGCACTACAAAACAAGATGATCAAATATACATTGATATTTTTATGATTAACCAAGCATTTACCCCATTAGATTTAAAATAAATCGTAATAAAATATCTTTGTATTCGAGTCGTTTGACAAAAGCGAAAAGCTGAAGTCGATTGACAGTTGCATTCGGATGTGGTCGAGAGAATTCTGATTTTCGTTGGTGAGTGCCGCACGACTCTAATTGTTTAGGAAACCATATTTATCGGATTGTTATGTGCCGGCCCTAAGCTGCACTCTATTAGGCGACAGCCCTAAGCTGTGCCACTACGGGGAAACTGCTGATAGTGCGCGTATTCGATACCCGTGCGATCGGTATATGACGCTACTGTTGCCGTACCCATTTTAGCATAAGATATTAATTAGAATTATTGTAAGAGTCGACCTGATGTATCGTGCACAGGGAGACACCTAGTATTAATTAAATGTAGGAGAATAATTGTAAGCGTCGAACTGATGCATCGTGCACAGGGAGACAAGTAGGATTAATTAAATGTAATATTTTTAATTAAATTAATTATTAAGTTAATGAGTTTTTTTGCAACCACCGGTGGCGACTAACATAATTGGATAAACGTGAGTAATTATTTATTTTTATCTTGTTTACATATTAATTTTGTTAGTCGCATCAGTTCGACGCTTACTATGATTCTAATTAATTTCTTATACTAAAATGGATACGGCAACAGTAGCGTCATATACCGATCGCACGGGTATCGAATACGCGCACTATCAGCACTTTCCCCGTAGTGGCACAGCTTAGGGCTGTCGCCTAATAGAGTGCAGCTTAGGGCCGGCACATAACAATCCGATAAATATGGTTTCCTAAACAATTAGAGTCGTGCGGCACTCACCAACGAAAATCAGAATTCTCTCGACCACATCCGAATGCAACTGTCAATCGACTTCAGCTTTTCGCTTTTGTCAAACGACTCGAATACAAAGATATTTTATTACGATTTATTTTAAATCTAATGGGGTAAATGCTTGGTTAATCATAAAAATATCAATGTAGTGTAAGTGTAGCTTAGGGCCGGCACATAACATTTCCCCCCCAAGATCCGCGACTATTTTAGCACGTTTAGGGAAAATGTTGCGGGTGGATTCTGAGCTGCTGACGTATTCGCTGCTGCTTCTTCTACACGAAGCTGTCTTCTTCTTAAGTAACGACGATAGTAGATAAACAGCGCGACTAAAGCCATTAGCAGGAAAAATACAAAAATGGTATGGAAGTATGGTATATCATGGATTTTTCAGGTATTATTGGCTCCTGAGCCATCTGTTTTTGAAAATTATGTAGGCTTTCCAGATCAATTGATGATATTCGAAGAACCTTTAAAGATGGAGAAGGAAAAGAATTGTCGATTGACGTGAGTAGAATCTTCATTGGTTGTCCATTGATTTCATTGTTATCATTAACAATTGTAAGGTCACCAGTGCGTAGAGAGCAGTTTGTTGGTAGAGTTGCAAGATAGCTTCCTTTTAGGTTTAGATATTCGTTACTGCCACAGGATAGAATAACTTTTGTTTCATACTAGAAAACACGAGTGAGTAATGGGCGTCATCCAACTTTTCCATTGCAAAGTAACCAAAGTAACGGTGGAACAGGAGGCGGTTAAATGCTGCACCGTGATAGGGGCGGCAACGCAATCCGGTGAACTTTTGATATGGTGATTGAAGTCTTTTTTACAAAGATACCGATCACTTTACTTCGGGCATTCAGCCTCTTTGTACATATAATCATTACCATTGGTTGCTATATAAGGATATGGTGGGATGAGACCTTGGTTCAGATGATTCGGCAAAATTGAAAGCTTATAAAAGATTATAATTGGAGAGCCAATCGGGATCCGCAACACTATAACTATCCTGTTTTCTGAATGATATGACCCACTGCGAATAATACTGTAATACTCCCGCAGGTCAAGGTCTAATAATAATTGGTTCTTGTTATAGAGACTTACTAGCATTCCTAATACACTGCGTAACATATGTATTCCTACCATTATATGATGTTCACTACAACTACGCGTATAGACTAAACTACCTTCTACATCTCTAATAGTGAGTAATAACTCGCCTCATTAAGTGAATCTAATAATTGCGCAAATGTAGCAATTAAGTTAGCACAGCTAACAAAGTTATACTCTACGTATAGACAGACTTGAACCATACGCGGAAAGAATCGTCGGTGAGTACCAATGTGGGTTCCGACGCAAGCGTAGCACAATAGACCAAGTTTTCCTCCTAAAGCAACTGATGTACAAGAAGTGGGAATACTCGCAGAGGATTGTGATTTTTGAGGATGTGGATTTCAACAAAGAATACGATAACATAGATAGAGACTCTTTGTACGTCATTCTGAGCAACTTCGGAATCCCGCAAAAACTAGTTTGCCTGGTTAAGGTCGCAACCGAGATCAGCAGAATGCGTGTTAGAGTAGCGAGCGGACTATCAGAAGAATTCGTGGTGAAGACCGGCTTATGACAAGGAGACGCGCTATCCCCAATGCTGTTCAATTTGGCACTAGAACAGGAAATCACAAAGTTTCGGCGCTGGCTGTAGGTGTAGGGCTAAATGAACAAATGAGTAATTTAAAAATCGAAAATAAATTGAAAAATTTTTCGACTCGGGCAGGACTTGAACCGGCATCGTCAGCTTTCCGTGCTGTTGCTCTACCAATTGAGCTACCAAGTCAGCATAGAGTAGTTGGATACGCCGACGATTTGGCTCTTCTAGGCCAAACAAAAAATGAGGTGCAATGTCTGGCGAGAACCTTGATCTCCAAAGCAGCTGGAATTGGTCTGAGAGTAAACCGAGAGAAAACGGAATACCTCCTCATGAAACGTTATAAGGACAAAAGAATAACAATTGAAATTAAGAGCAATGAAATAAAACTTGAGGACCTACATGTGGACGGTATCTCATTCAGGGGAACCAGTAAATTCAAATACCTCGGCTGCACAATAACGGACACGAACTTAAGGGAAGAGGAAATAAATATTCGGATCCAAAACGCCCTCCGTTGTTGCGCGGCCCTCCATAAGCTGTTAACGTCACAGGACAATGCCATAGGAACAACATCTTACATATTTTTAAAGGGTTAAACTAATATGCCTGATAATTGTTGGATCTGCGTATTTTTTAATTAAGCTGATTATTGATTCCTCTAGGTAAGCCTCGTTTATAGTTACAGAAACTTTCGAATATTCTTCAAAAAGCTTGCTTACAATAGGTTTTGTGTTAGCTGAGTTAGGCGAGATTTTTATCACAATTTGTCGTAGGAAAATATTTAAAGGATCATGACTAATGGGAATTTCAAGGGTGGGATCTTCGTGACTGGTATGCTTAGTTCCGTCAAGATTAACCTCTTCCTGTCTATCAGAACCATAAGCTCTTAAAGTAGGTGGAGTGTCGGTAGAAATAGAATTAATGGTCTGTCGTCAGGTGCGGTCACTGTCGACTCAGAATCCGAAATATTAACTACCATGGATTCTACATTTTCATTATGTAATGCAATTCGCGATAATGCGTCAGCATTTGTATTAGCTTTACCTTTTTTTATTTATAACGGTATAATCATATTCACTTAATTTGAGACGCCAAGGAGTAAAACGTCAATTTGGTTCTTTAATATTCATTTAGGGCTGGTGTATTAGGGAATACCTATGCTTGTCTATCCTCTTTTATCATAAAACAATAGCTTTGTTCTATCACCAATAGTATCCGCAAAGCTACTACAGCACTTCAACTGTGCTGAAAAAATTTAATTCAGCACAGTTGAAGTTTTAGAGTTTATTAATAACAAACCTAAAAATATTTCATTGTATTAATATTATAATCGAGTTGTAATGTAGATTAGAATATAATATCTATTTTAGAAGTTTGTCAAAAGTCGAAAACTCCATTGTCGATATCCAACATAATGTCAGCGTCAATTTTTGTCAATCATCATATGGTAAAACAACAATTGTCATGATTCAGGGTTCTGGTTTCGTTAATGTACTAAGTTCCTTTAAATCCAACTAGAATTAATGTGTACCTTCCATTCTTATGCAATTTTCGAATTTAAACGATATATGTGTCCTGACTCCTGTGATCTAACATTATATACAAATTTTGCAATTCATGCGGCATAGTTACTGAAAATTTAGTCATCTGAAATTTTTAAAAGCAACATGTCGAAAGATATATTTGTTCTTATACCAAACGGCAGAAGAATGAAAGTTCGTTGTACACCGGATACCAGTTTCTTGCAAGTAAAGAAAGTAGAAATTGTGCATTTTAAAGACTATAACGACTATTAAAATTGGTTATTTATTAGTGTTGTCCAATTTTTAGGTCTTGGAAAATGTGTGTGAAAAACATGGATATCAGCCTAGTAAATATGACTTGAAACATCATAACATTATTGTAGACTTAACTAGCACTATGAGATTCTGTAATATACCAAACAAAGCAATTTTAGAAATGGTTGAAGCAGAAAGAACGCGAGTGGAAAGTAATGTTACTGTAGGTCTTTTATTAATTGATGGTAAGTTCATATTTCATTGTTCTTAATTTCAATTGTTATTTAACACTAATCAATGTTGTTAGTGGTCTACGTCACTATGACTTAGATATTTCTGAATATGTGTTTTAAAAATACTTGCTAAATAAAAAAAAATGTTTTATATGATCTAATTTTTCTGGGCTAATAGGTGAGAGGAGGACAGCAGAATTCAGTCCTCAAACATCATTATATGACCTTGTCATGTCCTTAGCCTCAAATGAGTTAACTATGTTAAAAAATCCTACAATTATGTACATGAGACAAGAAGTTACTGGTGTTTTGGCACTAAAACAGAAAACTTTAAGACATCTGGGCTTAATAGCTGGAAGAGCCGTCCTTCGACTATTAGATAAAACGGAAACAGAGTAAGATGCTTTTATATTACTAAATAAACTACATTTACTGTCAAAATTCTAAGATATAAACCTGTGTATACCTATTATTTATAGACAAGCAAATGTGTCCTCTGTGTACAGAGCTAAGTCTGAAAAAAATAAAGAAGATATATTACATGCCAAAGATAATAAAGCAGATTTGGATCCTTCTTGCCTAAGTCCCGATGATAATAAAGTTGTAAATGTTAATGCAGTAAAAAATTATAATCACAAGGTGTTGGATCCTGTAAAAATGATAAAAAGTGAGAAAGAGAAAGGTCCCACTTCATCTAAAATACATGCAGAAAATATAACTACTGATGTAAATATGGCACACCATGTAGATAACATTAATTTCGAGGAAGCTGTATGCTCTAAACAAATAGAAAACAAAAAATTAAAAATAATGGAAAGTCCAGAAGAGTTAGAAAGAAGGCTTAGAATAGAAGAAGAAGTTACCTTTGTAAGTAGTTTTAGATACCAATTTTTTTATTGAGCAAGGATCTAAAGAAAAAGCTGACCAGCTTATTTTAAACATTTTAATAACAACTTGCTTTTCATTGTTATTCTAGGTAGGCTCACAAAAAGCTGTAGCATTTAAACAACCTGAAGAATTCCAGGATGAATTATTAGACCTTCCAGATGATTTTTATGAGCTAAGTATTGAAGAGGTAAGAAAAATATACCATCAACTACAACAGAAATGCACAGAATTTGAAGAGACTCCACTCATGACAACAGCAAAACGAGAAGAGCTGGAAAAACAGGTAAATTAAGCAAAATTCTAAAACAGCTTGAAATTCAGTTTTTGATAGAATCTAAAAAGTTTTGGTTTCAGGTATCTCAACAAAAAATAAATACATATAAAAATGTTGTAGTTCGTATACAGTTTCCAGACAATATAATATTGCAAGGGGTTTTTACCCCCACTGATACAGTGCAAGACGTTAATGACTTTGTCAAAGTACATTTACAAAATAATCAGAAACCATTTCAAATATGTATGTAAATATAATTCAGTTTATTTTACAAATATATCACACTTGATTGCATGCTTCAATAAATGTATGTTATATTGCAGTTACTACACCATTAAAAGAAACTTTAGATCCAAAAACCACATTACTTGATGCAAAGTTTGTCCCCTGCGTCCATATGCATTTTAGATGGCTAGAGGATAATTCTGATACTAGATACCTTAAAGACGAAATTTATTTGAAACAGACATCTAGTGATGCGGCTGGTATTTTAGCGTCAAAATATAGGTGAGTTTCTATTCCATTTCAATCAAATTATGAAGATACTTTGATTTTCTCCAATAAAAATAAATATTTTTAAAACAAATTTTTAATTTTTCACAGAGCTCCAACACGCAGAAAATTTGAAGACATACCTGGATCATCTCAAAGTGGTCAATCTAAAATCTCAACAACAAAAGAAAGCAAAGTACCAAAATGGTTTAAAAAATAAAATTATATTTACCTTGTATAACAAAGTCACAATTGTTTAATGGCTTTTGGTGTCTCTTTTATATCACAATAAAGTTTAGTTTTTTTTAGTAACCTGTAATTATATAGAATTCTTACCCCGACAAGTACAGTACCTACAAGGGACATCATATAGAAATCATTTTTGTTCTATTACTATAATATTTGGTGACAAAAATTAGATATATACATGGGTAACCAATAGCATGTGATAAGAAAAATTGAAAAATGGTTTTGGTTACTTAGGATCTCTATTAAAAACACATGAATTGATTATATATTTTAGTAAACTAATCATTTACACAGCTTTGTGTAAAATATGCAAATCTATTAGCATAATGCTTCAAAAATGTCCTCTCCCAAAGAAACAGACTTCATTTATGATGGAAAAGGCGCTCTGTGAACTACTTGCTTACTAAGTCTTAAGCAACGACAACTATGTTAAATTTTATCACTTCAATAGAAACATAACAGAGAAAGTGTTAACGCTATGAAATTTATTGTTATGTTAAGACAATGCAACTTAAATAAATAGTTACTAAAACAATTAAATAGGTCAAACCTATTCATAACATTGTTTTTATAACACATTTTCTCTGTATTGGTGTAGTGAGTAACTTGTGAATTTAAATACAAATTAAAATAATATAATTTATTTTATACACTTAAATAACAAAAGACTGATAGGTATTGTTAGCTATTGTTAAATTTAAATATGACAAATAATTAAAGCAACATTTACTGCTAATAGCTGGTCAGACCTACATGATCCAAAGTTAAACTTAATATTTTCCATTCAGAAATATCTACAAGCAATTATAGATTACTAAATCGTATGGTTTAATAATCCAACAATCAAAATTTTATATAGGAAGGCAAATCTCCCAATTTAGATCTTGTAGGTTTTATATTATTACAAATATTCAAATTATCATTTACTCTATCTTTATAGTACCTACAATCTTCAAGATTTGATCCTTGATTTTGTTCATTAATATTCATGGTCTCTGTATTTTTCTGATTTTCGGATTCTGTATTAATACTCCTTGCTGTATTTTTTCTTTTCACTAGCATTCGCTTTAATACTGGTGACTGTGATTTACTGTTACTTTTTACAACTACTACTTTTCTTTGTTTAACATGTCTAAAAACACATTTTTCACCCTTTTCACAATAGCCTCTGACAAAATCCCGACAAATATTTGTTTTATCATTTAACTTAACATGGAGGTAAGGACAACTCTCCTTGAAACACACCCCCTTTAAATAGAAATGACAAGTAGGCATTTTCTTCATTGATAACTCATGCGAAAGGGAACAGTCAACATCATGGCATATTCCTTTTAAAAATTTTCTGCACAATGAAACATGTCTTTTGTCATGTACATAAGGACATTTATTATTAAAATTTCTTATGCATTTTCCATATTTTGAGTATAGAGGACAAGGAATATTATTAATTTTCATCTTCCCTTTAATAGTTTGATTTTTATGAGTATATCCTCTGACCACTTTTACCTTATTGTATGAAGTTAAATTATATTTAACCATGCTCTTATTGTTTGAAACACTCAACTTTAGAACCTTTTGGGGGGTACTGCTATGCAATGAAGGTTTAAGTTTGTTCCTCCTATCTTCAAAACGGTTGCTTTTCAGCGGATTATCCAGATTTATCATTTTATACTTATTAATTTTTAATATTCTTGGTTTAGGTGACAATTGTTGAGGCATTGAATCATTATTTTCTTTTTGTCTAATGAGTTTGTATCTTGTGTTAGACACTGGTAATTGTGGTCTTTTTGACTGATTATTTGAATTCTTCTGTATGTCTATATTTGTATCCAACTTTTCCTTTAATTTATTACTTTCTGCTCTTCTAATTAAAGTGTAGCGTGATTTACTAAATACATTATCACATAGGTTTTTTGGGACACTCATTTCTCTATTGTGTACTATCTCATCCTTACTTGTACTCTCTCTCACTTTTGACTCATAATTTGTATTCTTTAAGTTTATAAAATTAGGATTAACAAAAATTCTATTTCCTTTTGACAGTGTTTTGGGTTCAACAAAATTTTGATTTATATAAATATTTTGATTATGTATTGTACTATCATTTCCTTTTATTGGCTTGTAGTTTGGGTTGATGTATACCTTATTATTATTCTTCTGTTTTTCATCCATTTTAATCTAAATGAAATTGAAAGTATTTATTTCCAACCTTACAATCAATTTTTGCAATGTTCACAACTGGTAATATTTTTTTTTCTTGCAGTAATATGTTATTTAACTGTTTTGTCTGCTTAGATAAAGATTTTTTTAAATCTCCATTCCACCACAGAATGCTCATATGAAATGATGGATTCTGAAATAAAAATTATATAAGGCAAGATAATATGAAACTAAAACAACTCAATTATTTGGAAATTTGTCTTGGTGTAAACTTCTGAAATTAAATTTACTGCTTTTATGAATGGTTTAAAATGACACAATCACTATTACAATGAAAGAAAAAAATAGAATAACACTATTAAATCATTATTTTTAAAGCTTCAATAACAATCTTTATTTATAATAGGATTAATAGTTAATTACATAAATTACTTACATCATAAAATGTTGGCAAACTGTAGTCTTCTAACACACGGTTAATTTTATCAACAACATCTTCCAAATGTTTTTTACTATAAAAATCTGCATTTAAGGCTAAAAATGTACGAGTCTTCTCTTCATTTGTATATATTTGCACACTGTCAAATCCTATAGCAAAACTAAAAACACAAGTACTTGTTAATGTCTTAATAGAAATATGTGATAATCAACTTTATATTAAATTACTATGTATATATTATGTCCTTAACTTTTAATTAATATTACTTACGTTTTGAGCACACTTAATTCTTTCTGAAGTGATGTAGTGAAAGAAGATATTAAATGATACTTTAAAACAATAGTTTTAGACACGCTTATGTGTAAATCTTCACAATTAAAGCTGGGTTCACAGACTGGTTTAACAAATATTTTAATTTTTTCCAGCAAGTCATATATTATGTCTTCTTCTGGGTCTAAAAACAATAAAATTTTAGGATCATTCTTATATTGGCAAGACCTATAAAATCATAAAATTTTCAGCACTCGATTTGAGTGCTGAAAATGATTGTAGGTAAAGTTGAGCCAAGCTTAATTACTGTGACAAAATTACAAGAACTGATTTTATTAATACTTACATTTAACAAAAGCAAATGAAGCCCAATTTCCTCTTACATGCGGAAAGCTTCGAATACGCCCGTTATGCTCTTTGGGATCATCTACATGCAAGTCCGTAGGTACAGTTGCAACCTTACTTAGGTCAGGTGTCGGTAATTTGGTACTTCTAAAATAAACAAGTTATATTACAATCTTGCTTGGGAAATGAATTTTTTTTTAAACCTTTTAATGCGCATATTATTAAAACTAACTTTTTGGGGGGAATTTCTTCTACATCAGACTCGCTTTCTCCAGATTCGTATTCACACAAATATAATAACCCAGACATGAGTTTTAGGGTTTAACTATTAATTTAATCATAATACAGTTCTGTATGTAATATTACCATTTACCAATTGAATTCACCTTTTCCTTGACGTACAGCACAGATGTAGTACGAACTGAAGATTATATATATTTGCTCTGTTCGGATTAAATTTTGAACTATCAGCAAACAGTATGGTAATGATTACTTTTGGACAATATAAGTTTAGATAAAAGAATAAATTTATAATGAAATAACTGAAAACTTCTATAGATTCACAAACATAATCTTCATTTTCTTATCTTGACGTGGCACCAAGAAAATTCCAGTAAAAGTTAAAGTTGTAATAGCGATTACGGGTGAACTTTGTACCCTGCCAAGTACCCGTAATGTTGTTTTTATATTCATTTTTTAAATAATTAGGTAAAGAATTGTTTTAACTGACGGAAACACTTGTTTCAATCCAAAATTTAATAATATTTCGTGTATATATATAATATAACTTAGTTTATTAAAAATCTAAGTAATAATGTTGTTATCTCAAAAACCAATCGTACGCAAAATGCCACAAATAATTGCGCAACAAACAATGGCTAAAGATTTTCACAGCTCTAGGTTAAAGGGAAAAGTTGCAATTGTTACAGCATCCACTGATGGGTAAGAACAGACATAATATTAAATAAATATAAAAAATCCAACTTGCCTAACAAATTTTATCCATCTCCAGAATTGGTTTTGCCATAGCAAAAAGGCTTGGAGATGAAGGTGCTTCAGTTATAATTAGTAGCAGAAAGGAAGAAAATGTCAAAAAGGCAACAGAAAATCTACGTAAGAATGGGATTCAAGCTGAAGGTGTTGTTTGTCATGTTGGAAACAAGGATCATAGAAAAAAACTGTTTGATACCGCAAGTATTATTTGTGAAGAACCATGTCTCTAATAAAAGTATTTTGTAATAATATTTTTACCGTTTGTTATTTGTAACCTAATTATAAATAAAGTGTATAAATTATATATAAATATTTTGTCTATACTTAATATAACAATGTTTTATTCACAGGCAAAAACTAAATTTGGTGGTCTAGATATTTTAGTTTCAAATGCTGCTGTAAACCCATCTGTAGCAGCAACTTTAGAGGTAAAAGCAAGTTTTTAGGTTGATGAAATATTTATTAACACAGTATATAGGAAGATTTTATGTTTAAAATTTTCAGACTGAAGAAAATGCTTGGGATAAAATATTTGAAATTAATGTTAAGTGTTCTTGGCTATTAGCCAAAGAAGCATATCCCGAACTTATTAAAAGAGGTGGAGGTAGTATTGTTTTTATTTCATCCATTGCTGGCTATCAACCAATGGAGGTACAGTATATAAAGAAGTAAATGAAATGCTATGTTACGCTATTTTTAAATATTCGATCATTTTAATTAGTCGAGAGATAACTTTATACATACCTACTTTTATTTTAGCCTTTAGGGGTTTACAGCGTTAGCAAAACTGCACTTTTGGGTTTGACGAAGGCTATATCTAGTGAAGTTGCAAGAGAAAATATTCGAGTAAATTGTGTTGCGCCCGGCATTGTAGCAACGAAGTTTGCGTCTGCGGTGAGTCACATTTATGTGCCTTAAACTACTAATCCAACCTGAATCAAATATCCTTTGCTACCTCCATGATAACAATTAAATACCAAGAAAATCATTACTTTTGACAAAAGCCTAAAACAATTTTTGTGTACAATATTACAGATAACGTCATCAGAAGTAGGAAAAGAGAAGTCTTTATCAACAGTACCTATGAATAGATTTGGAAAACCAGATGAGATAGCTGGAGCTGTAGCCTACTTAGTATCTGATGATGCTGCATATACTACTGGTGAGACTATTGTAGTTGCAGGAGGAAGTCATTCCCGATTATGAGGGAAGAATTAGATGCAATTCATAGAATTGACCGATTTGTTATAGGAAATTTACAATAATATACCTATGACAAATATTTACATATATACTAAAAAGTAAAAAAAAGGGTTAATGTAAATAGGGAATATGGGTAAAACAATATATTTTTTACATTTTTTATATAATTTATTCATCATCATCGGAATCCAATAAATCTGTTTTTTTGAAACCAATAGTTTTTAATACATTACTTGCAGGTCCTGTAAGCCCCTCTTCTTTCATACTTTGTACTAAATTATCCCTTACAGTATTTTCACCTCTTTTAGCTATGAAGCGAAATTTGGCTTCAAGTTCCTTTTCAATACTTTGACTAATTTCATCATCTTCACTACATTCACTATTTTCGTTTAATTCATTAGCATTATTATTTAATGTAAGCATATTTAAATATTTTTCAATACAATTTTTAAAATCATCAGGATCAAAATCTATTGTATCTTTGTCCACACTTTCCAATGGTTTCTCTATTCCCTCATAATCCGATTGATTATTTAAAAATTCTTTCAAAGCTGAGGTCATGTTTTGTGGACTAATTTCATTTGTTTGAAGTGCAGTAGCTCCAGGCTTAAACTGTTTTGTTAATAATTCATTCAATTGATCAGGGGTAATATTTAACCAATCGTCATTATCTTCCATAAGTACATTATTTGTACCATTTCTAAGAGTATCTTTCATTCTGAGAAAAGCTTCATTTGTTTTAATAGATAAAATTTCATTGCATGTATAAGTGTTTAAAGGACATTCTATATTAAGAAAATAGGTTGTAGCTTTATCTAGTAGTTCAGTGTATTCTTTAGAACCTTCAATGTTTTCTTTGAAATAACCAGTTTTTTGTAAACTATTAAGAAATTTTTTATATCCATGTGATGATAAAACATCTTTTTCTGATTGGTTCATAATAATTTGATAACCACATGTAAGTTTAAATCCAAGCAAGATTTTCCTTTCTTCACTTATTATATTGCAACTTTTAAATAAGCTTTTTATAGGCTTAGACTTTAGAAGCATAGCATATAATAACTTGGGAAACTTCACCTGCGTATCAATACAATTTTGATATTTCATGTTTTGGCAAGTTTTTGCATCAAATATGTCATAATTGCAATAAGCGTTAACAATGGGTGAAATCAGTGATGGTTTGAACATTAAAATTGTTGCTAGTTCAAGAGGTAAGCTTACAACACAATTGTGTATATCCTCTTGAATTTTTTGTGGATAACCATTAATCCTTTTAAAAATTGCTGTTTGCACTTCAGGTTGTGCTTTAGTTTTTTCTTTATTACTTGAAATTAATTCAACAGCATTGCTTATATCAACCTCCTCATCCAAACTTATTAATTCAGGATAAATCACATGTATATTGTTTTGATAAATGAAAACCTGCGTGAGAAGACGTTAATTAATTATTAAAGTTAAGATTAATGTTTTTTTTATAAAGCTTCAGCCATTGGTAATTTAATTACATATGAATGGCTTAATGACTAAACTTTAAGTCTAATCTTAAGAAATATCTTATATAAAAAAGAAGCTTGTACATTTAAATTATCATTAACTTACAACTCTTAAATGAAGCCTTTTTATGCAAAGTAAAAACAAAAAGCAACAATTCTTAAAATATTATTCTGAACATTATTTTAAAAGGCTTACTCTGTTTTCTGCATTGTCAGGATGTAACCAATCAGGAATATAGTCTGCGGCCTCTATCAGTAGAAAACAGCCATCACTGTCTTCCACATAAACAACTAAATCGCAGTGTACTTTAGTTATTTCATATAACAAATACACTATGAACCATTCATCTTCAATGTTGTCTCCAAAACAAGTAACACTTGTCAAATGAGCAGCATCTAATACAAATTATATTAGTATCATTAATACTTTTTAAAGCAAATAATTAAATCTAGTTACAAAATTCATACACTATATTTTATATATTTTACACCATAAAGTTTTAAAACTTACTGTTTTCAGTGTTTGGTTGTAAGGACATACACACTTTGAATTCATCTCTATTCCATAGGTAATCTTTAGACAAATTCGAGATTAAATCATTTACACTAGCACACAGGTTTTCCCAATCTTTGTAAGAATATTTTTCGCAGGAATAAAAACAACACTGTATTGTATCATCAAATTTTAAATTGTTTTTGGTCGGCATTATTCTTCAGTTAATGTTTTAGAACATAACATTAATTGATGACTTTTATTTGTAACCAAAGAATATATTGTATCTAACTAAAGCGTAAACACTCGTGGTAAACATACTCTAAACTCTATAATTGACAAATGTCAATGAGTTAACGCGCGATCGTAATCGCGATTACGAGTTCGATTTCTTGCTTCTATTGTCTATGACTTTGCTTACGTCGCGTCCTTACGTAAATGTCAAACTTAAAAAAATTTAATCTGTGCATATTCATAAACACATTTTTGGGATTTTTATTAATTTTAGCATGAAATTGTAGTTTTTACTAAGTGAATTTGAGGTAGTTCTTTAGATATATATATAATCCAGTGTCTCTAAAGTGTCTTTAGTGTAAAACAATGTAAACCTTGTGAAAAAATCACGATTTCATGAACATCGTGTGTTTGTTTATAGAGAGTGATGTATCATGTCACTTGTGATTCTAATAACTTCTTCCTCTTAATTAGATGGCTTTTCCAAAAAAAATAAAACATAGACATACAATATTATGAGACAGATGATGATTCTAATAACGTTTTTGTTGTCAATGTGACAGATAGGCCAATGTGCCTTTAAAGGAAGTTAAAATACCCTAACTGAAATAATTATGTTATTAAAAGATGCCATCAAAAATTGTCCTGTTTGATGCCATGCCACTGGTATAAAATGTGCGTGAATTAGTAAAATATCCCGAATGAAAGTTCATGGTCTAAAACTCATATGAAATCTGTGGGTTATATCTTAAAACTTGTCTATAATCTATAACGCAAGTCTCAAGGTATCATTGCACCCTAATAATTCGCTTTTTATTATGATTTAAGAAAAAAAGAATATTATTTGAAATAGGTATAAGTGATAATATTAACATTACAATGTTATGTTACATGGTAGATCGGATCACATTCAGAATAATGTTATCATAAGATTTTGAAACTAAATATTGTGTTCATAAAAAATGTATTGCAATGCTTTGGTATGCACTTCAACCATAATTTATTATAATAATTGTTTTATTATAGTGTATTTAAAGTTCCTCCTATTGACTATTTATATTATTTTTTCAGTATGTCACAAAAAAACCTATCATGACTGATTTGGAATTCCTGTAGAAGCATGGAATCATGGCAATAAATACTAGAAGAATTTTGTACAAATATACAAAGTGTTTGATCATAACTGTTCTTACAGTTTTCTTTGCACAGTTATTAATATCAATAAATTATTTTCCTTCTATCCAGGATAATTCTATAAGAAAACCTACATATAGACCTAATACAGACAACTTTGGGGATGTTTCGGCTAGAAAGTTTAACCAGGGTATTGGTGAAGATGATGAAGATGCTGCCCAAAAAAATAATCATCCTAACAAAGTTTCAATACAATTAAGGAAAGAAGAATTGGATTTTACACCATTGTGCGATGTAAAGAGTCGGGAAGCCATTTCAGCTATACACCGCGCCAAATCGCAATATTGTAAACAACTTATCGTAAACAAGACATGCTTCATACAGAATGGAAATTTTTATCCAAAAAAACTGATTAATAGTTGCATATCAAAAACAAAGAAATATGGCATACACTTAGGATGTTATCTGGATGAAAAGAAATTTAGGTTGTTATCTAGCTTTTATGGTAATTATGTTCAGAATAACTCACCAATGTTCTGTTTAGATATATGTGTTCAAGCAGGATTTCCTTTTGCTGGAGTACAATATGGGTGAGTTTCTATATTTATGTTATAACATAGTTATAATAACCAAAACATAAAATACTTATTTTTTTATAGAACAGAGTGTTTTTGTGGAGAAAATTCTCCTCCAGAAACATCAAGGGCATCAGATAAGTCATGTGATATGAAATGTCCAGGAGATAATTCAAAAATATGTGGTGGTTACTTTACCATGAACATCTATGAAACAGGCTTGGATAGTAAGTTCGTGAATTACACATAACAATTACACACATAGTTATTTTAATTAGAATTCCACTCTACATACTATACATTATTTATTCTGCAGAATTTGTGCCAAGAACACCAGAAGTTAAAACTCAAGAAGAGGGCTCGATAAAGATTGTATTTCTTTTAACTTTGAACGGCAGAGCTCTACGTCAAGTTTATAGGTTAATTAATGCCCTATACAGGAGTAATCACTATTTTTATATACATGTTGATAAAGTAAGTTATTATGATTTAATAGGATTAATTACATTTCCTCGTGTACAGGGTCAGACATATTTTTGTCTCCATTTCACTGATTAATTTTATTTTTTTTATATATTCCTTCTGTGCCCTATTAAACTGAAATAGTTGTTTTCTCTCTTGAGGCACAGATATGGTAATTTATAATTTTTCCTTTTGTGCCTATTTTGTCAATGCTTAGCAATCTTATAAAGACAATATATTAAAATTACAGCGACAAGACTACTTGCACCGTGAATTATCATCACTTCAGACACAGTTTCCTAACATTAAATTAGCTCCAGTGAGATATTCAACAATTTGGGGTGGGGCATCTTTACTCAGAATGTTACTGACTTGTATGGAAGACTTTTTTACCCTAAATTGGGAATGGGATTATGTTATTAATTTAAGCGAAAGTGACTTTCCAATTAAATCCTTAACTGAATTGGAAAAATTCTTATCAGACAACAAAGGTCTAAATTTTGTAAAGTCTCACGGGCGAGAAGTGCAAAGATTTATTAAGAAGCAAGGTCTTGACAAAACTTTTCTTGAATGTGAAACTCACATGTGGAGGATAGGTGAAAGAAAATTACCTATTGGTATCACAATCGATGGTGGAAGTGATTGGGTGGCATTATCACCTGAATTTGTATCCTTCGTAATAAAAGGCAAAGAAGATCTTTTAAATGGATTAGCTATAATTTTTGAACATACTTTACTCCCAGCAGAGTCTTTTTTTCACACTGCCTTAAGAAACTCTAAATATTGCACTACCTATGTTGATAACAATTTACATGTTACAAATTGGAAGAGAAAATTGGGATGTAAGTGTCAATATAAACATGTCGTTGACTGGTGTGGTTGTTCACCAAATGATTTTCGAACAGAAGATTGGCCAAAAATTCAAAATACACTAAACAGACAATTATTTTTTGCCCGCAAATTTGAACCCATCATCAATCAGGAAATAATCACAAGAGTTGAAAAGTTAATAGGTTTTGATGATCATTACTTAATCAACAATTTAGATGCTTATTGGCAAAGCATTTATAATACTAATGATTTGACGGCAAGCACCGACGACATACTACTATCCCACGCTGGAAGTATTGTACGTCATAATTCGAAATTATTAGCAATGGAAGGTTGTGATGTCAAATTGGGAGACATCATTGAGATTAATGCTTATAAGTTTGCAGACATTTATAAAGGAAATTTAATTTTACACAAAGCTGTACTTTCAAGTGGACTGGAAGTGCTCCTTGAAACATGGTACAAGCCTAAACACCACTTAGAACTAAATTTTGATAGTCCATACACAGATTATATAAAAAGTTTTAAAGTTGGCTCTGATTATGACCAAAAAGAAACAATGTTTAGAAATATGGGAAGTATTTTGGGCCCTTTTTCTGATCTAGTTCTTTTGTATCAATTTTCTTTTCACAAACAAAGTGATAATCTTACTCTGCTATGGTTAGATCCAGCTGGTATCTTAGCGGATGTAAATTATATCAGTAAAGACGAAAATAACCAAACAAACTTTATTAAACCAAATATAAAACACCCATTTTTACCGGGAGTTTGGAAAGTGGGACTCTTTAAAAAAACTAATCTTATAGCTTTGACAAAGTTTTTGGTGACACCTTTAGAGTATTTTTCTGGCAAAGAAGTAACGCATCAGGAGGTAGACTTAATTCATAGTGGGTCTCAAAATTCATATAGAAATTTAACCATTTTTAAGTCACATAATTTTTTTCCTAGTCAAGAGGAGTCATTACTGAGGCTAGAAATATCTAACTCCAATACAAAACGCATCGGTAACGACTTGCGCGAATGGATAGATTTTTTGACTGATGAATTTTATAGTATTTTGGGGTCTTGTATTAATAATAATGTAACAGAAGAAAAAATATGTGGAAATCATAAATTTGAACAGTGTAGGCTTACACAATGGAGTTCGTTGTCCCCTGATCCTAAGGGAACTATAGGTAAAGTGGAGCAACATTCTGGCCGATTAAAAAGAGTTTGACATTTTTCTGTGTTTTATTATAACTTATGATGCCCGTTACTTATGGCATAAGGTTCAGAATCAGCTTTTAATTATATTTTTAAACTACTAAAGGGTAATAGCGATCATTAATTATGTGGTCACAATTGGTTTTTGTTTTGGGCCCAAACAACCTTTGATAGAAAAAAAAATCAAACTTGTAGGCATTTTAACGATTTGGGTTATTAATTTTTATTGCACTACATTAGGAAAAATATCTACCTACGTTTTCATATTAGGTATTTTTTTATAGTTTATCTCTTTTATTGTTTGATAACACGTTATTACGTATAATTCTACTCTATGGCGTGAATGCAAGCTATGTTCTAACCGGCTGACTGATTTGAGGGAATATTGTTTGAAACTATTTTTTACATTTTATTGCACATGAAGGCACTATATATAATTTAAAAATCGAAAATAAATTGAAAACATTTTCGACTCCAGCAGGACTTGAACTGGCATCGTCTGCGTTCCGTGCTGTTGCTCTACCAATTGCTAGCTACCGAGTCACTCGACTCGACTTGAATTGACTTGGTAGAGCAACAGCACGGAACGCTGACCGGAAGTCCTGTGCGAGTCGAAAATGTTTTCGATTTTAAAAGGAATATTGTTTTCCAACGCCACTTAATTACTAAAGATTGATCTTTGTCTTGTTAAAGAGCCTAAAAATTATATCCTATTACACATATTTTTGTGTTTTATGTCATAAATATTATTTCATGAATAAAGTTATGTCGTACAGTTTAAATTAAATCACCCATACTTAAGTTACCTTTAAAGAAAAAAATAAAATCACGGAACTCTGCCGCATCACAACACGATAATATACCATTCTGAAGCTAGCACATCACGTCAGGTCAGTCTAATATAAATCCGCCCATTAACTTTGACAGCAACGTTGAGTTAACGTATTCAAATGTCATTACTTAAAATATTAAAATAAGTTATTTTAATTTTACCCGTCGTCTCTCAAAGTATTATTTATCACCGTAACTCTGAATATCTCTAATAAATCAAATATTGAGTTTAGGTTGTTGTATATAGTATATAGTCTTTCATAAAAACGTATAATGGACGTTATTGATACAATTAAAACAAATAAAGCATACGTGAAGTATAAAAGTTTAGTAAAAACCTGGGAAAAAGAGTTTAAACAGAAATATTCAAGGTTGCCTTCAAAGTTTGATATTAAGGAAGCTCCCACGAGTATAAAGTACGCTTATAAAAAGTATTTTCAACTCAAAAGTGCAGCTCTTGAGAATTCACTGTCTGCTTGTGACCTGGAAGACGATGCATGTTTAAAAGCATCTGAAAGTTTTAATTTGCAATCAGCATGGCAAAACTTATCACAAGATAATGTCGTCCAAGACATAACTTTGCCTGAATTGCCCAATGGTCAGGAACTGGACAAAATTTTTTCATCTAAAGTATTATCTAAGACAACAAATGGTGGAACACAGAATAAGTTAACTGAGGATATTTCTAAGAAATTATTCAATACTCGAAAGTTTTCATTTCGAAACCCTAGGAAAACATCATTGCCGAATAGTCTTTCACAATCTACAAGTGCCACTGGTTCAGGTAACTTAAATGCAACAAATGAAAATGGCTCATTAACACCAAATAATAAAGTTGACCCTTTACTCATATCTAGTACATCTGAAATAGCTCAAGATTCATCCTATGAACATAAAGAAAGTGATGAAAAGCCTACCTCTTTACTCATAGGTAAAGATTTCAATGACATAGTTATTAAAGATACTCATAATTCAATTGGAACTTCTATATCTTCTGTAAATTCTTTTAATAATCTATCATCATCTCTTAGACAAATCAACACTGGTTGGCTGAAACGAGCTCTTGGTTGTACAGAAGAAACACTTGAAATTAACAAGAGTCATGAAAAATTTGGCTTAGCTAATATTTCTGTTAACAATACTATTGACAAACCTGAGTATGTTGAAAACAGTGCATCAGAAGATGATGACATAATACTCAGTAAATTAAAACCTGCTTTAAAAAAGAGAAAATTACTAAAGGGAAAAAATGCTAACAGTGATGTGCGACATAATGATGTAATTATTGAAGACAAACAGTATGTTGATAAACTAGACCGCAAAACAAATAAACAAACACCAATCAAAGATGCCACTTCAAAACTCCCTGATGCAAGTGTAGAACCACCTGACATTTCAGAATATCTACCTTTTGGATTAAAAGAAAAACTATACCCTCGACATTCAAAAGTCACTGATATTCTGGAGACATTTGGTAACAAGAAAAGCGATAATGTTTTAGAAAATGAAAATAATGTGGAAAATAAATTGCAAAACAAAATTGAGAATGGAACTATTAATGAAAATTTTGTTAGAATCAATTTAGAGAAGAAAATATATGCAAGGGGAAAGAAAAGTTTTAAGTATTCTAAATATAAAAAACAATTATGGAAAGACAAAAAAGCTTTGCATGCTGGGATGGAATTTCCGGAATCTGGAAAGATTACATGTTTTAAGTGTGGCCTTGGTGGTCATATGGCCCGATATTGCACTGCACATAAAGAGAATATGTTATTACCACTAACCGATGTTGAAGAGAGTGATATACCTACTCTTGAAGATATGGATAAAATTGTGAATATTAAGTCTGACAATAAAATACCCGAGGCGGAATTACATTCTTGTGTGTATGAAGCTAGTAAAATACCTGAAAACTTCATTAAACTACTGGATAAAGAGTTTGAGTCTAAAAACTGCATAAAACCAATCTTATCAAACCCTCATGATAATTTTGAAGGATTGCAAAAAGCTCTTGAATTATTTGGACATAAAGAGTTTCGACCAGGGCAAGAAAAGGCAATAAAAAGAATATTATCTGGTTTGTCTACTTTGCTTTTACTATCAACCGGTGGTGGTAAATCATTGTGCTATCAATTACCTGCATATATTTATAGCCAACATTATAAGTGTATAACATTAGTTATTTCCCCATTAGTTTCGTTAATGGAAGATCAAGTATTAAGTATGCCTGAATTTTTAAAAGCAGGATGTCTGCATACTAATCAGCCACCTACACAACGACAAAAAATTATAGAGCTATTAAAAAGTGGGCAGATTAATATTTTGTTAATTTCTCCGGAAGCTTTGATTTCCAGTGATAATTCCAGCGGTTTTGGGAGTTTATTTAAGAGTTTACCACCTATAGCCTTTGCTTGCATTGATGAAGCACACTGTGTATCACAGTGGAGTCACAATTTTAGACCAAGTTACCTGATGATTTGTAGAGTTTTAGAAGAAAAATTAAGTGTGAAATGCATCCTGGGGTTAACTGCAACTGCTAGAAAGACAACAATTAAAAGTGTCATTGAACATATCAAAGTACCAGATGATTTGAATGGGGTGGTGAAAAATCCATCTCTACCTGATAACTTATTTTTGTCAATGTCATTTGAGGAAGACAAAGATAAGGCTTTAGTTAATTTGTTAGCTTCTGATAAATTTAATAATTTTGATTCTATTATAGTTTATTGCATTCGAAGAAATGAATGTGATAGAATAGCTGCTGTAGTACGATCATGTTTATCTCAACCAGGCAAAGTCAACATGGAGCCTAAAAGTAAGAAACGCACAAGGATGTCTTATGTTGCAGAATCTTATCACGCTGGTATGACACCAGCACAACGAAAAAAAATTCAAAAGCATTTTATGGATGGAACTTTAAAAATTATAGTAGCCACTGTTGCTTTTGGTATGGGTATTAATAAATCTGATATAAGGTGCATTATTCACTATAATATGCCAGCTAGTTTTGAATCTTATGTACAAGAAGTGGGAAGAGCTGGGCGTGATGGTCAACCAGCATTCTGCCATTTACTTATGAGCAAGAATGAGAGTGATAAAAATGAGTTACTAAAACACATTTACGCGAATTCTATAGATAGACCTGTAGTACGCAAACTGCTTGATAAAGTATTCATACCATGTAAATGTGTATCTGATTCCGTTTCTCCTAGTGCTCACTGTTTAGGTCATGAAGTTGGAATACCTATAGAAAGCACTGTTGAAGAGCTAGATCTGCCGTCTGAAAATATTGCGACGCTTTTATGTTATATAGAACTACACCCAAAGCATTATATAAAAGTACTCAATAACGCTTATGTTATGTGTAAAATATCATCTTATGGGGGTCCCACAAAGATACTTCAAGCTGCCAAAAACTGCCCACCATTGGCAATGGCATATTTAATTGCAGGAAAAGCTAATTCAAATATAGTAAGTCAAAGTGTTTTAGAATTTAATGTAATAGAGGTTGCAGCAGCTATTGGATGGGAAAGTGGGATGACCAAATATCACTTAAAGAATTTAGAATGGTGTATATCAAGTGGGGTATCAAGGAGATCAGCATTAAAGGTTGAATTTAATACTCTTGGTTTTAAAGTGAAGGCTAGAGGCGATTTAAGCTCATGTGAACTAGATACAATTTTAAATGATCTGCACAATATAGTGTATAATTTAGAAAAACAAATGTTGTATCAGCTTGAGGAAATATACGATTGTTTTAAAAAAAATTGTTCCAAGTCAAATGAAGTTCTTATTTATGGAGACACTCTTTTAAAGGAGAAATCTGATAGACTAAAGAGTATAATAAACACTTATTTTGAACGGGAAGATAACAATACACCAATGCCTATAGTATTAACACAACGCCCTATAAATATTGAGCAAGTAACGGCGGATGTGAGAGCCCTTATTGCGACGTATAAAGATTGCAAATTCACAGGAAGGAGTATAGCTAGAATCTTTCAAGGTATATCTTCACCCAATTATCCGGCAATAGTATGGGGTCGCTGTAGGTTCTGGCGCTCGCATTTGGAAGAAGATTTTAATGGTATCATAAAAATAGCAACTCAACAAATAATACAAATGAAATGATATTTGAAATTAAATAATCCCAGTAATAATAACATCTAGTTTTTTTTACATCATTTTCTCAGGGACTTTGGTCATATTGAATACAATGTTACAAGGCTATGTAGGGTCCGATCGACTGGACTATATCTAGGTGGAGTATACCAAACCGGTAACTAATAAGCAAACACTTTGGATTAAATAAAAACCATGAGTGACAACAAACTAAAATAAAATATCTATATTGTTAAAATCATCCAGAGTATAGGCATCTTACCATATTATATTAATATTTATGGTAAAGAAGTTTATAAGAAATCCATCATTCCGAAGGAAACAAAAAGACTAATTAAGTACAAATTGGCATGTTAAACTTTATTATGGAATTTGAAAATCGTTAAATGATTTTTTTGTTTGTACATTTATTGTACATATAATATTTAGTTAATCTTGATGCTCATGGCTTCTAAAACTTGATATATTATCTGTATACGATGTAATTTAACATTTATTCACTTATAAGATATTAGCAGATAATGAGAAATTTAAGATATTTACAATAAATAAACAACTAGTACCAACAAGTAATATATGTAATACTCATACAGACAGCGAAACAAAACTGTTGTATTGGGCAATATTTCTTTTAAGTATATCTGCACACAGGCCGAGTACACGTTCAAACCTGTAAAGGAAAATAAATAACTAAATAAATGTTATGCGCTAGTGAGAAAATAACGCTATTCGTCGTCGTGTATTCTTCATATAATATTCATTGGATGTACCAAGCATATATGAAAGTAAATTACAGTTTTCTACACTATAGGTAGACATATCATTGTGTCTGTGTTTGGGAGGAAGCCCATTGATAGCCCAAAAGCTCTGTTAATAAACAAACTATAAGAAGTATAAGATAAGCCAGTTTTACCTCGCTCGGTCCAATTTGACGCACTTAAGAGGACCGTCAGCGCGAACAGTAGCAGCGCGTGGCCTATCCAATAGCAGTGCGATCTCGCCGAAGTAGTCGGAAGGTCCCAGCCTGCCCACTTCTACTGGTGCTCCTTCTGCTTCACCACCTCGCTGTTGGAGCACTACAGCGGTTCCTACAACATGAGGACTTATTTTTATTATTATATGTATTTATTGCTTTTTTATAAAACATTGAAATATAACTTTTTATTTACTGCCCCAGAGGGAAAATGGGTAAATGGTTAGTCAATAATGGGGACTGATCTCCTGGCCTTCCATCAGTGACTTCAATATATAATATCAATATTTTATCATTATATTGAATAATAAAAATATCTTAGTATTCTGTAAACATTTCAAGTCTATCAAATGGAGAGACATCGGCGTCAGCAGAGCAGGCAAAAATATAAAAATTTATATCAATTATTTGCACCTTCGACAATAATATAGAAGTCATTCCCGGGCTCGCCTTGTCGCACAATAATTTCCCCATCGTTAAAGGAAACTGGTTCCAATGCATCGGCTACTGTAAGTCGTTCCCATTTCTCCAGACTTTCTGAAATTAAAAATAACAAATCTACTCAAACAACACTTCCAATCTTAGCAATGAAGAGTACATTTTAGTTATGTCACTGTAAAAAGAAAACCTTATGTCTTAAAAGCAAAATATAAATGACAAGTCTGCATTGAGACAAAAACCTTGCTATGTTAGTTTTGTCAATGATCAAAAGCGCATCGTCAAAGGCTCGATCGTACGTAAATTGAGAGGTAGACCCTGAGTCACCTTAAAACCAAAAGTTGAAGGATACCATCTCAGAGGGGACCATACTATCTATTTAAGATTTTTTACATATCATCACTATACACACCTAGTATAGAAACACGGGATAAAAATTCGTCGTACATCCGTCGTTTTCTTATTGTGGAGCCCATTAATATTCTCCTGTAGGAATCGCGGTCGAGACCCCATAGCTTAAGAGGAGTACGCGCACGTACTGTCGCTGCTCGTGGTGTGCCATATATAAGGGCCAGTTCACCGAAACTACCTCCTTCTCCTATTGTAGTAACCATTTCACCATTTACTAATACCTATAAAACAGATTACGGACTGTAGAAAATACTTTTCTTTATTAATACACAAAGAAAGAAAACAATGGGGTTTGCTTAATTGTAAGTGAAATACCCCAGCTATATAAAATCTATTTTGGCTTTGGATATTTGGAAATCAAGAGGCTGAAACCGAAACGCGATTAAAGTGCACGGCTTTTTCGTCTATGGACGGTGGTTCGTTACCCGAACGAAATTGAGATATCACTACCACCAACTTAATATCCAGATTTCCAGAAGATGTCTCAGAAAAATTTTAAATATTTTAGAAGGATGTTGGACCCAGTGGGAATTAAACCTACAACACGTTGATACATCGCTACCATTAAAATATAATTAAGCATCCACCAGAAATGTAATAATTTATACCAGTGTTAAAAATTTTGACAACAATCAATCATTCAAATTCCATATACTTAATTCAACTTACCTCAACTTCACCAGAGTCAATGATATAAAAATTATCACCCTCGTCGCCTTGTTGAATAACAGTTTCATCAACAAGACACTGTACTGGAAACATGGCATCGAACATGTCAGCTCTCTCAGACTCATCCAAATGAGTAAATAGTACATTTGATGCTATTGCTCTGGACAATGCACCCATAGTCTTATAGTCCTTTGGCACCACCTTAATATAATAAAATATTACAAATCAGTAACAAATGTAATCATTATAAATGATGCATACACTCAGGTATGTTTCATAATTTTTTTACTTTATTATTTAAATGCATCTGATGTAAAGCAGGCAACATCAAAGTAATTAACAACATCTACTCTAAAGATAAATAACTCAAAAAAGTATGATCACCTTTTTAACATAGCTAGTTGCATCTTCTTCTGTAACAGGTTCAGCACTAATGCCTCCACGGCGGCGTGGTAATTGACCACCTAACACTGGAAGTGGTGACAGTTCACCATCAGCATCTCCTTCTGACGTAGCAGCAGCTGCTGCAGCTGCTTTTACTTGTTCCTGTAAAAACATATATTTAAATAATATAAGTATCTATTTTGTGACACTATTGTTTATTACATATATTTCTTAATAAATGTGTGTGTATAGAAGAAACCTAATGAAAGAAATGTTAAACTGTATTGCTTGTGTTAGATCGGCCTCTGAAGGGGCCACAGAATATCAATGTTGGGATATTATACTATTTAATTTTAACTGTATTTAGTCATAAAACATTATATAGTTGTAGAGCAACAGCAAGGAACGCTGACGATGCCGGTTCAAGTCCTGCCCGAGTTGAAATTTTTTTCAATTTATTTTCGATTTAAAAAAAAACATTATATATATATAATTATAAACATTATAATTCTATAGTATGTTTGTAATATAAGAATGTATATTATTGTAAATTTAAGTTGTTTTCGGAATAAACGTATTTCTATTCTATTCTAAATAAATATATCTTAATCATTATATAATTTTCAAGCTCCTAAATTTATTGTCAACATTTGTAAATGCCTTTATACTTCAACTTGAATTTTTCCATGCAAATAATGTGTAAATAATATCTTAATATATAACTTTGATTAAAGATTTTCTCACCATTTTATTTGGATAGAGAAAAGGTAAGCAGAAATTGTCGTAACGCTCAAATCACACTGAAAGGACCGATCTGGCGAGCAACGCATTTGTGAAAAATTACGTAGATATTAAATTTAGTTTTACTACATTTTATAGTTCGCAATATAAATAAAACCAAACTAGAGTATCTTTAGAATCTATTTTGAGTCTTAGCTGTCAACTGGAATATTGATTGGACACAAACACCAGATTCTCGGCTGGTAAGGTCTCTACAAAATAATTATGCATTTAACGTATATCAAAGCAAACGATAAACAGTAAATTGTTTAGAAAATTTAAAACCCGGTCTCGTTTAAATACAATATAAAACTTACTCTTTCTAATTTTTGAAAATATTGTCGAAGAAATATCACTGGGTCATCAGGCCTATTAAGGCATAGCTGAACTATGCAATTTTTTAATAACACTTGTATATTATGACTTTGAATGTAATTTTCACATTGATGTAAACATTGTTCTTCTTCTAATGAATCCATTACTATCATATTAAAAGCTCAAGTGGACATAATACTGCATTATGCATACATATTATTTTTTTATCACTGTTGACTAATGTTCTATTATCTGTGATAATTAATAAAGCTATATTATAGATTAAATTTTTGCTGCTTGCAATTATTGCCAGTTCTATTTTGTTTATCTGTATTCGTTATCCAGAATATATACTTTACTGTCTATGGTTGTGGATTGGTCGTCGAGAGACGCAACATGGCTTGCAACACTGTTACTCGTTGCTGTTGCAAAAATTTGAGCTTATGCTGTGAACAGTGAGGCAAAAATGGAAGCCGCCACTGATGAAACCGGTGGAAAAAATCATCTTGACAATGTTTTATCTGAAACTGAAATTGCAAATTTACCTAATGGCGTTGCAGAAAAGCTCAACTCCTACATTGATACGAAATTTGGAGAATACTTGACGTCTAAAGCTTTGTTCGAAAGTACCAAGTCACAAATAGGTAAGTTACCGGCCTTTTCACCATAAAACAGTGCAATACTAATTTACTTAAAGTAAATATCTATTATTTTGGGTAATCGTAAATAACACAAACGGTATATTTATAGCCATGAACGAAGATGGAATAAATAAAATTTTTCAAAACGCATGTTTATTTGGACGTTTGTTTGCCATGATCAAGAGTGCAATTATTCCTACAATTGTTAATCAAAATAGTTTTGAGTCTACCGAGCAAAAATAACTAAGTTAAGAAATATTTTAAAATTGTAACCTAAGTCAGAGAAGACTATGTGAACGTTATGTGTCATGCATATAACACAATTTGGAGTATTATGATCATAAATCAACTATATTTGTTAAAACTTTATAGTATTTTGTGAATAGTTATGTCCTAAATTGCAATAAAAAAAACTTGTCATACATATTTTGTTTGTAAAATTTTGGTGTTTTGATGGGAATATTCATTTTATTTTGATTTTAAAAATATATAACTTAGGCTTTTGAATTGCCATAGACTCATATTACATCTTAATAAAGAATTTGCTCTCAATTATATCAACTTTAAATAAGGTCTGTTTGGCTTTATCCTCTCCAACCCAATACTATTTTGAGTGTGTTTTTTTTTAATATTTATTATCCTAGCCTTTATAAACAACTGAGGGTAGAATCACTTAACTTTACTAACAGATTTCAATTTTAAATATATCTAAGCTTGAAGGATATTGGTTAGAACTATTTCTTTTATTATAATGTTGCTTTTTAAAAATAAATGATATATGTGTTATTTATTTCCAGATGAAAAAGTTGCAATACTAGAGGCAACTGCTACAGACACAGCGTTAAAATATGAAGAATCAGCTAAAAAACTGATTGTTGCTGAAGAAACTATTACAGAATTAGAAAAAAAAGTGATTGCCCTTAACACAGAATTAGAAAAATCTCGTGAGAAGGTATCGCGACTCGAAAATGAAGTTATTTCTATTAAAAGTGCAAGAGATGCTGCTGTTGATGAGAGGAATGACTTGACTCGTATTCTTCAACGACGTGATACTGAAATTGAAAGACTAACAGCAAATGAAGTTTCTCTTTCACAACAATTAAAAGCTGCTATTGATTCAAAATGTGAGGCTTTAGCTTTAAATGATGAAATCCAGAGCAAAGAACTATCATTACAGTACCGAGAAAAACGATTAGACCAAGAAAGAGTTTTATTGAATTCACAAATTAAAATCTTAAATGAAGAAGTTGATAGGCTTACATCTGAACTTCAAACAGTAAGATTAAATACTACTAGTAGAATGGTTAATTTGGAAACACAACTTACAGAAAAAGTTGAGGAGTTAAGTGTTGCCAATGACCAAATTGTTCAACTAAATGAGGTAAAGAAGAGTTTAAATAATCGCCTTGAACATTTGACACAGCGTTTAATGGAGCAAAGAGAGTTGGAAAACAAAATGGCAGAGAACTATAAAAAAGAATTAGAAGCAAAGGCTAAATTAGCTGATCTGTTTAAATCTATGCATGATGATGCCGAATCTAAAACAGTTGAACTAACTGAAGGAATAGCTGAATTACAAAAGTTGCTAAATGAAGCTACAGAGAAATATGGCGAATTGGAAACAAAATATAAACAAGCTGAAGTTGACCATGAAGAGCTCTTGGAAAAGAAAAATGAAATAATAGCTTCACTTAAAAATGAGCTAGAACATGCCAATGACTTATTAAAAGCAGCAAATGCTCAAAATTTGGAAATGGCACTTAGTGATTTAGCTCCATCTGCAGCTGTGGCTAGTAAATTATTGAAATCTGGAATGTCTTTAACTCAAATTTACTCTCAGTTAGTTAAAGTGAGTGAAGAGCTAGCACAGGAAAAAGAAGAAAATAAAAAATTAAATATAACCATAAATAAAATTGTGCAGGAATTGGAAGAAAAAGCCCCTTTCATACAGAAACAAAAATCCGAGTATGTTGAAGCATTAGAAAGTAATTCAGCCTTATCACAACAAATTGAATCTTTGACATTAGAGTGTAATAGATTAAGGGATGATTATAATGAAACATCAAAAATTGCTAATCACTATAACAGGGAAAATAATAAGTTAAAAGGAGAATTAGCTGATTTAGGAAGGCAAGTTTGCTTTTTACTTAAAGAGGTGGAACACAGTAGAGGAGGTCTTGTCAATGGCGATCATGACTCTTCTCAAAGTAATACTACTAGCTCATCTGATTTAACTTCTTCAAGGATAATTTCAAAAACTCTTGTAACGTTTTCTGATATTCAAGAATTACAAGCAAATAATCAGAAATTGTTGCGTATGATTAGAGAGCTCACTGAAAAACAAGTTGAGCTGGAACAACAGAAGGAGCAATTTGAAAGTGGCGAAATGGAAAATAAGGTCGAAAATCTTAAGCAAAGAGTTTCTGAGTTAACGGAAGCACAAGATAGGCAGACAAAAATGGTAAATGGTCTTATAAGACAGAGGGATATGTTTAAAAAATTATACCATGATCTCATGCGAGGCAAGCGCCATGAGATGTCTTCTGTCATGGATCATTCTGATTTAGATAAAAGTGAATCTTTCTCAATGGATACTACTCAAGACACTACAACTTCAAAACAACAGAATGCGATATCAAATGTTGAAATAAAATATAAAGAAGTTGAAAAACAACTAGAAATGTTGAAAGAAGAATATAAAACTTATAAAGAAGAGAAAATAACTAATGAAAGAATGTTATTTGAACAGATTGATAATATGAGACAAGAAATTTCGAAACTTACAGCTGCAAACAGTAAATGCTCTTCTACTTTAGATTTTAACAATGAAAGGCTAAAAACGTTACAAGCAAATATATCAACATACAAGAAACAAATTCAATCTTTGGAAGATAAAAATAAAGCTTATAATGCTACAATCGCAAAACATGAAGTATCTTTGCAGCATTTAAGGAACGAAGTTTTGAATGCTCAGGGTAAACTAGCAGCAGCTGAGATACAAATAGATAATTTAAACACAAAAAACAAATTGTTGAAAGACGCCGAATTACGCCTACAAACAGAGAAAGAAGTATTAAATAGAGAGCGTCAGGGACAAGGATTGTTGCTGAAAAATCTTGAATTAATTAAAGTTAGTTTGGAACGTGTCGAAGCAGAAAATCGTACTAAAATTGAATCAAGACTTGACGAAGCTACTAGAGAATGTGCAGCTTTAAGACGAAGGCTACAGGAGGAACAAGACAGATTTAGAGAATTAGCAGCTCATCTTGAACGACAGACTGAAACAGCAAAATCTAGGATGCAAGAAGAAAAAGATGCTGCCGATATTTTAAGAAAAGAAGTAAATCAACTTCGAGATGACTTAATTGAGAAAACTAAACATAATGACGAACTTGCTAAAAAATTAAAAGCTGCTTTGGCACCAAGTAGTGATGGATCAATTGATTCAATCAGACGAATTAAAGATCTTGAAAATAAACTGACTGATAAGGATGCTGAAATCACATCATTACTTGAACAATTGAATAGAACTAAAGAGCACATAAAACAATATTGTGACATTTCTGAAGAGTCTGAAAAACAGCTAAAAGTTCTCAGCAACGAGTATGAGGTATATAAAGCAAATACGTCGGCTAAACTTGATGAAAATGCAAGTAAACTTAAAGCACTCGAGGAGAAGTGTTCAGAACTCGAAGCGGAAATTTCATTACAGGGTAATGGTGACTATTCATCTGTAAACACCAATTTGAAGAATGAATTAGCAGCTGCCAAAGAAGAACTTGCTAGTTTATATATGTCTAATGAATGTTGTCGCAATGAATTGGACACGGCTCGTGGTGAAATAAATAAGCTCTTGGAATCTGTACAGAAAGCAGAAGAAAAATACAGCCATGAGGTCATACTTCATTCCACAGATATACAAATGCTAACTCAAGTCAAAGAAGACCTATGTAGAGTGCAAAATGAACTAAATGAGATGGTTTCGTTAAAAAATAATGCAGTCGCAAAGATGGAGGCTGAGATGAGTTCTTGGCTAGAAAGAGAGAAAATGTTAGTTGCAGAAAATGAACAATTAGTTCAACGTTTGAAAGACCTTAATGACCAAAACTCATTGTTACATGATCAAATACAGGCTCTTGGTACGCAACTTTCCGTAACTCACGCTTCCCGATCACTGTCGGAAAGTATGAATGATTCTACTAATGAAACGAGCGTAAACACATCCATAAATGAGGAAGATGGGAAATCTTCTGAACAGCTATTCCAAATTGTTAAATTTTTGCGAAAGGAAAAGGACATTGCGATGGCCAAATTCGAGATATTACAAGCTGAAACTATGCGATTGCGATCTCAGTTGGAGATAACAGAGAAACATTTAGATGAATGTAAATTGTCATTAGCAACTGTAAGAGAACGATCTGAGGTTGATATGGTGACAGTTAACAAACAATCTGATATTTTAAGAAAAGTAGAAACACTAAATGCTTTAACCGATAGTAACAGAATTTTACGTGAAGAGCGTGACACTTTGAGTTCCCGTGTAGAGGAACTTACATCACAACTCAAATCTTTAGAAGATAAGTTGGTTCCATTACAAGAGAAAATATCGGATCTTACTTCCAAGAATGAAACTTTACTTTCTGAAAATACATCACTAAAAGGAGATTGCGCCAGATGGCGATCTAGAGTTAATGCTCTTGTGGAACGGGCAAATAAGACCAGTCCTGAAGACTGGAAGCGTTTACAAAACGAACGGGAGACTTTAGCAAAAATGCTAACTAGTGAAAAGGAGACTGTAAGGAAGGTGAATGAAGAATTAACAAATATAAAACTTGAAAAAATTAAACTAGAGGAACATCACGTTGCACTTTCGCGTCAGCAAAATGTACTTATGGATGAAAATAAAAAACTTAATGAAGAGATTCAGGTTCTTAAAGAAGATATGTCGAGATTGACAGAGGAATTAACGAAACTAAAAGCCGAAAATGCCTCCATATCAGATACAAACACAAAATTGACGGAAGATCTTTCTAATAAAGAAGCTTCCCTTAATGATATTAAGAATAAAGAAATTCAAATACGTAAAATAGCTAAAAAATATAAGGGGCAGTATGAAGATCTTGTCAAGTCTGTTGATCAAGAGAAGAAGAAGAATGAAAGTGATGTAGCCGCAGCGGGCGCTGCAGCCGCTGAAAGTTCAAAGAAGATCGAGGATCAACTGAATGAAATCCAAACTCAACTGGAAACAGAAAAAGCAAATAATGAAAAATTAAAACAGGAGTTGGAGACATTGAGAACTGCCAACTTGGACAAAGAAGAAAAGGCAAAACAGGTACTAAAGCAAGCTAAAAGCAAAATTGTCCAATTGACAGAGGTTAAAAATTCCCTAAGCCGTGAGCTAGACGAAACTCGGACAAAGATTGAGTCAATAGAGCAAAGTACAAGGGATGAACAAGATGTTAGATTAGCGCTTATTAAGTCACAATATGAAGGGCGATTGTCTCGCCTTGAGAAGGAAAGAGGAGAAGCACAAGCCGAACGTAACAGGGAAGTCGAAGCCTTGATGCAGAAAGTCAATATATTGCAAAGACAATTGGCAAACCAGTCCTCGTCTTCTAAGCAGCAAACAACTCTGGACAAGACTACTACTGAACCACCTACAGCAAATATTAAGCCAATGGCTGGTAAGTAAGCTTATCCAAATCTAGTTTATGATTACAACTGGGATTATTTTTTATAGGGTAATTTCAAATAATATTGTCCAGTATTGTGTACCACCTATAGCTGCGACATCTGAACAGTTTGCATAAGGGTTCTATAACTAAATTAAGGTGTTCATTGATATTTTATTTATGCAAAATCATGTAAACTATAAGAATTACTTTATGTAGGTGTTGCGCAACAAAGTGTATCTGGAAGTCGCCGTGGTGGCGAGACCCCGCTTGCATCAATTCGGCCGATGGCCCAGGTGGGACCGACCGCGCCGCACGACGCGCACACCACAGAATACATGCCTGCCTCTTCATCGCGCCCACTTACTCGTTCTTCCCTCGCGGCCTCCACTGCACCGCCAGAATCTACACAGGTGTGACATTCCGTAAATTTAAGACTTTTGTTTTACTCGAACCGAACCGCTCGTTGAAAATTCCGACTCGCGCTTAGCTGGTTACTTTAAAAATTTCTAACTGATGAATAATTATGTAGCATTCCTTACTTTCCAACTATTGATTACATCTGAGTCACAAATTTTGGTTTAATAAATTAAATTAAAACACCATTTGAGCAAACTTAGCTAAATAATCAGACATTAAAACTTATCCTCATTATAGGATATGGATACAAGTGAAGCAGGCATGGGCAGTTCTGGGTCTAGCGACAGTACCACACAATCTACATCGCATTCTCAAACCCCACAGCAAGTAAGTTTATATGATGAATACTTTGTACATATGCAAATAAATGTTTATAGTCTTAAAAATACATCTATTTGAGTAAAAAACATTATCTTAATCCAGTTATGGAGTGCAATTATAGTCTTAAAAATACATCTATTTGAGTAAAAAACATTATCTTAATCCAGTTATGGAGTGCAATAGGCGGCCTTATCGCTATAGAGCGATCTCTTTCAGACAACCCTTGTATAAAAATAAAATAAGATATATTATATATCATGGGAACGTGTAGGTCGTGCGAATGGCACATATGCTTGCGTTTATGCATATAAGGTGGTAGGTAATGCAATTTTTCACACGAAACCTGTTTATATTTGACGGTTTTTATTTATAGTTTGTTACTTACGTTATGAAGTGTTAAGCTCATAGCAATAACAAACTTATTTTTTTTGTGATTTCAGGCGGTAGCTTTGGTGTTGCCGCGTATCGAACAGCCAAACACTGGTGGGACGAGTTCACTGGGTAGCGCCGCTAGCTCTCCTGTCGCCGTCCCAGCATCTGCACAACCACCGACGGCAACACCACAACCAGGTAATAAGTTTAATACATTAAAACCTTCAGATCTTCGGTTCTAAACTTGTGTTTAAAATCCAGGAAATCTATGACTGCATAAATATATGCAATGACAAATAATAATACTAACTTGTTTCATTGCCAATTTTTTATGTTTTGTTTATAAAAACTTTAACGATCAACCATAATCAATTCAATTCATTTAAAATTAGATTTCTTTCGTGATCATTTTAACGATAGTCAGTAGTAAAAAAAAATCCAAATAAGTTTAACTATCGCGTTTTAAACCGTTAAAATGTTTTTATTACTGTTTTCTTGTTATTCTCTAAGCGAGCGCAGTAAGTGGAGCATCGGCGACGGCGTCTAGCGTCAGTACGTCGCACGCTACCGCCGCTATAGTGAGCACATCTCATGCTGCGACGGTGGGAACGTCGCACACTGCGCCCGTTGTCACCACTTCCCATACCGCGCCGGGAGTGAGCACCTCCCATTCCGGCGCAGGCGTCAGTACTTCTCATGTCGCACCAGGTGTCAGCACCTCCCATCCACCACCCGGCGTTAGCACCTCGCATCCACCCCCAGATGCGCGACCGCTGAAACGACGCCTACAGTCAAGATCAGTAACATCCAAACGGACACGTGTACAAGTAAGTCTTCTTGATTTAAAATGGGTAAAAATTCGAATTATATGAATTTTGTCTACTCAATGTACCTTAAACTTAGTTAATCCAACGACTGAAAAATGAAAGTAAAGAAAATCCTGAAGATTTCTAGAATCCAATGTCATTTGTTACTGAAATTTCAATGAATTTTGATTGTTATGAATGTTTATATAGCAAACTACCTCTTTAATAATATCTGCTTCTTAGATTTTTTAGTTTTATTAATTTGTTAAATTGATTTAAAAGCTTTTTATACAAACCATGCCTATCCTTATAAATATATATGAATGTTAGGGTTTCGAAAGATCAGTGGAAGTGGAATACCAAGTGCCGACTTCGTCCCGTTGCGATCAAGATGACGAGGGTGTGATCGTAGTCGATTCTGAAGAAGATGATGAAAGGTGCTCAGGGACCATGTATCAGGTTGGGCATTCAATATTATTGTCTCATAAAGGATGATATTGTTGGTAATTTACACTATTGGTATAGTATATCTTATATGTTAAGTGTGTAGGATAGTATGAAAAAAAATGTAAATCTATGTATGTAGTGCTTATTTATTTATTATATACTCATTGAAATTAGTTAGTTTATATAGAAATTACTAACAAAAGAAAAAAGAAAGTATTTTTTTATTTGTTTGAAAAAATAAAATAAAAAGAAAGTATTATTTGAATATATTAGCACTCTCTTAAAACCTTGTAGATTTATTTCATTTGACAATTAATTTTCTATGTACTTCTGAAGTAGGCAAATTCCTGTTATTATTAGTATACTTGTATACCAGTTTACTGAAAGAATCAAGAAAATTATATTTTACAGGCGTGAACAATACTAAACATAGATCCTATAGATAGCTTCATTTGTTTTGTTTGCTGGCATTATATTATATTTTTAAAAGTTAGTGTATATGATATTAGTATTAATTGGTATGGAAATCTCTCATGTTTAGGAAGGTGAAGAAGACGATGAAGATATGGAAGAGGAACAGGAAGTCGAGGCAGGAGAGGAGGAAGAGGAGGTGGAAGGCGATGAAGAGAGTAGTGCTACTCGGCAGGTGGACAAAATATACATACATCACTTAAAACTAGTCAATTTTATATAACATACAGACTTAAAGATGGTCAATTTTATCATTCGTAGTATTATCGTAGTAATTGACGAAATAATGATTTGTTATTGGGGTTGTAATAAATAATAATGTTTTACAATATTATCCAGGAGTCGCCAGCACAGTCCCCCGAAGCAGGCGAGGCTGGTTCCGCGGAATCGGGCGGATCAGTTGGTGAGGGAGGTTCCGTGGCCGAGGCAGATGTCGGCGAAGCCGAAGGTGCTCGTGAAGCCGACAGCGACCCGGCACCTGCGCACGCGCAAATTGAGGCTATTAGTAGTGGCACTGAACGTAAATATATTTTCTGTGAAATAAGTAAATTATGATTATAATGGATACTGTATATTATTGTAATTCAAGCAAATTGAAAGTTGAATAAATACAATGTGAAACGTCCTTAAAAATAAATCGATTTATACTGTAACATGCAGCCAGTGGCGCTCTGTCGATCGGTGGAAACAATGGTGATGATGGGGATGACAGCATCGTGCCCTCGACACCAACACTGTACGTCCCGAGACGTAACGATGGGTAAGCGTAACTTTTAATTTTTTTTTTAATAAGGTGCGCGTAGACAGAAGCTTGGTGTTAACTTGATGGTAGGTGATATACCCCAGTCTATAGCATCTAATTAAGACTCTGTCGACCTATTTCGGTATTCCTACCAACCATTTAATATCCAGATTTCTAGTCGAACTCCGACATGTTGGACCCGGTGGGAATCGAGCCCGCGACCCGTTGTTTATTAGCAACACATTACTACCATTACACCAACGAGCCCGTCAAAGTCGAGTTCTCGGGTTGTTAGATCAGTTGCGGTGCTACGGCATGCAACACCGTTGCTTGCGAGTAGAGTGCCGGTTTTTGTGACAATCTTTTTTTTAGTGTTTATTTATTTTTTGATTCACGGAAGGTTCGGTGAGGCAGTAGTGTCTCCATTGGGCGTTGCGGGCGAAGGCTCAATTGCGGGCACTGGTCCCGGTGGCGCGCGGTTCACCTTCGCTGAGGCAGGGGGCGCTGCGTCGCATCACGATACTCATGCGGATCTAACAGCCGCATTGCCGCCACCCGCGTCACACTCTCTTGCCCACTCCGACACACGTAATATATACTTTTTATTTATTTCGGAATATCTTTATGAATATATAACAGTGTTTTCTTTATTACTTATAGAATAATTTGTATCAATCTCCATTCTCTTAAAAGTCACGGAATTGAACTCCAAATATTTTAGCAGTACGGCAATCAATTGATTTAAAATGAGAGTTTGCTCCTCATTATCCCGAATTATTTCATCCCTTTATCCCGAAATAATAAGTCTCTACATTTATATCAGTGACTCACTTAGAATACTTCTAACATTACATTTTCCAAATATGTAATTTTTTATTAAAAAAATGTTAATAAATGATATAATACACTCAAAAATTTAACCTATAATTTTTAAGAATCAAAACGGGCAATCGAGCCAGGCTTATAATGTCAAAATACAACAACAAAGAAATTATTGACAAAACATGTATTTTATACGGAGGTATTAAGCTATTAAATAAATTAACGCGCTAATCTCAGGAACCACTGGTGGGAATCGAAAAATTATTTTTCTATTGGTGAGATCATTTATCGAGGAGGGTTTTAGGCTATAAAACATCACGCTGCTTGCGGCTATTAGGAGTGAAGTGGGACTGTCCATAAAACAGGAAAAATTTACCATCTTTGTGTGTTTCCTTTCCGTACGCTGCAACAACGGTTCAAAATACCCAAATAATATGTAGAAATGATTCCTTAAATTTAAAAAAATTAAATAACCTAAAACAATAACGAATAATAACTTGTAAAAATGACGGGACCCGAAAATCGTGACAGGACCGACGTCGTGGGTAACAGCTTATATTTTTAAAGACGAAGAGGACGGTTGCAAAAACAAATTCTACGCGGACGAAGTCGCTGACACAGCTACTAATAAAATAATACCACTAGCAAATTAGCGAAGTCTACGCACTCTAGCGATCTAAACAAAGCTCTTATTGTCATACTGTTTTCTCATTTTATATAGATAAACGTATCTTGCATTGTATACTATAAGACAGTGAAGGTAGCACTAAACGCTAGCTAAGGTTTAAAACGAATTGCCCTAGTTTCTTTAAATAGTTTTTAAACCTCAAATAAATCTATATAATTGCAAAGAAAATCACGACAACGGTTAATTAGATATGTATTTTTTTGTAGAATAAAAAAAACATTAAAATTAATTAGTCACTTAAAATGCATCCATTATTGCATATAGGGAAGAAGTCTGCGAAATCTTTAATATTTTTTACATGATGGCACCATACACATTAAAAATCACTCACGGCCTGCTCGAATTGTATTTTTTTCAATTTATAATTGATTTTTAATTTATAAGTTTGCGTAAGTAAAATCGTGTTTTCGTGCTTCTCAAGCTACAATTATATTTGGAATTAATAAAGCCATATTAAAACCCTGCTAAATACGCAACTTGTAATGTAGATTTGCTACTATTAAATGAATCAGCATATTTACTTATAATCAAATGTTGTTGTAACAAGCATTTCCGTATATCCGTCAATGTAAATTACATTAACGATGTACAAATTATAGCCACACTTAAATGTGCTTGTTATAAAATGAAGCCAAACCACTCAGTTGAAGTTAAGCTTAATTATACTTTAAAGCAATATATATGCTAACTTTAACATCGTTATTATCAGAATAAGTAATAACGATATTATTTATTCTAAAGAAATAAATGTTCAGACGTTCTACGTCTCATATGAACAATGTACATTTTACAATAACAAAAGACCCTCCCCTGTCGAATGCAACTGTCCAAATATTCGTATTATATTATTTTAACAGTTGTGATGTTTCTCATTTACATGTCTTATCTAACTACCTACTTTTTGAAATAATGTTCATACATTTTTCATTTCTCTACAAAAAAGAAAATAGAAGTAAATCAGAACAACAGAAACAGAGTGTTGTTTAAACAAGTTGTAAAGTAGTATGCAGAACTTTGGAGCTCGGGCTGAATCATACATTAGTATGTAACATTTATCTCAAATTATTATATGCCAATATATTTAATAATTATTGTGATTATAATTGTAAATGAATCATTATTTTGTTTAGGGGGTGAGACTAATGAACCACGAGAATGGGAGGAGTCACGGAACGAAGAAGAAGCTGCTGCAGTGAGCTCTCAGGGCAGTGAACCTTCTTCCCCGCAGCAAGTAAGACTCTTGTTAGGTTTTTCGTACTCCTTGAGTAAAATTTACTGACACTGCCGGTTGCCCATTTGTATTCAGTAGGTTTCATGGTCGTGGTAAGATTAAGTATAGAATCCTTTCGACGGGTGCATTGGTCTTATGGTAGCAATGTATCTACAAATCAAGGTGACGTGGGTTAGATCCCCACCGTGTCCGCAACATGTTTCAAATTTTTCTGAAACATGTTGGACTTCATCTGGAAATCTGAATATTAAATGAATGGTGTGGAAATAAGTTCCGTCCGGGTTATGAACTACTGTCCACAGATGGAAAAGCCGTCAAGTTTTATCGTGTTTCGGTTTTAGTTGAATATCCAAAGCCAAAATAGGTCGACAGCGTGCATCTTGCGTAGACGTTATTGGCGGAAGTATTTCACCTCCCATGTTTGCCTTTTCTCTATCATTAAGAAAAATCTGTCCACAGGTAGCTGAGGAGGGCCGCGAGGCAGAGGCAAGCGCAGCGCCGCGACGGTCCGCCACACACACCCCACATACCCCGCATCCCTCGCCGCACCAGAGATGGATGAGAGCTGCAGGTCACATTTCTTTTATATATATTAAATTTGCTAAAAAATATGTATTTTTATTTTTTTAATGTATTTTTTTATTTTTTTATTTTATGTATATGTATATATTTTTTCTGCTCAACCTTCGTTTCGCAATAGGATATGCATACCTTGTTGTTGTTGTTGTTTCTGTTTTTTTGGAACCGGGCACTGTATAATTGAATATTTTATGTTATGTTGAACGACAATTAATAAAATGTCACAGTAAATTATAAGGCATTCGCGGCCATTTAGTATTGTCACTTGGGTTGGGCCGTCGTAAATAAACACCCGGAATTTGTTTTTTTTATCCCTTTTACACAATGTATTTAATTGTAACCATTATTCGTCCTTATTTTTTATTTTTTTATTTTAGACAGCGAAAGTAGTCCCCGCGGCAGAGGTTCGAGGCCGAGAGGACGTCCATCCAGAAGATCGCATAACTATAATAGGTTCTAAGTTTGATAAGCAAAAGTTACATAAACTATTCTGAAAGACTATAATATAAAAGTAGGTAAAGTTTAGCATAAGATAAGCTAAGTTCCATTAGTCCAGTCTTGTATTTTTACATTGGTTGAGAGATAGTAGGGAGTTACTTGTTCGTGGTGTTGCTGTCGTGAGTGTGAATACTTATTTCTACTATTATCATTGTACGTATTGTAAAAGTTAAGTAAAAATGTATTTTTTGTGAAGGTGTTTGCTTTTTCCAATGACTTCTGTATAAAAAGTATATTCCTTAAATAACAGTTGCTGACGTGTTTACTTTTATCAATAAAAGTGAATAGACATTTTTGTATATGTTGATTTTTTAGGCATAACTGATAATAATTACAAACTTTGAGTATTATTAAGTAACTTTTTCCTGAAGACATCTTTTAAAGACGCGTAGTATCCAAATACAACTATTATGGGTACTATAAGTTACACTGTTAATAAGCATTCGGTACATATATTTCATTTGAGTTTAAACTTCAGCACAGAAACATGTTAATTTGTTGGAACTCTGAGAAAAAGAAATTAAACCCACATTCCAGGCAGTAATGCTTAAAATTAATATTATTAATAATATAAATTAAGTTAAATATAGAACAAACTTTTCAAATTTCTAACAATTGTAATTGTAACGTGTTAATGTCATATTTGGAAATATAAATACAGTTAACAAAGTACAAACTCTTTCAATATATACAACCCCAAAATAGTATTAATTTTTCAAATTGTGTTGTATCAGGATAATTTATTTAATTTTACAAAAGCAAACTAAATTATTAAACAATTGTTATATATTGAAACAAACATATCTAGGATTTTTTTATAAGCGTGCGCCACGCGTGCAGTGTAATTATATCATATAGTTGCTGTTATTAGAGTATGAATAACTTGAAGGTTGTGTGTTGACCTACTACCTGGACAATATAACTATCAAAATCCTATATAATAAGATAAATGTGGCAATCGGAAATGATTATCAGTGTAGGGGATCAAAAATCTAGTCTCCAAAATGAGGCTAATGACATTTTAAAATGTCAACTGACAAACTGTAGGTTTGAACATTAGTGAACACATCATTTCAACATTGCTTACTATTCAAAGAGCTATAAATGCTGTTTGAGTTGTCCTATTTATCTTTTACCTGAACAAGCCAAAACCTCAAATTATTAGTTTTACATTTATTTATATTTTTTATATATACCTACTACCCAAGAGTATTTAGTAACAAATAAGGGAAAACACATATACTGGTATAAAATAATACAGGCAAAATACTTTAAGGTGGTTTTTATTTAGTTCAGAAAATGGTACAGGTGCCATTAAGTTATTAATGAATGTTTGATAGTTCAACATCCAGAATAATATTATACACTAAACTATAATAACATTGCATATACAATAAGTCATTCAGAGAAAGTTGCAAAACGAAAATCATTATCACCAAAAATATAAACATAATACCAATAATCTTAAGCCTTACATCTAATTTCACCATATGGAAAAACGTCTACAGATTAAGTGAATTTAATATTAATGTTAAAATTTAAAAGAAAAATCTTAATATCCATAGACATTTTCGTCCGAAAATGCAATGTATAAGAAGAAATCTTCATCGTGGTGTTCTTGATACAACGATCCCATTGTAGCAGATGTGGGAGGAATTACGTTGTTAACAAAGAAAAATAATGCATCTTCGGGTCTTAGATGGATACGTTTTCGGATCAAGAAGTAAAACTGACCAACAGTTAGATCCGACGGAACCAGGTATTTTTTCTTGTCGAGATCACCAAGCCTTGCCTTGGGAGCTTTCTCCACAATTACTGGTACTCTATCCGGGTACTTTCTGCGTATTTTCTCGCCCTCTGCCTTACGTTTTTCAAAAGAATGCTCTTCTTTGTATTGGAATTTCATCTTGATTAGTTTGCACAATAATTTCAGGGGATTTAGTATGAAATGCGTAAATACGTCTTGTTTTTTCTTTTTGCGTTATTGTTTTAAATTCAACAATGATCAGTGACGCAATCAGCTGATATGACAAATAACAAAACAATAGATAAAACAAAAAACAATCCTTAATGACGTTGTCCACAGATTGCAAAGTCAGCTATGTCCTTCGCCACAGGTAAGAGAAACTCATCAACTCACTCACAATACCTCTTATTCGGTAGAGACTACAATAGCTTACTCTATGCTAATAAGTAATCTGTGTCGGCCTATGCCTATAACGCCAAGCGTGTTGCGAAGCCGATTTAGATAATTTTGTGCGTCTGTTAAAATTTTACAATTTATTTTAGATCAAATCTAGCACCTTTTAAATTTTTAAACTAACTGTTATCGTTTCTATTGCAATATGCGGAAAAGAAAGTCTCTGAAGAAAGGTGAAGATTCTGAAGGATCAGAAGGTGGCGGCGAGCCAGAAGAATTTCAAGATTCGGGTTCTCCCGATTGGACGCCGGATGCGGATTCCGTAAGTATCTGTTCTTCAGCAACATTTACCCCATATTGCCTTCAACATGTCGTACAATAATATAGCACTGTGCTGTTAGTTTAATTTCCATTCAACGTTATGTAGCATATTAGGTTATTTTGGAACTATTTCTTGTTTGCTAAACAACACTACGAATAATACACTTATCCATTGCGTTTTGAGTAAATCCTCTCTTTCTTTTTGTATGGAAGTGCAGGAATAGTATGGAGCGGAATGCGTGACGTATTTTGTATGATAAAGCTTAACTAAAATTACTTCAATACAGTTTTATTTTATTGGAATCACAAATATAATTAAGATTAAGTATTCACTAAAATGCGATAGCCGCTTAAATAATGTAATGAAAATATATTATTCATATAGAATGAACAACCAGCCAGGGCTGTTCGTAAAAGAGGAGCTGGCAGACCACCGGTAAATAATAAAAAGAAGCGTAAGAATTCAACATCAGAAGAAAGTGAAGGTGATGATGATGAAGAAGCAGAGGACGAAGAACTTGATGAAGAGGATGGGTCAGATGATGAGAAAAATGGTTCTGATGGAAACAAATCTGATTCCAGCCAATCAAAGGATATACCAAAACATTTCCATGTAAGAAAACCATTGTCTTATTAGAATAATATTCTTATTTATAATTTCAACATATACCTGTCATAGGATATACTTATTTAATAGTGTTGTTAAATACGTTTAATTTTTAATCTGGGATTGACCTGTTTCAGTCTGGGAATTTTGTTTTATTAAAATCTGATGTAAAATGGGATGGAGACACAGTGATATCTACTCTGGATCAACTTAATTTATGGAAGATTGATGGGAAGGCATTGTTACAAAAATTTATACCTATGGAGTCAAATGGAAAAATTCTTCATAAATGCACTTGTGTTGTAAGTATGACCGCTGCAAATAATATAATATTTATTACCCTTTGAAAAGATAATTTTGTATAGTTAATCAGTTATCTGAAGAATTTATTTAATTTAAAATATGGACATATACTGTCCAAGTTCTTTAAATGAAATGTGCTTTTTGTATTTGTTTCAGTATTCGGGGTGGAATGTTGATAACCGTGATAATTACTACCCTATAACTGAAATTTTAGACCGCAATCCACAAACTGATTCAAAAGAAATATGTGTAGCATTAGATCTAAACGATCTTATTAAAGTAAGAGACAAGTGAAGAACAAAACTTCAAATTTTAGTTAAGTCTAAATGTTATAAAGAGTATGATTTTTGGCACTTCATTCCATATTACGTTATGTAATACAATTTTTAAAGGGGAATAAACTTTCAAGTAAACTTTTAACTATTCTTTTACTTCAAATTCATGAAAAAGTGCAGTAGTGAAGTATTATAAGTATATTTTTTGTGAGACTAATTTTATTCATTGAGTTTTAGTATGTTGTAAATATTTTAATATTAAAGGATTCATTTTAATTTCTCATATTTTTTAATATTGTTCTGTAAAAGATGGAGGATTTATGGATCAACAAGACAAGTGAACTATATGTTATATAAATCAGAATTGGCGTCAAAGGCAATAAAGCATTTTGATCATCATAAAAAAAACAAATATAGGTATAGGTTCTATTTTTTTTTAAAAGAAATATTTTGTTTTTCGCTCTGGAACTCAGCTTATGAGTAGGAAATACATATATCTTATTATTTAAAAAAAACCCTCAATTCAGTAACAAATAACTTTTAAGAAGTTAATATACAAAGACATCAATTGGTACGTATTTAATATACAAAGTTACTGTGACACCCAGATATCCCTACTAATATTATAAATGCGAAAGTAACTGTGTCTGTCTGTTACTCTTTCACGCCAAAACTACTGAACGGATTTGAACGAAATTTAGTACACAGATGGTCTAGACCCAGAGAAAGAACATAGGCTACTTTTTATTGCGAAAGGGGGTTGTAAGTGGTTAAAAGGGGGGGTGAAAGTTTGTATGGAAATTCGTGGTTTTTGAAGCTAGAACAATGAAACTCTTCTTTGGCTTTTTGGGAATAGGAGTGGGAGTTAGAGTAGGAATGATGTGAGTAGTAGAGAGGTACATAGTTGGCTGCGATAAATGTGCAATTACATCTATCTATACTAATATATAAAACTGAAAAGTTTGTTTGTATGAACGCGCTAATCTCAGGAAGTACGGGTTCGAATTGAAAAATTCTTTTTGTGTTGATTAGAGCATTTATCGGGTAAAGTATATACTAAGCTATATACTAATAGGAGCGAAGATACAGCGAGAAATGTGAATAAAACGGGGGAAATTCTTCATCTCTGTAGGTTTCAGATGCGTACGCTGCGAAAACGGTTCAAGATACCTAAAAATTGTGAAAGAAAGAATGATTTCTACGCTATATGTCTATCTTTTAAGATTAACTTGCAAGAACGATCCGAACGACGGGATACGAATATCGTGGGTAACAGCTATCTACACTAATAAAAAAAAATTTAGCATTACTAATTCACTGGTTAATAATCTGTGGTTCGAATTCTGTTTAAATTCGATTGTGAATAGGGGACCCCTGGGGGTGAACAACATCTGTATCTCGTCACAGATAACACCTTTCATTTACGCTTTCTGTGTTTGCAATCTATCTTCATTACATGTCTGTGATAAAATCAAAATATTGTCATTTATATTTATACAAAAACCTGTTAAAAGCAGAGCAGAAAGGTCTCAGTAATATAATATTTTTTTCTCTTGCATGATAGTTTGAAATCAGGATTACAATATGTGGTAAATACATTCCTAATATAGACATGGACACCACACAAGGTAGTATTTCTTCATCTGTACTATATCAGTATTTTATTTACGTAGAGAAATTTTCATGGATTTTAGTGGGACATAAATATTGTTTACAGAACTAAATTGTGCAGTTTGCATGCAGAAGTATAACCACCCAGCCAAATTACCCTGCGAACATACGTTTTGTTTCCTTTGCGTCAAGGTACATTTATTCATACACAATGACAATAATTATTTGTAATACCTACTTTTTATAAATATGTTACTGAGAAATGCAATATTATTGATTCAGGGCGTTTTCTTAAGGAGCCATACTTGTCCCATGTGTCGTACTCCTATACCTGAAGATTATTTTGAGAATCCTGTTCTTATTAATGAAAATTCTAATACAGAAAATGAAGACCAAGATGATAAGTACTGGTGGTACTATGAGGGAAAGGATGGTATAATAAAATTCACTTTAAAACCTATTTGAGTGTAAAATTATTTTGTTTTTTAAAATACATTGGATTCTATTACTTCATAATATATATACATTTATCCATTAATTGTAATATTATTAACTAGGTTGGTGGAGTTATGATGAAAGAAGCAATGAAGATATTGAATCAAATTTCAATGAAGGAAAAAGTGAATGCAAACTGTTAGTCGCTGGTGCAATATATTGCGTTGACTTCAACAATATGATTCAGTATAGGCAAGCTGATCCTCGAAGGAAACGAAAGATAATAAGGGATACTCTCAATCATCCATGCAAAGGTTATTTTCTTGATTGCGATTTTTATCACCTAATTTTTATTTAAATGTAATGTTTATTATTGTTTTCTTTTCTTTAGTATGTTTTCTTTAGTAATCTCTCTTCATTGGTTTTTTTTACTTGGAAGAATCGAATCTTTATCAACGCCCCCCCGCCTGGCCACATCAAGTGGCGGAGGTAAGCCAGCTTGGCCACTACCCACTAAATCTCCAAGAGAATACGGGAGACTTGCCTTGCATTGACTTGCTTGACCCGCATGCCGGCGCCGCGAGTTTCCCGCGCGCTGCTCACCCTATGTCTCCTCCGTCGGAGAGCGGGGGCTCTCCGCTTCCTCCTTCTGCGAGAGGACGTTGGCGCAGAAGACCTTAAAGTCCGGCCACGAAACGTCATCCGCACTCCTAACTATCCCTACCACGATGGTAGGCACGGATAGGCCCGCGATAGAGGGATAGGGATAGGATAGGCATTTCTAAGTCTTTTTAAGTGATCTATAGATGAGAAGAGGTCTGGACCCTTTAATACTATTTTTATTAATTATCATTGGAGATTATAATATTCATAGGTATTGCGGGCATAAGGAAAACATTAAATAAACCGGATAGTAATGTTGATGCAGCCAATGAGGTCACTGATAATGGAGATGATACAACAAATGCTATTACGGTATCCACTCAATCAGTTCATGAAATTGACAATTTATCCCACATTTTAAGGTAAGCTCTCAAATAATTATTTTATATGACAGTGTAAAAAGATTTCAACCTATTTTTGTCTTGGATGGTAAACAGTGAAGAGTTTGTGACCCAAAGGTGTCAAAATCTAAAGTTTAATGTAAATCCTTTTGTAGAGCTGTTAAAAAAAAAACAACAAAAAACACTTTCTATTTCTAATGTGTACTGTGTAAGATAATTTTGTTTAACTAAACAATCAGAATTCCATTCATTTATTTTAAGGTTGATGTCAATAGAAGAACCTTCAGCCAGCAGTCCAACGGAAGAAATATGATATTACGTATACACTAAATTTAGGTTTGTACAATTTGGCAATTTTGCTAATAAATGTAGCAACTTTGTAGATTGAAAATTTGTATACTAAAACTTCATCATTGATACTGCATCTAAAATCATTTATAATTTATAGCTGGGGCATATAGTGTCAACAGAAGGTGTAAAAGTTTGAACTTTGCATACACAATTTAATTATTATCAATCAGCAAAAATAATATTCAAATAATGCATGACAATCTTTATAAGTAATAAATAATAAGTACAAGAATTTTATTATTAGAGCTTTCATTATATGTTGAAACAACATATAGTTGCTTAAATCCTGCATTATAAAGAAATTAAAGTACACAGTGAACTTGTATTCCATGAAATACTCAATATTTGTTTTATAACTTCTATCAAAATTAATTTGAAGCAAATTAAACTATGAAAAAAATCTGTGGTTGTCAATTAAATATTATTTTTTCCTCTTTATGTTTGAATCCCAGTTAAGATTAAATAGGAAGTAATATGAAGTGCTATAGTCCATTAAAATAGATATGTACTTACCTATTGACATGGGTAAAAATAATGTAGGTAAATCTAAGGGTTAATGGTAACAAAAACAAGGTAGGTACTTTTAACTAACTTTAATACAACTACACAAAATATAAGTCTATTATTTACCATGGTCTAATTTTACTTTGGCTGGCATGAGTGAGAATCCATGTGTTTAAGGGTTTAGGGGCTCTTTGAACTTGTTTATGTCTTGGGTGTTCAGCACACATTACATATAAACGTTCTTCTCTTCGAACCATGTAGCAAGACTTACATCGTCTTCTTACTTTACCTTTTACTTTTAAATTGCAAATCAGATTTAAAGAAGGCACAGAAGTAGGCAGTATTGTCTCCCGTACTTTATGAAAAATACTGAAATTTGCCACTAAAGTGGTTCTCAAATCATTAACTGGTGGTCTTGTGAAAGCATATCTTGCTAAAGAGAGTATCCTCTGCATTATCGGTTTATTTCTAGATGACTGGTGAATATACTAAATTACACAGTTATTTATATATTTCGTAATAAGTTATAACCAATTCCATTAGCATTGACCAAAAGTCAAAACAGTTAATACAGACTACAGATAGATTTAATTATTATTACTAGACATAGCACAGAAGTTGTAGTTAGAACATAAACAGTAGATTATAGAGATATTATAAGAGTACACAGATAAAACGGACGGATACGTAATTGAATATTAATATATATATAATATAATATGTATTTTTTGGCCTAATAAGAAGAAAATTAAACGATGCAATTATCGACCTACACTTTATTGACCACGTCTCCGAGCAATCTTCGAGTAATAATAGTGACGTAAGTAATTAAGCTTTGTACTTGATTCATTGTATTATGTCACAATAAATAACTCATAACACCTCAGAACTATTATTTTTGTTTTTAATAAAAATTACGATTTAATGCACGATCGCGATGTAGTAGACTTCTTGCTTCTATTGTCGTTGACTTTTCTTACATCACATCCTTATGTCAATGTCAAACTTAACCAATTGTAATCTGCGCATTTCCTTAAACTCATTTTTAGAATTTTTATTTATTTTGTAAAAAATGTATTATGTAAATCTTGTGAAAAAATCATGATTTCATCGACTTCGTGTTGTTGTTTACAAAAAATGCGAAGTAAAAAAAATTACTATACAGAGTATCGCTTCTTCAGTCTGTACTCGTAAGATGTAAAAATATAAGCTTTTATTTTAATTACTTTATAAGGAAATGTAATTATACAAAATACATCATACAACTTTTTTGTAAACTTTTTAAATCTTTCAAATTCTTAGTAAAATATAAAATCAGAATTATAAATTCTAAGGGTAGTCGCAATAACTGCGAATAAATGTCGTTATTTTTCGTAACCTTATTTATTATGTGAATTGTTTTTTTTTAAATAAAAAAAAGACTACATTCGGTGGTGAGGGTAAACCTGTGATGTGGTCGAAATTAAATTGGGCACAAAGCTAAATTAAATATTGAAAAAAAAATGTATATATATATATATATATATATATATTTTTTTCATACAAATGTATAAAACCTCCCTAAAACTACAATTATTTCTATGTCATCAGTACCTACCAATAATCATCCAAAATTGTCATGTCTCGTAGTTACTTTATTAAGGTTTTAGGCTCAGTCATGTTTTTCAATACATTTATTAAATTTTAAACAGTAAAAATTAGCTTATTGACTTCTTTATCACAATTTTACTTTGACCTTTTAAGAGTTATCAGTACTGTCCGTTAATATCTATTAAATAGACGTGTTAATATTTACCATGAGTGAATCAAAGACAAATGCTGTATCGGATACACACAAAGTAACAAAAACAATCGTTACCTCGCCTGAAATTTATAAACCAGTTGGACCTTACAGGTTGGTACAATAATGCATAATACAATATTAGCCTTTTTATTTTGATAGAGGAGGATAGACGAGCATGGGGTCATTCGATCGGAGGTGAAATACCTTGGCGATATAGCATTTACACAAGTTACGCTGTCGAGCTATTTTGGTTTTGGATATTCGTTCGGTAGGTATTATGTATTTTTCTAATTGTAAATAGGAGTTAGTAGGTGTCCGAAGACTCGTTACTACATCGTAATTTTATCTTTAATTTTTCAATGGCGGCTAACTACATACAGTTTCACATCACTCGCAATTTTCAGCCAAGCTATATTGTCAAATAAAACCCTCTATGTATCTGGTGTCCTCGGATTAGACCCTCAAGCTCAATTGGTATGCGGTGGCGCTGAAGCGCAAGCTAAACAGGCTTTGGATAATTTAAAGCATGTCCTCGAAGCTGGAGGATCTTCACTTCCTGGTGTCATAAAGACTACTATATTACTCGCTAACTTGGATGACTTTCAAGTAGTTAATCAGATATACGCACAATGTAAGTATTACTAAAAAATAATAATTAAATTTCATGATCCCCCTAACAGTTCCTACCTGGACTCAAAGCTACAGATAATTCTGATAATTTTATAAAACCAAGTGTCATGCACTTGCCCCAATCTTGACTGCCCACTGTCTACTATCTATATCAGAGTTACCCAAACTTTTTTGTGTCGTAGACCCCTTGCCATGTTTTTCCGTGTTGACTAGACCCCCTACTTACCCGACATTGATTTCCTGTAAATTTCTGACTGTAGTTTAGTGTACACACCACTTACAGAATTTTATAAACATATATAATATTTTTTTTACTTCATAGGTACTTTTATAAATAATGCATATGTTTTGATGTTATACGATAGTATGAAGTAAGTAAATAGGTGTTATCAATGTGAGATCCACTATCGTGGACCCCCATTTTCATTTCATGGATCTCCAATTTTTTTTGTTTCGCTGATGTAGATCCCCTTTCAGGTTGTCATAGACCCCTAGGGGTCGATATAGACCACTTTAAGAATCACTGATCTATATGATATCGGGAATACCATCAACACTTTCGGCCCTAATTTTTTCACGTTACTACAATGTGAATTCTTGCGAATTCAATAAAACATCCTCTCGTCTGACATTGACTATCGTTAATGAATAGATTTGCCTAAATAACATGTCGGTGTCCTTGCGGTACGGGAGTTTTAAGCCGAGTTGAGAATAATCCACAGTTCAATCAGATTTTTTCATAATAGAGGAGAGTGGAGTTCACTTGATGATAGGTGTAATACCCCAGCATCATGCGTTAATCCACAGACTGAAACCTAAATGCAGAAAAATATAAATGAATAAAATATAATGGTGGCGATCGTACCCACGGCCTTTTAATTACTATTTAAACATTGCTACCATTAGCCCCATAAGGCCGTCAAACAAATTATACGACAATTGAGTTAAATACTCTATAATTTACCAAACTAACGGTTTAAGTTTAACTAATATATCCGTTTTAAACCGTTAAAGTTTTTATTTAGACAATTGAGTTTTTCAGTACGACTTTCAGAAATTACGTTTATTAATATGTAGTTTGTATTTTAGATTTTCCGAAGGACCCACCTGCGCGTGCCACATATCAGGTGGCCAGGTTGCCGCTCGGGGCTGCCGTCGAAATAGAAGCTATTGCCCTCAGCGGTGACCTGGTCATTGCAGAGGCAGGCCCTTGCCCTTGTGCTCGCTTGTAGATCTTTGACTACATTGTGATTGTCACGATTCAATTGGAATTTTATTATTGTTTGTATTGAAGTGTCAAAATTTTTTTTATTCTGATTTTGGATAACAATAAATAATTAATTGTATATCATCTTTGTTATTGCTCCCAAATTAGTAAAACAGATTTTGTGTCATTTTGTTTTTGGAGTGTTTAATAAGTAAATGTAATTCAAAGATTACAAATTATGTTAGGTGTGCTGTTAAAGTGATATTTTTAGTTTTAACAGTTGCATTAGCACTAACATCGATCGTAAGTAGCTACTCTAGAAGAAAGTGCTCGGTAAGTTATTCTAATGAGTAGGTAATATTTCGTTTCAACACAGGAATTTATGTATGAAGGTTGTATTAAAAACAAACTCGTAATTGCGTCAAAGTGGAAGAATGCTTTACACTCGTTTAATTTCAAAAACGCGATGGGGGTTGCGACCTGCGAGGTCACTCGAGTGGGTTTGTTCCTCCCGTGCCTTACATACTTATATATACCCGAGTATGATACAATCTTAAGTGCGCAGTCGACTTTAGTTGTAGTAGTTGACTCGGAGCTTTGTGACGTGGTTCAAAGTAGAAGCACCAAGTAAGAAGACGTAACCTCGTCAGGACCGAAAACGAATCAATGGCATATTAATTTGCCCAACATGGGCTGCACCAGCAGCGCTCCAGATATTGCTGATACTTCAATCAATGCAACAGGTAGCTTTGTTTCACTTCTAAAACTAACAAAATTTGTTCTAAACAACATTGTGTCATTGTTTTACAGTATTGCTGAAAGCAACTTTAGCGCAATAGACTCAACTTTACAATCGAATTACCAAGTATTGTAATCTTTTACCTGAAGACTGATAAAGTGGTAGAGGACTATGCCAAAATACTGACAAAATGCTTATCCCAAATAATTTATTGCTAGAAAAATGGTTCCTATTATATACAATTTGTTAAGTAACCACAAGACGTTTCGGATGCTTTGCAGCATCCGTGGTCACGGGGAGACTAAAGAAAAGAGAAGTTAAAAATCATTTTCAAATAAGTTTAACTAATATATCGCGTTTTAAGCCGTTAAAGTGTTTTATTTAATTGTGTACTACTCTCGTAAACTATATACGGTATTTAACCACAAGAGTTTTTTTGTAGGTATATATTGAAGTTAATTGTTGCTTCTATCCAGAGTAATTTTTATTTTTCCGCTATATTATATTATATTCGCCCGCAATTGATTGGACTCCTGACTCTGTAGTCTTAGCTGTCTAAGACTAGCGAAAACACTGTTTGCGTGGGTCGTTTAAACTTACGAAAAATTTCATAGACTTCGAGATAACGACAGTGGCGTAGATATCGTAGGGCCAGGTGGTGCAGTGCACCAGGGCCCCGGAACTTAGGGACCCGCTAACCTTATCTTTGAGAAGATATAAATGAAAGAAAAGGTTTTTTTAACGGTCGTATTGCTAATTATAATTTTGGAGGTTCATTTAATTCTAGCCATAAGGGCTGAGGATGAGGACGAGGAGGAAGGATGGGGACCCGATTCTTTCTTGAGCTTTAGGATTAGGTAGACCGGGGCCCTTGTCCACCTACCTACGCTACTGGATACCGATTAATCATTTATTAATTATGTGTTTACTTTTTACCAACTTTCATAAGAGTTTCATAAAACTTCCCGGCAAAGATCATAACAACAGTGATTATTTATAGAAACGTAAAAATAAGTAAACATTAAGCTGTACCTAATGACAGTTTTTGTAATGATATTTGCTTGGGAATGTGATAATGCGTTGCATACGAAACGACTTGTCTTGTACTAGGAAATGTTAAGTGATGCGACAGTGGTAGTCGGAAGCAGTGTCGTCAGTAATAACTTACCACCCCATACCTACTATCTACAAAGAACATATCTGGTGACTAGCACTTTTTACCATCGCAAAATGCATGCCACGTTCTGCGTGTAATGTACTCCGTATGAAACAAATTGAACACTGTCTGTAGGTCTGCCGTAGTCACAGGTAGACATTGCAAATATGTTGGCACTACAGTGTTTTATTTAAATTCGTATGAAACAATTTAATTTTATTAGTGACGAGGACCTTAGTTATTTTTCTCAATGACTCAATAGCTAAGCTCTTTTTCGTTAATCAAGAGAAGTCCTGGGTTTGAGCCACGATATCCTATAATTCATTTATTTCATGTATAAATGTATTTTTATATATGTGTATCAGGCGCTATCTAAGTACCTATAGACCGCGCCCAACCCTGCTTAACTTCAGTGATCGGATGACCACCGGTGTACTATATGTATACATATGTGAAGAAAATTATGTAGTTTAATATTTATGGAGGTTCCTATAAATATTTTTTGGTATTGTGCAGAACTAATTTGCCGGTACAACGGTCAAAGTTTTAAAGTAATATAGTAGCTATGCCTGTATAATAAAGTTACCTTCAGTCGAGACTCTATGCAGAGAATCTAATTATAGTTTAGCAAGACAAGCGATGGGCGTAAAGGGTGTCTATACGTCAATCAAATGAGTTTAACTACCAATGTAGGTAGTGAAGATGTAGTTTGTATTAGCATTAGTGTCGATGCAAGGTGAACAATTACGTAAATGAAATTTTCAAATAATACATAGAATTTATATTAAAAACAGAGTTTAATAAAATGTATGTCAAAAACTAAGAAATACCGAGTAAAATTAAACTTGAATCTGGTTAATTATTTTATTTATAAAAATGCCACGCCTACCCATTTAATAACTAACCCAGTTGCCTGGAGACATCGCTGCTTAGAAATAAGGCCGTCTTTTATTTATAACTTGGTACGTTTTTTTCTGTGGTGTTTTTTCATAATAAAGAAAATATCTGTAATAAATAAAAATAAAATAAAAACCATTTCCATACTTATGTTTATTCGGAAATAAAATAATTCTTTCTTTACAGAAAAGACACAAAAGCAAATTGTTGCAACGGTGGACGAAAGAAATAGCAAAGCAAATAATAAAAACGAAGAATCGGTGGATTACAACCGAGAAGTGCTTCCGATAAGTAACAATTTTGTCGAGAATATTCAACTGCCTAGCTATAATTCTTTATTTTCCAATACAGAAAAAGAGCTCTCTATTAAAGGTAAGTCTTTTACAATGCACATTTTTGTATTGGCTAAAGTCAATCGAATATAAAAAAGTGAAATACTGTTTTCTGTAAGTGAGGCTCGGGCTGACATTTGTACATACAAATACTTGTTATAATTATTTTGTAAAAAAACTTATTTAGAATACAATATTTTGACGGAACTTGAACCGCTATCCACAGCGTTCCGTGCTGCAGCTCTAACCAATTGAGCTGCCGTGTTTGTTTCCGGCGTTTTAAACGCGCATTTAACTGCTGAGCCATGGTGGAGGCTAAGAATGCAGTGGTTGATAACGAAAATATTGTAACAATAGATTTCTTATTACCTCCAACTGTCTTTTTTTATTAATTAATTGATGTAATTGCGCATTTATCGCAGCCAATCTATGTTATAAGTGCAACTTTGCCGCAACACTATCACATCACATCACTCCTACTCTAACTCCCACTCTCACTATCACTCCCACTCCTATTCCTAAAAAGCCAAAGAAGAAATTTTCATTGTTCTAGCTTCAAAAACCACGAATTTTCATACAAAATTTCACCCCCTTTTCGCAACAAAAACTATGTCCTTTCTCAGGGTCTAGACCATCTGTGTCCCGAATTTCATTCAAATCTGTTAAGTAGTTTTGGCGTGAAAGAGTAACAGACAGATAGACAGAGTTACTTTCGCATTTATAATATTAGTAAGGATATACGTACAATTAAGTGTACAAGTAGTTTAGTTCTATTTATTTTTAGAAACACTGTAAAGCTACCAATACATCTTCAAGAAAACGCGCTCAAACCTATCACGTAGAGTTTTATTTATGGGGAGGTAGTTTATCACAAAAAATTTAAGCGGTCGTAATATTGTATTCTAACTATAAATGGAAATACGAAATTTCATTGTATTGTACCTATACATTTATTAATTTAATGAATATAATTAAATTTTACTGGTGCTAAAGCATGTAGTATGTATTTTTTGATATCGTAGAATAAAACTCCTCTAACAAGTTTTGTAAGCACTACTTAAATGACTTTAGGTGATCGTGTAGAGGCTGCTAAAAGCATTGCAAGCCGTACTGAATTTTTGCATATCTAAATAGCAACTTGCTTTAAATAACAAATTGCGCCCTCGCTTTTATTTAAATAAGTATACATTTATACAATCTGAGGTGTTTGCAATGTCATGTTTGTTTATTACTTTCTTTACACTACACATAAATAAACTGCAATATACCATTTTGTTGCGTGATAAGCTTTTTTCCAAGCATTGCTTTAAAAAAGACCTTGTTTAAGTCTAGCTTTTTTAATACCTTATATGAGTCTTAAAATGGGAAGAGGCACAGTCTAAGGCAAAAATATTAATATGAGCTTTTGGGTGTTACACATAATACGTATATATATTGTTTATATTTAGACCTTAATTTCTGTTGAACGCTGCTCAAGTCCCATATTAGGTCTATGATGCTAATAACACTGAATATTTTAACCAAAAGTCCTTGCGGTCTCGAATTTGGCTAGGTACAATTATTATTTTTACCGAACATTGTAACTAAGAGCCACCTCCCCATAAAACCCCCATTATGTGGGCGGTCAGTCACCTGCGTTATAAAAATGAAGAGTTTTGATTTCATTAATACTATTATATATTATATATATTTCTCATCTTATTAACCTACTTATTGGATTTCATAACAAGGTAATATCTTTCCGAAACAGGTACAAAAGAAACAGAAAAGATATGTGAGATCTCTTTTAAAAGTGACAATAATGAAATTATAAAATCAGAGGAAAAACTGTCAACATTTATAGAAGTAGCTGATAAAGTTTTAATAAATAAGATAATAGAAGATGTAAAGTTCGAAGAATCGGCTGAAGAAGCGGCAAATGTTGATAAGGAGATCGAGAAAGACGTAACAAATAATTTAGTTGAGGAGGACGTTTACGAACCCGAAGAAGTTATCGTAGAAGATTTAGATGATAAGTAATTAATATATATCTGATTTATATATGACGAGCTATGCCAGCGACTCCGTCCGCTAAGAATATTTATTTTGGGCATCCAAATTCGTTTTTGCAAACCCATTTATCTTTATAAACTTAGGCAGTTACCCACGACGTCGGTCGCCCCTTCCCGTCCGTCTTTTTTTTAGATCACTTAAAGAGGAATCATTCTTTCATACATATTTTTTGGGTATCTTGAACCGTTTTTGCAGCGTCCGCCTCGGTAACCCATAATGATAGGTAAATTTTCAGTTTTCCCATTTTTTTCACAATCCGATGTTTTATAGCCTATAGTCTTTCTCGATAAATGCTCTAACCAACAGAACAAGATTTTTTCAATACGAACTGTAGTTTCTGAGATCAGTGCGTTCAAAAAAAAAAAAAACAAACTCTTCAGCTTTATACATAGATAGTACATATATAGATATTTTGATACTTTCGATTACGGAGACACTTTTATTGCAGTAATAAATGCCTAGTTCATTATGAATTTAGTTAAGGCGTCATTATAGTTTCCAGAAAGTTCTTTTTGAAATTATTTTAATGTCGTAATAAATTACTATATATATTAAAATTGGTTTTTAGTTTTGACATTGCATTATTTACGAACGTTTTAAAGCATATTAAAATCAAACTAAATTGGCAAAAATGCACCAATGCAAAATGGAACTTCTATCTGGAACGCCTGTTAAGTAGATAATTCACGTTTCAGAGATGATATCCGCGATAACTTAGAACATGAAAGTCCGACACAATCAGAAAGCCGATCGACCCGGTGGGAGGCGCTAGCAGATATCGCTGCGGAGCTACCCCCGACCCTGGCAATGGACCCCGTCACCGGACACATATATTCTTTAACGAAATAATTATTATAAACTTCTTCAATGTAAATTTTATTGGTTTACACAGTGATAGAACATAATTTTAAGATATAACTTTATAACTTAAACTATATATGACTATAGTTATTTTATTACTTAATTAAAAAGAGAAGATTCTTATTCATAGAATTAATTAAATATGTTAATAAATATATAATTACTAAACAGTTAAGAATTTACTAAACATTATACTACCACCATCGACAATTACTAATACTATTTTAATCAGATGTTATCGTAAGCAGTCGTGATTCTGTCGATGTTTGCAAATTCATTTAGATATAATTAAATAAACATATTAATATCAAATTATGTACTGGCACTCTCGTTCTTTAATTATTCGTATGTATACCTAAGTGGCTGTTCTAGAAAATTAATAATAGTTATTATCACGATGATTATTGTGAAATGAAAAGATCGTTTTATTTTTGTTACGGAAATAAATTGTTGAATTACTAAATGTTGTATCATTTCTTCTAGACATTTTATTCTGTTCATTAAATGTTTTGCTTAAATGAAATTGAGGAATGGACTAAACAGATAAAATATTTTTTAACAAAAAAGTTAGGAGACTAAAGTAAAAAATAAATTTACTTCGCATTAGTGGGGGTGCAAAGTAAAACAATAACTGTATGATAAAGTACCATACCAGTGCGTAAACATCTATGTTTCGATAAAAAAAAGTTTGATCAAAAGCAGATTTCAAATAGCAGTTATTCCCAAAGAAATATAGAAAAATATACATTATTAGAATTGTACTGAGGACCTACTTTTTTTAAAGTTTGGTAAATATATTACGACATATGATAAATTTAAAAACTGTCCGAGTTGTGAAAGACCCACATTATAAGCTTTTGGTAATGAAATTGAATGTTAAGACAAAATGCGTTGTAATTAGATTGATCATTTATTTTTAACCTTTATCATAGCTACTCCATTTTGCGTAGTTGTACCGCTAAGTATAACAACAAACAGAGAAGACTGCTTGAGACTATTCCAAATATCTTTAATCCACTCATCAATATCTGTTATATGATTGCATTCATTCATTTTAATATGAGCCATAACCAAGTTATACTCATTGACAGCACTGGAAACTGATGAAACAATTTCAGAGACTGTTTCAACGGTATTTAATTTTACCTTTTTTGGTTTACCCTTTTTAAATTGAGCGCTTAAGCTATCCTTTGCTTGCGTCAGGTATGAATGGTAATCCCCCGTGATATCATCACAACCGACCACCAATGAAGTTTTCTTCTGCTCGATTATATGATTGAATATCGATAATGCATATTCAGACTTTGTAGTATATTTTTGGCAGTTTTCTTTATACTTCTGTCTATTCTCGTGCACTGCATCACCAAACTCAATATTCTTAGTGAGCTTTAGTTGTACTAATTTGAGAGCTGTTATAGAATCCTCTACAGAGCAATGGCCATTTCTGTTAGATTGTATATCAAGATTAAGAAATTCCTTAGCTAGTGTTTTTAGTTTTGGTTTGCGTGTCCTTTCCCCAGTAAAGTTATATATAAGACTTGTATCAATCACATATGGATGAAACATTCTTAAAGCATGTAGGTCTATATTTAGCGATTGACCAATAAGTATCGCATCAGGCGGTAAAATATCACTTAATTCCCTTTGGACGTCTTCCAATCTTTTTGTAATGTTTGTTAATATAGATTCAGTTATACCAGAATATCTTGTTAAATAATCAGTTATACTATTATAAGGCTTAACATATGATTCATATACTACTCTATATTTTTCATCTACAACAGAAACTCTAGTTAATTCTGATCCCGCATTTGTGGTGCACATTTCACAATCAAGCCCAAACATTGGAGATTTGGGTGTAACTGATTTATATTCTTTCTTGGAAAAAACATAATCTGAATAGATGTTTTTTAATTTTCCCTTTAAAGGTACTGGGTAATTTTCTTCAATTAACTGCCAAGCTGATAACATTAATTGAGTTCTAGGGAATTTATCTTCACATTCAGTTTCAATTTCTTTGAGATTGTCATATTCAATTGGAAAAACAGCTCTCATCATTACCAATAGGTCTTTTCTTACTTCCAAGGCTAAATTCATACTTCCATATTTTTGAATAATACATTCTTTTTCGGATTCGGTCAATGGCACTAAAGCTAATTCTTTAACAAGGGACCCATTATAAACAGATGGTGTTAGTACTTCGACAAAATCTTCAAATATTGAGCATGTATTTGGTAACTTATTTTTATATTCTTCAAATTGATTAATGGACAAACCTTCTATAATACAACAAGTAGTTTGACTTACATGACTACATTTGTCTAAAACATACCATCTCGGGGACTGTGTAATGTTCAAATTTCCAAATAATGAATGCAAAAGTAAGTGCTGTATATCAGTGAGAACTAGTGGAATCCTATCATTAGCCTGTGTACTAAGGCATGCTTCATAACCAGTTGACTTTAATCGAAAGTTAGCAATATGTTTTCTCCGTGGTTTCACAGTCTTTGTTTCTGGAAGGCTTCCATTGACACAATGTACATTCTCTGAAAGTATATACATATTGAGTAAAACTTGTATAGTATCTTCCAAAATATGGATGGAATAAGTATTTTGATACGTTACTTACGTTTACTTTCAACATTTTTTCGTGGTTTTTTCTTTAAAGGTTCTTCATTTGAGTTCATCGTGGTTTAGACGTTGGAATAAGTGGATAACATACAAATGAAAGCGTTAGCAGACAAGCAGATTTTCATGAATTATTAGCTTGGTTTAAAATAGGCATATTATCAACATTTTCGTAAAGGTTATTTTAATGGCAATATGTAACTAACATGGTCAGTATTTGCCAGTGTTTGGTTAGGTTAATTATTTTCAATGGTTATTGGTTATTTTTGTTAAAATGACTTATGTCATGCACACAATTTATTTGTCACGTAGTACAGTCTATAACAAAGTGTAACACAATAATGGACACAGAAGAAACTACTCCACAGAAAAAATCTTTTATTGTATTAATAACAATTCCACCACCTATATAAGTAGATTTGTTATAAGTCTGTGGTTCTTTTGGATCAGTGTGGTATATTTGTAATTATTTATGTAGCTCTTTATTTGGGACTTAGGTTTACAATACATACACATTAATTTAGAAGATACAGCATAAAAATTATATAGTTTACGATTTACCTTCGTTTGTTAATCATACGGATAATAATTTAAATTTATCAAGATAGACTTTCATGTTATATGTACCTACGCATTTATTTTTGACGGTGACTTCTAATCCTAATTACTATCATAGTATCCCTGTTAAAATGGATTCGTTGCGTGAGCAAGTTATGATAAATCAATTTGTATTAGCGGCTGGATGTGCTCGAGAACAGGCCAAACAGTTATTACAAGCTGCCCATTGGCAATTTGAGGTATATAAAGTCAAAGTGTTTCTAAAAAAATATGTAAACAAATCGCAGTTATCAAATGGCTGCTACTGTTGTGTTTATATTGTCGAAATCGTTAGGTAACATGTATTGTTTACTTAGGTTTTTTTATCGACATATTGTCGTTGATATTGCGTGTGCATCATACTTTTGAGTACTTTTTCCTTTTAATGCCACTATCTTTTCAAGTTAATGTGTTTCTAAAATTTGGTAGGTTAGTAATTTTGTTGTAAACTTTGAGGTTTTTATTGTTATGAGAATAAAAGATTATCAAAATGAGAAATACATCTTAGTACAAGGAGAAATACTTTTTGGTAAAGTTACATTTTCATGTTAACATTTTAATTTCAGACGGCTCTTTCAATATTCTTCCAAGAGGTGGCTATCCCATCAGCAAATGGTATTGCTACACAACATTATCCACAGGTATTGGCATTCAATTTGCTTTGCTTCTGAGGCTTAATAGTCAAATGTGTTGCCTATTATTAATTTAATGAAACCATGTACTCTTATAGTCATGCCTTATAAATTTATATGCACATCGGGTGGTGCTCTGCAAAGAGGAAACAAAAGTGCACTTTTTTATTTTTATTGCATAGATTTTAACATCTTTTAAATATCAACTTAACTGATATTGTAGAAAGAGCTAATTTTTTCTATTGAATAATTTATGCTGATCATGTGATCATAAGCTACCTATTACTGTTAATTTTCAGCAACTCATGACGCCATGCAATACTCCTGCTACTCCACCCAACTTTCCGGATGCCTTGGCAGCTTTCTCAAGATTGTCTACCACTGGAAGCCCAAATAATGCAGGTGGTGTTAGTGGAATGGCACCACCAGTATCCCCATTGGCCACTCACCCCCCAGGGCAAGCAAATTCATTTACAAGCTCGTCCAACACCCAAACTACTAATTATTCACCACTTTCTTGCTCAACTGCGGTAAGCTATGTGCAATATTATTAAATAGTAAGTAAATGAAAGTAACATAATACATAATATTTGTTATTTAAAAGCTAAATAATTAAGCAGCATTACATTATTAATAATAGCTATATAAATAATTAACAAGAAAAATTTACAATGTTAAATATTTAAATCTACAAACAAATATTGTGCAATTTTCTTATATATTTAATTTATTATATTACAGGTATGCAGAGAACAGATGCCAAGATAAGTTGTAATTGTAGGTTAGGACCATCTGTAATTTATTTTTCTAATGGTGCCCAATTCGAGCTGTGGTTTTGAACATTACTTTCTGACATCCCAAAGCAGTTACAGAAAGCGGGGTTTGGAAAGATTGGGGTGTCTTAGTCAATCATGTTATAAACATTAATATTGTCACTGTTCGTAATTATTAAATAGTCGTTTCTAAAACAAATTGCACTAAGAATTTTGAGTTACAGTTTTAAATGCATAACTGTTAGATATCTATAACTGTGATTATTACTATTGGTATCAGAATAAGTAATACTTTATATGTATTAAATTTAAAAGGAATTTATTATTTTTCATTATACAATCATTGTTCTATACATCATGTGTATAATTGTATAATGTTAGTTAATTAAATCAAATTGATTCTGATTGTATTATATTCAGTGTAACATGTATTATACACAGCTTCATAAAAGACAATATTATGAATGTAATTAAAAGATACATTAAGAAAAATTGTTTTTATGGAAATTTATAACTAGCAATAATTATAAAAATTGTTTCATTGTGTAAAAGACATTGTTTAGTACTGAGATACTGTACTAAATAAGGAAATATAAAAATGATTCAATATTTTTATCGGGCTTCACTGTTCTAAGATATAGCTGGGTTTGAGTTCTCACTTGTTTGATCTACCTTGCTTTTAGAGCATTCCCTCGACTCAAGGTCATGATTGTTCTCTGAATTTGGGATATCTCTGACCCTATTTCCATTACCCACTTGCAGCTCTTCACTTTCGTTCGGGGTAATGATTGTAGAGTGTTTGCTTTTTTTTAAAATAAGCTGTAAATAATGTTAACTCACATAAATCTTTGTAAATACTGTATCTCTATAAATATTTAATTTCCTTGAATAACTAAAGCCCCCTGGATTCATACATTCAATGTTAACATGTTGCAAGGAGTCTTAACAATTTGTTTTAGTATGGATAATCAATAACAGATCAATAAAATTTTAAAAACTATAGATAATTTCAGGATGCACCTTATAAAACTGAGGTCTTTCATACACCCATATAAAGACTATTGAAGCAATAGAAATGGATAAAGAAAATATTAAGTATTTGGAAGAGTATGTGTAGGCTTCAAATAAAATATTGCACCAGTTTCTTCGTTGCATTGTAGGATAAAATTTCACTAGGATTATTAAGAAGGATCATGTTTCAAGGTATTCATACTATTACATTATAGTTTTTTAAAGACAGTAAATGTTAAACAGAAAAATGGAAGACATTAAATTGCCAGAATTTTATGGCAAATAATGACGCAGAACAAACATATTGTCAGTTACCTGAAGAAATATAAAAAGTGACACTTAGTTGAAGGGTAAATATTTCGTTTAAAAGTAAATGAATGTTTTGTTAAACTTTATTTTACCTTATAAAATTACGACACGGGCGAGACCTGAACCGGCATTCATAGCGTTACATGCTATTCTAACAAATACGTTGCAGCATTTGAATCTGAGCAATTTGAGCACTGATGGCTATCATATAAATAAACCGACACCGCAATTTATCTCTCTAAAAAGACCATAATAAGCGAATATCAAGAGTCGAACTTTATTAAGGAAGACCAGATCTTTATATAAGAAGTTTTCGAAGTCGCACAAAAACTATTTAAGCTTATTACTAAAAACATTATATGGACTTCAGAATAATTTGTATTTATCGTACTCCAGAGGTGAAAATTAAAACCTAAAAGTGGTACAAATATATTTGTATTTAGAACATTTTGAGAAAGAACAGGTTAAAACAAAACTTACTCATTAGTATAAATAATCTGTGGAATATACACTTTAATGTTTGGAAGTGGATTAGGTTAAATCATAAATCAGATCACAAACTCCAAAAGGTTCTTGTTGGTACTTGTTGTTCCATAGTAGTAAAATCCTAGTTACCCCAGCAAACACATCTCTATGTCTATTACACTCATTAGAATATTACTCCAAGTCATGTTAAAATTTCCACACTAATAATTGTAATTCTTTTATTTCACAACAGTGATCTCTAAAAGGCTAAATTTATATCATGATAAGATTTTGTTCAACACATTTATATTGTGACATCCTAGTAATATACATTTAGCTTTGATTGACAATCTCTTAAACAATGCCAATAAAATAATAGGTCCTAAAATAAGATATTATACTTTAATATTTATTGCTCTTGAATTAGAACATCTTTAACCTAGACTAAGTAAACTCAGGTTAAAGGTTGTCCGCAAAATGGTCAAACATTTATGAATTAACAAAATTAAAAGATTGACTAACCTTGATCTGCTTAATTATGAATATAAAGCTTATTTAAAAACATCTCAATTACTCATCATTACAATATAATCAAATTTTAACATAAAAACACAGAGCACTTTTAAAAAATATACTTATTAAATATACATCATTTCTGCCATAGACGACATCTTCTTAGGTATATGTACTAGTGTTTCGAAATAACTAGCAAGTTCATCTATAGTGACATCACAAGGAGGGTTTAGGGCTTGCTGAGAGCAGGAACTTGATGCGCTCTTTTCTATAATAGGTTCTTTGTGTTTGTCATTTGAAGATTGACTATTTTGCCAACACTTATTATTTTTAACACCACCAACCTTAATGTTGCTTTTATTAGTCTCCAAAGAAATATATAACTGTTCACAGGTATCCACCAAAGAGTGCAGGTATATATTGTCTTTAGCGTTTAAGTGCTTTTTCGATAACTTATGCATATTAATTTTATGATATTGACTCTTCTTGTTTTTCATGGAACACTGTGGTAATTTTAGTATTGGATCCCTGAGGATTTTGCTTTGTTTCCTTTTCTCAACTCCATACCTTTTACTTTGTACATGACAAACACATTTAGATGGAAGTGAGATGTTTGTGACCTTATTTTGTTTCTGTAATACACTATGAAATGGGTTGTCCTCTTTTATCACTTTAAATGCTTTTGTTGATTCTAATTCTAGCCGACCCACTCTAATAGATATGTCATCAGTTGCCATGTTTATACTGAAAACATTAAGGGTATTGTTTAAATTTTAATAAAAGGGAACACTAGAACTTTCCATGGACTGGTTTTCTTGAGGACAAACATAATAAGCTACAGTCATTTGATCAGTATAACACTTACTCATTTAAGGAATGGTTATAAACAAAACAACTTTTCTCTGTATAGTCTATAGTAATAACTTACATGAGTCATTAGGTTTGGTTCAGCAATGGATAATAATATTATAATATTTTCTTTCGATTTATCTCCGTATTGGTGACAACACATAATAATGCCAATAGCATGCAAAATTATAACGTTACCTAAGTCTAGGATAACAATTTGATTATGATTTTCAATAAGCATTAATTACTTAACACACTTCCTCAGTAAACAAATACAGTACATAACAACATAACATTATTTTTCATCTGATCTTATTGCTTTATTTATTATATCTGTAAATATAATAATTTAAATACTACAGATATATAAATTACAAGCACAGATATAGTAACTATTCCTACTTTATCTGTAGTGAGTGCTGTTTTGTTAACATTGTGAGTCTGTGTTTGTTATCAAGTAAATTTATTGGACTTGAAGTTAGTGCAATTTGGATTTGCGCTTCAAGTGACCCATCTATTGATTTTCTCAATATTTGATCATGGAACCGAATCCCGTAATTATTGCTGCTACAGCAAAACAAACTGCCTCTGTAAGTCACTTAATTTTTCTATCGAATTAAATTTATGAGTATTCCATTACTGTATTATTAAGACAGTATCTTTAATATCTTTGCATTTTTTCAGCTTATCTTCTTACATGGCTTGGGTGATACCGGGTAAGGAGAAAGAATTTAAAATTATTATTAGATATGCGCTTAACAGCTTTTTTTTAAATGTTATTATTATTTTAGTCACGGTTGGGCAAGCACAATAGCTGCTATCAGAGGTCCTCACGTAAAAGTAATATGTCCAACTGCCTCTACTATGCCAGTGACACTTAATGGAGGTTTCCGAATGCCCTCCTGGTTTGATTTAAGAACCTTAGATGCAACTGCTCCAGAGGATGAAGAAGGGATAGTAAATGCAACAACTCTTATCCATCGACTTATATCTGATGAAGTAAAAGTAAGTTCTTCATCTTCTTATGCCGGACTATTACTAAGGGTTGGCTGTTATATCCTAAAATCGACTGGTCTCCTGTAGCAATGTCAGAACTACTTCTATCCATGTCCATTACATGGTAAAGTAAAGTAGATAAAGATAAGTCAGATTTTCTTGTTCTGAATTGTATATTATTATAATAAAGTGTGTATTTGACCTATAACCAACATTATCATCACAAAATTATAAAATTATAGTTCTACATTTTATTTAAGAAGGTAAATTTCTTTACGAAGATAAACACATTTTTTAGTCTGGTATACCTGCAGCAAGAATATTGTTGGGTGGCTTTTCCCAAGGAGGAGCACTCGCTCTCCATGCTGCATTGACATATCCGGAACCTCTGGCTGGTGTTATGTCTTTGTCATGTTGGTTACCAAGACATGCTCATTTTCCTGAAAGTGTTAAGGCTCCAAAGGAAATGCCAGTAAGTGATTCATTCCTAAATACACTTCAATATTATAACAACTATGCAGTCTTCAAACTTTAATAGAAACTAAATCTAAATGTTAATCTAAGTTCAACTTAATATAAAAATAAATGGTGACAATCAAACTATCTATTGTAATTGTGGAAGGGTAGAATACAAAAAAACAGACAACATTAATTTAAAATATATAATTTTTAATGTAAATAAATGAAAACCTATTTTATTTTTATTAAAAAAAAAATCCTATTACTATTATATATAATCATAATAAATGTCTGTTATATAATTGCACAGGAAATATTTATTTTACATAAAGAAATGTATAGGCAGGATTGAATGCATACTATGACTAGCTGTAAGGTTTGTGTGGACGTTACATCACGTACATGGTTTTAATACTATATTATAATACTTCATTGCACATTACAAACGGAATAAAAATTAAACTTAGTTGTTTATTGAGGTATGCATAATAATAATATATATATATAATTCTCCTAAAATCTTCTTAACTATCCCTGTGCAATGGATTTACCGTTAAAAATATTATTCAAGTCACATTGCATCATAGAATCATTACCTAGTTACTGTAAATAGCAGTTTATGCATAAAATAATACAAAATGCATGATATGTATTTAATAATTCACTTATATCACAACTTCAGAGACATTTGCATTACAGATAACAGGGCAATGACCATACAGGCACATTTTGTAATTCTAATTTCTAGGCATTCATTTTCTAATGTTATTCAGCTGATTATAGTTAGTCTATTTTTAGACTATCCACCTAGTATTGAATAGTATTATAAATCTTCATTAAGTCAATAAAACATAACTTCATTAATTGTGAACTAGCAATAGCACACTTGTGGATATAATCTGTTTTATTTTGACACAAAACTTTATTCCATTTTACTCCTTAAGTTGTCTACTTTATCATTATTTTGTTGTTTCCTATACAATTCTACAACTTTTATAATTTGTATAAACAGAATAAGCAGGGTCTTAAAATGAGCATAACATTAAAAACAAAACATTTTTGAAAACTAAATGAATATTTGTACTCTCAAAATAATGTATCCAAGTTTTGTGGCGTCAGCATTTTTATCAATTTACACACTACATAATATATTATAATAATTGTTCTAAAATACCTACGAAACAAATTTGGGATCCCATTGATGACTTAAGTAGGTACTCACCTAATGACTACTACTAACACACTAATATTTTCGTATTATTACTGTGTAATATGTGCTATTTATTGTGATGTAAATATAAACCAATGTAAGAGATATCTTTAATAACCGGATTAGGTATTTCTACAACTAGATAATATATACACAGATTAAAAAGTATTTAAATTAATTAGATGAGCAAATAAAGGATTTGACCGCCTCTGTATAATCATTAAATGTATTGCGAAAAATTTAGTTTAGAGTGATTGGTCCTAGATCCTTGGTTTGAATCCTGGGGAGTCAATAGATTGTTTCCGTCGAGCTGGGCGCCGAACAGTGAAACAGACCGATCAGTGAACGGGCGGACTCGCTATTTCAGAATAGGATAAGTGTTATCCGTAATTTAGAAAAATACTTTGGAAAAGAAAAAAAAAATGTTCGCATATCAAAATTATAATAAGCGGCGTGCTAAATTGAGTTGACAAAGAAATTAATAAGAATTTACATTTTAAACTTCAGTAATGAAAAGTTTGGTACTGAAGAATGCAATGTTTTTAATGAATGTAAAATAGTTTCAATTTTTGTTTGTCCTTTCGTTTTATATATATTTCATGAGTATGTAATTCTCTAACCATTACATTCGCAGATCTTTCAAGCTCACGGCGACTGTGACCCTGTGGTGCCGTGTAAATGGGGGCAGATGACTGCGTCCTTTTTGAAAACGTTTATGAAAAATATTGAATTCAACACGTACCAAGGATTGTCTCATAGTTCTTCAGATGCAGAACTTAAAGATATGAAAGCATTTATAGAGAAAACATTACCTTCAGTGAAATAAATTAGGTATAAGCATAAATCACGTACTTACAGATTTAATTTTATATTTATAATGAAATAATTATTTTTATCTTTCTTTTATTCATGTATTTATAATGCTAATACTAAATTCAATTATTAATAGAAAATCTATATTATCTTAGCAATCAAGATCAACACTTAGGTTAGATTTACAATGCAAGGCAGTACAAAGTTCTTATTCTTGTAAAGTGGGGTATTTTAAATGCTCTGGAATACGAAAAACTAAAGTTATATCAATAGTTTGCCAAAAAATTTGTTTGGCCTTTAAATGTAATATAAAGAAATACTACTTGAATGATTTGTTTCATTTTACCTACGATAGGATAGTGTCTTTCAATGTTAAAACAATTATTATAAACGTAATATAAAACATACTGGCTCGTCTCGTGAATTGGAATTCTAAATAATAAGAGAAAGAAGATTTTTTTTTGTCAAAGGGAAGATTTATTTTAAAGCGACTGTCCACACACCACACTTCAATCTTGTTCAAGATATAATCTGTTTTGATATTTATCATACGATGGTATAATTTTAATCTGTGGTTGACAGTGATAGTTTGGTGATAGTAGTAAGTAGTATAAAATCAAGTGACAAGTTAGTGATATGGTGTTAAGATATTTAGCTAAACATAATATGGTGATAATAATTAAAAAGACTCGTATCATCAATATTTTATTAAACATTTAACGCAGCGTATTTATGTTTGGATATCATATAATCTGGATATAAAAGGCGAATGGTTTTAAGTATTTAGAAAAATAAAGTGCAGAAATGAGTGTACAAGGACATATTTTGATATTTTGTTATCTTTTGATACTATCTAGTGTATCGTGTACAACATTTAACCGTGATAATGGAGCCGTTCCAGAAACTTTTCGTAACATTGAAAATCTCACAAAATCAAAGCGCGACGCCGTTCAAAACATCTCGAGTTCAAGCGAGTCCCCTGCAACTACACAAATTCCAATTACGATACTAAACGGGTCTTCTGAAAGCCCTAACATTGTTTATGAAGTGGGACCTTCTAACTCTTCGATACTGTCTGTTATTCAAGTAAATATATCCTCTTCAGCATCCCCCAATGCATCTGTAGGTCCTTCTGATATTGCAGCACTTCCTGGAAAAAGCTCAGCAGAAGATGAACATAATAGTTCTATGGCCATTTTCTTTGTACTCTGCATATTAGCACTTGGCATTTTACTTATACACCTTATGCTTCAAACAGGATTTTCTTATTTGCCTGAGAGTGTTGTGATTGTATTTCTGGGAGCATTAATTGGTATGATAATTAACTTGATGTCTATAAGAAACATTGCTAATTGGAGGAAGGAAGAGGCGTTTTCCCCTACTGCATTCTTTTTGGTGCTATTGCCACCAATCATTTTTGAATCTGGTTATAATCTACACAAGGGAAATTTTTTCCAAAATATTGGTTCTATTTTATTATTTGCTATCGTTGGAACTGCTATATCCGCTTTTGTTATAGGAGCTGGGATTTACTTGTTAGGTTTAGCTCAGGTAGTTTATAAGTTAAGTTTTGTAGAAAGCTTTGCATTTGGATCTCTTATATCTGCCGTGGACCCAGTAGCTACAGTGGCTATATTCCATGCGTTAGATGTGGATCCAGTTTTGAATATGTTGGTATTTGGTGAGAGTATATTGAATGATGCTGTGGCCATAGTACTGACAACAGCCGTGTTAGACTCCAATGATCCTATCATGTCTACAACAGATGCAATTTTATCAGCTATCAATAGATTTTGGTTGATGTTCTTTGCATCAGCTGGAATTGGTGTTTTGTGTGCATTAATAAGTGCACTACTATTAAAGCATGTTGACTTGCGGAAGAATCCTTCCTTGGAATTTGGTATGATGCTTGTCTTTACATATGCCCCTTATGTACTGGCTGAAGGGATTAATTTATCAGGTAAGACAAAAAACGGGAACTTAATTAACTGTACAGTTATGAGTAAACAATTAATATCCTATTAAGACATAAAATAACTGTTATTTGTAATCACATACTGTTATTGCGTTAGTGAAGGTCATTATGACGGCAACTTAAATACTTTCAAAGAAAACCAGTCTCTCTGGCCTTGGTAAATATAGATAATTTACTAGTACTAACAACAATGTAATGTGATAAAAAATATTTAATGTGAAACCCCATAAACAAGAGACATGGGGCGAGCAGATTTCTGTTTCTCTGATCAGCTTATTCACAAGCTATGATTTCTTTTAAATTGTGTAAAAGTTAATCTATGATCTGTATTGTAAATATAATTCAGTTGCAAAATCCTTAATTAAAGTGTACTTACTAACAAACTCTGTTTTATATAATACTAGCTGCGCCAGCGACTTCGTCCGCGAGAATCGTAATTTTGGGCAACCAAATTAGTTTTTGGAAACCCCGTCATCTTTATAAACTTAGGCTGTTAGCCACGACGTCGATCGCGTCCCTTCCCGTCGTTCTTGCAAGCTAATCTTAAAATATAGACATATAGCGTCGTGGACTTCTTTTTAGATCATTTAAAGATAAATAATTCTTTCATAAACATTTTTTAGTTACATATCTTGAACCGTTTTCGCAGTGTACGCAACTGAAACCTACAGAGATGAATTATTTCCCCCCGTTTTGTTCACATTTCCCGCTGTATCTTCGTTTCTATTAGTCAGAGCGCGATGTTTTATAGCCTTATAGCCTTCCTCGATAAATGATTTAACCAACACAAAAACATTTTTTTATTTCGAACCCGTAGTTCTTGATATTAGCGTGTTCAAACAAACAAACTATAGGATACATAATAATATATAATTAATCTATACTATATATATAATTAAAGTATAGATTAATTATCACTATAATATATTGTATATTATAATTGTTATGGTTTCTTTCAGGAATTATGGCTATATTATTCTGTGGGATTGTTATGTCTCATTACACACATTTCAATCTATCAACAGTGACACAGGTCACTATGCAGCAAACTATGAGAACTCTTGCTTTCATTGCTGAAACTTGTGTATTTGCCTATCTTGGACTTGCAATTTTCAGGTAAGTAAATCAACCTAGACTAACCTCTGCCTATTAATTGAGAAATATTTAAATTTAAATTGCATGTAAACTTATTTAAGCTACATTAATTTAATACAATTTTATGTTTTTAGAAATTTATTTACCCATAGGTAAATTATAGTGTATTGATACCGCTCTGTCTTTTTTTCAGTTTCCGTCACCGAGTTGAACCAGCACTAGTTGTTTGGAGCATAATTCTTTCTTTGCTTGGCAGAGCAGCTAATATATTTCCACTTGCTTTATTGTGTAATAAATTTCGGGAACACAAGATAACTAAAAAGATGATGTTTATCATGTGGTTTAGTGGTAAGTGTTTTGTAAAGACCGTTGTATTATTTTTGGTTTAAAACTGTTTTATTTATGCATTATCTTTAAACAAACATTAGTGTTGCCATCTCCTTACATCATTTTGGAGAAAATGAATTAGTTATTAATAAGTCAGACTTATCAAAAATGTTATTAAATTTTTCAGGTTTACGCGGCGCTATTTCCTACGCCCTGTCCCTTCATCTCAACTTTTCAGATGAAACCCGTCACGTTATTATAACAACTACGCTTATTATCGTTTTATTCACCACTCTGTTTTTCGGAGGTTCCACTATGCCACTCCTGAAGTTCTTGCGGGTATGATTTATTCTTCAACTTGCTTTGATAATTTTATGAAAAAATGCAACTTGGTGCTGCTTTGAATATAAGAAATCTGTTAACTAAAATCAAAATATGTTAACCAGTTCATATTTTCCGTCTATGATCAGTTCTTCATGACTAGGACAGAATTTCATATTAATAATATTGTTTTGTGTAGATTGTGAATTGGTCTAGTAACAAATCAAACTGTGATTTATAAACACACTAAAGGGGAATCGAACTCGCACCCCCTTGATTTTTATTTAGCCATATATTGGTGCGAGAAAATAAAGTAAGATCATATGTATATAATATTACATATTATAACACTGTAAATTACAGTTAACCATAGAACTTACAATTAACAAAAGAGATGAAGTAAAAAAGTCTTTGTTTCAAATACTTTCAGGCTAACAAGAAAACTAAACGTCTGCGATCGCAGCGTAAACAGAAGGAAGTCAGCTTGTCTAAAACCAAAGAATGGGGACAGGCTATAGATTCTGAACATTTGTCTGAAATCACAGAAGAAGAATTGGAGGTAGTTCTTTATTTTTTTAGCTCTAAAATTAAACAAGGAGTAATGTTGCATTCTTGTAGCATAGAAATTTTGCAATATGATGTAAAAAAATGTTGATTCTCGGTAAAAAGAGCTCTTCGAAAATCATGAAGTGGGCCCAATCATAGGTCACTGTTTTTCTTATGTTGAATCATTTCTATATAATTTTAGGTGAACTACTCACATGCGACGAGGTTAAAAGGTTTCGTGCGTCTTGACTTGAAGTACCTTACCCCATTCTTTACTCGACGATTCACACACCAGGTAAGATTAAAGTGAAAGATAATATATATTTTTTTAGCTTATAATAAAAATATGATATAATCTACCCTATTAATCATCCTTACATACATTTTTTTAACTAGATGTTGGTTCACTGACAAGCTAATTAAGATTTGACAGTTCCATAAAGTTATTGTTTTCGGGCTGTTCGGCCAATGTGGGCTCGAAGAAAGCGAGCAATCGAGGAATGTAAATATCTTCTGAAGCCGTATATTGGAACCTTTCGTATTGGCCGAAAAGCCCGAAAGACAATAATATGCTGACATAGTTATGTTTGGACGTAAATGTTTCGGCTGAATTTGTATAAAAAATTATATAAAATAGAAAAGGATAGTTCTTAGCTTATCATAGACTTTTTTAATGTATGTATTCTTATTTGATATTGTTTATGCAACTTATAACATTATTGATGTCCAGGAATTGAAGGATTGCAAGAGCCAGATGACGGATCTCACTAATCAATGGTATCAAGCTATACGAATTTCCAATGACAATGATACAGACGAAGAAGAAATCCTACAACAAGGTTCACTAAGTAACTCGCGAAGCAGTTTGCAAAGAGTAACGTAACTTTGCATACAACGTACCTTTAATTCTAGTAAAATTGTATTACAAAGTATTATGTAATGTTCACAATGCCTCACGAGCCATTTATTAATTACGTTTCACAATTTAATTATTTTCGACCCCCCTCCCCTCCGTTTAATTGTGACGTCACATGTTTTGCAGTTTTATAATATCAAGAAATTAGTGTACATATATCATACAGTATTATGTGAATGTGACGTCACCAAATTTAAGACCCTTATCACTTTTAATTCTATCGACCTCTCTCTTATATGTGACGTAGTAAATGGATGGCCTGTTATTTGTATATCAGTATTTATTGCACTTATAAGTGTAGAATGTACATAATATTTAGCCAAGTTGTTCTACTTTAGAGACAGTGATAGGCGTTATAGATAATTTTTATTGTTTGATTGAAAATCGATTCCTTTAGATTATTCATTTATTATATGGAAAAATAATGCATACTACAATTTTTAGGGACAATTCATATATAATAGTTGTAGCTTATGCGTTTAGACGTTTGTTAGGATGCACACTTTAAAGGGAATCTATACTCTTAACGATGTATGATAAGATGCTGTATTTAGTTCAGATATATTGAGATTCGATCCGTAATTTTTTTTACAAAATCCCGGTTCCTTTTCGTGGGATTTTACTAAAACACACAGGTCCCAACATATTTCTATACTTGTTTCTGTGATAGATATTATTAATATGCAATTGGTTGACCAGACTTAAGTTGCTCGACCTAGTGATCCTTCCCAAGGACATCTCGACTTTAGCGAAATGCTAGGCACTTAACCATGTCTGAATCGTCACTTAGCACTACGATTTGACCATGAGCATGGTTTAATTTCATTTGCCTCATTTTGCGTAGTAGTAACATGTAATCAATTACTTTAAGGTAGCTAATAATCATTTTTGGGCCTGAGTCTTAATGTAACATAACAGGGTATCTAAATATTACGCGGCCAAAACATGCCTCTCTGGGCATGTTTTGGCCGCGTGGAAACTACACCTGATTGTCTCTGATTGCGAGTTTTATCACTAGTTGCGCGTCGAAACTAGCGTCAAACCAAAAATGTATCTTTTATTTTGTAATGATTGTCTTTTCTTAACAGATTTTCTTTGTACCAGACTTGGCAATTTCAAAAGGTAGATAGTAAACATCGTTTTGCTTATTGTTAATGTACCTTCTTTAACTTTAGCGATTAAGTGAAGTGAGTATCTTCAAAACTGTGTTATCATTACAGATTAATAACCACTAATCATCTAATGATTATTCTTTGTTATCTGTAATTATTAATAACAGTTCGTATATTTTCCATAGATACAAAATATATTTGTGTAGTAGGAAATCTTAATTGTTTGTAAAGACGCTACTAGTTTTATTCATAGTATTTTTGATTTGCCATGTAAGATTAATGCTTCATTTAGAGATCAACGCCAGTTTATAGATAATTTAATGCTTGAAGCAACTCTAAGGGTTGTTGCCATTGAATGTTGTGATATTTGAAAAGTTGTATTATTTACTTTATTATAGCACAAAGGTGTAATTTAATTGCAAACAATGCATTTTGCAAAACTTATTGGTTGTGTGATATTAATTTATGAACATAATAGATCATTCTTGTATTTTCATTTTTCTATTTAATAAATTATCATTAGCTATGTAAGAATGCACTACAAGTGTGTATTTAAACTTTTGATTGAATTATTTGATGATTCTATCAAGGGCAAATCTAGCTTTTATTATCAAATTTTTAAAAAGGTTCTCAATTTGATTTGTATATAATTTGTTGATTTCCTTAAATAAAAATAGCCAAAAATGGACCAAATGGAACAAACACGTTCTACTAGGTCATGACAAGATATGTGTGTACAGATTTAAAAAATACATGCTCTATGGTAAATTTCCAGGTCAATGGAACATGTCCTCCATCTAGATTCGCTTTTGATTCTATAAATGTATGTATATTAAGTAATAAAATTGATTCATTAATTCGTAGTCCTAACAAAAATTTATTTTTCACTTTGACTATTGCTTATGTCTAAACTGTGCCTAAAATGTATTAAAAGCTTATTTCTTTTATTCTTAAATCATCTACATAATAATGTTTTTGTTTTCATTAACATGTTACCTTTTTATGTATCCCATACCAAAATGTTTTCAGTGGGAGTATGGTATCTCTGCAGGGCATGAAGCTTCTATTTACCAGCAAGTAAATGATTAGACTTCTGTCTGACCAAAAGGAATAGAGGGTGTTCAATAAACTTGACTCATAATATGTGAAGTAAAATATTATTTTAATTTCTTACCATACATTATATTAGTAAATTAAACTTTATGCTCAAATTTATAATTTAAATTCATGCAAGCAACTTCTTCAAGTGAGCAGTCATTCAGGATGTCAAGTGGATAATAATTAATAAACTATGGCTGTAAGTCATTAAACCATTAATATGTAGTATAGATGTGTAAATTCCTTGAAGGACTGAGTTAATAGTTTTAAAAGCCTGTTAAATTAATCTTCCTCATTCTCTAAGTTAATGTGACTTCCAAATTTTCCATACAAATGAGCTTTAAGGTCGCTCATTTGAGATTTAAGCTCCTCACACTTTATTTCTAAGTCTCTGATTTCACTTTGCTTCTTGGCTTTCATGTCATCCAATGATTTCTGTAATTATAGAACAGACTATTATAAAAATAGCACTTCAGTGCAAATATGCTTTAAAAAATGTAATTCCCAATAATTTAAAAGTAATGGTAAGCTGGGACAGAACTAGGATTTTCCTACAGCACTGGAATATTTACTAAAAGACAATCTTTTTAATAAAACACTTAATTGTTTAAAACACTTGCGGGCTGATATAGAGAGATAAATTTAACTAACATGTAAAGTGTTTTAAACCGTTAGTGTCTTAATTAAATGTGTACTACTCGCGTAAAAAAGATACAAAACAATCTTTACTAAAAAAATATATTTATCTACTGACCAAGGTATCTTCTAGACTTTGACAAATAAAAACTTCGCCAACTAAGAAAGGAATTTTCTCTGAATCATCTGTTAGTGCCAATTCCTCTACAGCTTCTTCTAAATTCTTGATATCGTTTTGTTTTATTTTTAACTCATCTTTAATATCGTCAGCCTTTGCATTTAACCGAGCAAACTTGTTAATTTTTTGCTGATCTTCGAAAGAAATGTGCACATCCGAATCCTGTAATAAATCATACTCTGAATAAAAAAACTACTATATTTTTTTTAAAGTAACAAACCACTAAAAAATAAACCATTTAATTATAACTTGGAAGTTGTAAGACACCACACGAGTTAAACTGAAGTTTCAATATGTAACTAAAGTAGGTGTTAATTATTAGAACTGTTTACAATACCGGTTGATAGGTTCCTTTTCCACTAGCCATTTTTGTAAATATTTATTATTACTTATTTAAAAATGATGAAGGCAGGTTAGGACAGGGATCGAAGAAAATTTATTTGGGTTTTCACATATTTTAATATGACAGATTGTTATATTCTGTGGGGACTATGGGAATGATGTTATCTGTGACTGCTATGTATTCGTTACTTAGTAATCGAATTAATACTTGTAGATTTTTAGTTTTTTACCGCGCACATTTTTATGTGCATTCTGTTGGTTATTGTATTTTAACGAGAAAAAACAGTAACATTATTTATTGACCTACTGGCAACGGCTTCGGTTACCGCGGCAGTGTTCGTAGGAATAGCTTAAGTTAATTGTCTAAGGTCTCTAGTTATACAAAAATAGCATAATTAGGCATAATAAGTTAAAAAAAGTCAATTTCTCTACAGCGCACACCAGCGTTTTTTAAAAATTTAAAAAAAAAATTTTATAATAAAAATATTTTACGCCCGGGGGTGTTTTTCGGGAAACCCCCTGGGAAAAAAAAAAATCTCCCCCTTTTACCTATTACGACAACTACGACGAACTATTGAAGATCAGCAATAACTATACATATTGGACAAAATAACTAGTCTCAATATTTTACTAGAACATTGTTTATTTCGTTAAAGGCATATGTAGTTATTTCCTAGTAGATTAATAAAGATTTTAAAACGTTTATATTTATTTTCGGTAAATAACTTAATAATCTAATATATATTTTGTTTGATTGTGTTATTGTCATTAAATACATAAGTTCAAGATGTAATTGCTAGCCTTTGTTAGTTGTTATAATAATATCTCGCAACAGCCTGCGCCTGAGCAGAGCTGCGACCCCTCTACTGTTGTGACTGTTTGCGCCACGGCCCACAAGTCGCCATTCACTCACATTACTCTTTTGAACGTGAAACAACGCGCGCGCCCGACAAAAGTTTCTAATTTAGAAGTGAAGAAATTATTCGTGATGGAAAAGGAGCACCAGCCAGATTCAATGGCGACCATCACAATGAAACCAGAGTATCCACCATCAGAAGTGTACAGTGCTTCTGAACCACCGCCGGTAAGATAACCCCGCTAGTTGTTCCCTAATCAACACACTTTTATGTCACCAAATAATTCCGTAGTGTTTACGTATTACCAAACTTGTTCCTCGTTTACACATGCCGGTGAAATCAGGAAAAGACGTCCATAGTCATTATAAGCATGCATTAAAATATTTTTCTAGTCTTAATACGTTACGATTATAATTATTTCTTTGATAGTTTTTAAACGTAATAAATCATAAGGTAATTAAATAGTAATATATTGTGATCTATAGATAGAGTTAGTAATTTAGCTGAACGCCGGGAAAGTGCCTTTCTCTTAGCCTGTAGCGGTTGTTAGGTCGCTGGCGCGCAGCCATTCGTTTACTTAAATATCGTCGTATTTAGTATCTATTTCAAAGACGTTCTGATAGTTTTAGTCGAAGGTTTTGGATGTATGCTTATTTCTTGATTTTGCATTCACGTTCAATGTCGAGGCTTGTCAGTAGTTCGATTCAGTTTGTTTTTTTAATATCGGCTGTTATGAATACAAATGAAATATTTATTTAAAACGAGTTCGTCAATTCATTCTATTTGGACTTCGTTTTATTATGTTATAGTCTTTGTAAAGATACACGATATGGATTTACAATATATTTTGCTCTAAGACATCCCCAAATAAGTGAGTGGGTATAAGTTTTTGCAAAGATTTATTTACTTGAGGCTGGATCATCTTTGTAAACATATAAGTATATACGTACCACAGCATTCATTTCTGAGAATAACTATGAGATATGTGGCTATAAATGTGGGAAATTCATTGTTCTATTGTTCTCGCCCATCATTAACTTAAACATTATGTAATTACCATTCATCACGCAAGTCCGTTTGATAGGAAAAGTAAAAAAACCTAACAAAATTTTTCTTATAAACAAGATAAAAAAGTGCACATTATGTGCAATGTTTTTATATAAATGATCAAGTTAAAATCGGAAATAGATAATATCAGAAATACATGCTGCAGACTGCAAAATTACATATTACTGTGGAAGAGGCTTTATATGTTAATAGATCTATGTGGTTAGCACTTAAATGAAAATGACTTTTAAAATTATTAGTAACAATAGAACAATAATTAAGTAAATGCGCAGTGAAGTAATAAAATTCCAAGTAGTTTTGCAGTACCGTAATCGTTAATGGTCCCTAATGAGAATCTTTGATAAGTACCTCTACTGAAATCGATCTAGGCTCATGTTAAACAATTTTGATATTTTTTGGAAAAACCCATAATATTACAATAGTCATAATCAATAGTAATGTCAGTGTTAACATAAAGAGATCGTTAGCGGCTGCTTGACTACGACGTCGATGTCGCGTTGGCTGGACACAATAACTAGATTGCGTCATTGACTCTACTTTTAGTAACAGAATAAAAATTATTGTTTACATACAAGGTAGACACAAATTGCTAACCGACAACTTTAATTGAAGATTGAATAATACCTACGAAAAAGGGGAAAACCAGTATTGGTACGCAACCTTTGATCACAGATCATCAAATTTACAGCCACAATAGTGCTTATCGTAGAAGTAAAGCAAGTATAACTCACCATGACCACAATATCGTTATCTATTAAAATGAAATTGTTACAAATCTAAGACCATTACAGAGTTACGTAAGCGGAACTGATCTCAAAGATTGCAATATCCGCGCAATAAACTAAAAAGTTAGCACCGTAATTTTCAAGCAAGTGTAGTGTACTTGCGGTACTAACTTTAATATTGGCTTTCATAGAAAATTGTACCAAGAAAGTAGCTTAATTCAATTTATTGCTCTATCAAGAGTCTTGGTCCTCCGCTTAAGACTTTAACATAGTTAACATACAGCCCTATTAGAATGTAAATCAATATACAAGTTAACATTGCAAATATAAGAAATAGGAAATGGTACATCAACCACGTCTCTACGTGTCATGTAATCAAACAATAATGTTAGAAAGTGCCTCTCGGTCTCTATAACCGCATGTACACTTTGCTATTGGAATAATTATCGATTATTTAGCGATGCGTATGTCCATTCAATAAACTATTTTCGAAGTTTGTTTCGTAATACATGGTAATAGTTAAATACTGTCTATAGTTTACGCGAGTAGTACACATTTAAATAAAACACTTTAACGGTTTAAAATAGTCTACGATAACTATTACCATTTAAATAAAACACTTTAACGGTTTAAAACGCGATATATTAGTTAAACTTATTTGAAAATGATTTTTAACTAATATATCGCGTTTTAAACCGTTAAAGTGTTTTATTTAAATGGTAATAGTTATCGTAGACTATGTTCCCAGTCAATGCGCTAATCTTTTATTAATGTTGAATAATATAATTAAACGTTAACCGAGTTTGAAGCGACACTAAGCGGTTTCCATTTTATTGTGAAAATCGGTGTTGGCTACGGGTTGATGGAGATAGTAGATGGTAACACAAATTGTAGAGATCGAAACTGACATCGTTTCAACGTAAAACGTCGCGTATCCAATGCACTTATAAGTCGCTTTCACTTAATGCTGCACTTTAGAAGGATTTTGTTAATACGTGGGTTTCCAAATATCTAAAACCTTTAACGAAACATGGCAATTCCGTTTAAATAAAACACATTAACGGTTTAAAAGTGTTTCGTGCTCACGGAGAGACTCTCTGTGACCACGGTTGCTGCAAAGTATCCGAAACGTCGACTCTAGTTAAGATATTTTTGAAATAAGTTTAACTAATATATTTCGCATTTTAAACCGTTAAAGTGTTTTATTTAAATGTGTACTATCATGTAAACTAAAGACAGTATTTAATTCGAACTCGATTAAAGGTGGCCCCCAAGTGTCCTCCTGTCGTAAAAATCATACCGGTACTGGGATGTGTATTTCGATCACGACCGTAGATCAAGGACAAAACTTGGTCCGAACAATAAACATCTTTATTCACAATTGTGTTAAGTATTAAGAAAACACGGAAGTCGAAAGTAATCTAATGTTTATTGATACGTTATTATTCGATATGACACGATCGAACCAGGTGTCTGTACACGCTGATTGTAAAGCGTGCATTGTCTGTCATATAATAAAACCCTATACTATAAGTCTATATGGGAAGTAGTAGATTATAAATAAACTCATCAAATAAGCTCATCACTAGGTTTTCTTGTATATAAGATAATTTTTAAAATATGTAATTTTAAAAGAAAACATTCTAGCAATCAAAACTCACTCATTTTATAATATGTGTTAAATCTAACATTCTGTTATTATATACATATTGATAAAAGGTTTGTTAACTGTTATGTTTTTGGTCAATAACGGGAATCCCACTGTAGGTTATTCCTCTGTATTTGATTTATTTTGCCCAGTGGTTCTTATGCATACCTAGCGGTGACAATTATCATATTATAAAAGTTATTGATGTATTTTTTACATTGTTGAGTGACTAGAAATTTCTGTTTTTAAATTCGTAACGTAAAGTTACTGAAAGCGGCATTGTCAAAAGGACGTACAAAAATTAATGTTTCTGTGTATACATCAAAATAATAATTCCACACCGAGTATACCTACATATATATTTTAAATAATAACATAGACATTTTAATCTCAGACTTTTTAAGTAACGAAGCTTAACTGCATTAGTTTAGTTCAAGGTTGAAGAAACATTATATAATCAACTGCATTTTTAGCATTAATATTAGTAGGTTTAGATATATAATAATACTTCTGTTTTTCTTGAATTTTTAGGCTTACCGTCAAAGAGCATCATCAGCGGTCCAAATCGCGAGGATTGCAGCTCTAACGGTGGTGGCTTCATCATTTATCCTCGGTTCATTTATACTCGCCTCCAGCTGGATCGCCGCACGCGCCTCTTGCCACCAACTTGAACAGCTGGATGCTATGCTCGACAAGGAGTTAGCTCTAGAAGGAAGACCATACGGAAACGACGGTTTACTTGCGGTAAGTCTTTCTCGAGTAGAAGCTGTATGTATCAAGTGTGCCTATATTGTGTAATAGTCCTTCCTGTATTAGCAGGTACTGTAAGGTTGTAGCTATACGGTTTTCTGTTTCAAGAAGGTTGACTTAAAGAGGCACAAGGGCTTTGTGCGTTCTTATGTTACTTTGATCCTAGCAACCAATTAATATTGCTACGGAAAGATAAAGGATGTCTTTATGGAGTTCTAAGATGTTGATAAACATAATATTATTGTGGGAATAAATTCTTCGTGTTAATGAGAATAATTTGCGAAAATTTTAGGGGGGATTAAACATACTATAAATAGCTACTTCTTGACCAACGAGCCGTCAAATGTACTGTTAGACTTAACAAACTTCACACCAAAGTCTTAAAAATGTATAAGCGGATGACATTGTGTGTTACACTTACGGTATTGTGATTGTGTGAAGCTTAAATACCGTCTATAGTTTACGCGAGTAGTACACATTTAAATAAAACACTTTAACGGTTTAATACGCGATATATTTTAGTTAAACTTGTTTGAAAATGACTTTTTGCAGCAGTCGAAACGTCGGGCCGAAGTTAAAAGTCATTTTCAAATAAGTTTAACTAATATATCGCGTTTTAAATTGTTAAAGAGTTTTATTTAAATGTGTACTACTCGCGTAAACTATAGACGGTATTTAAGCTTCACACAATCACAATACCGTAAGTGTAACACACAATGTCATCCGCTTATACATTTTTAAGACTTTGGTCCAGCCAGAATGTTGTTCATACGATAAGTAGGCATTCGGTTTTCATGACTCATAAGTCCTTTATATTCTTGTGTATACAGAGCCGGTACTTTTTCGTGATGCCCATACGAATGTGTGAATGGAACAATACACACATGACACAACTTCTATTGTTTAGTTTTGTGTGTGGATAATGTTGTTTACAGTTAGGAACTATGTGTGACACGGTAACATGTTTCTAGCATCTCTTATACTTACGAATTTTTAACTTTATTCAGACCTATGGCCGCCTGCAGTAAGGCTGCTGTCTCCTATGGCGGCAAATAGACGCGATATGCCGCTAAAAATATAATGTTTTTGTCTCTTTCACACGCTGATGCCATGAAGCGTTGAATTTGATGTTAGTGATTAGTTAATCGACTATTGTTGTTGGGAGATGTCATCTTTCTTGTATTGAATAACCCATAGTATGTAATTGTAAAAGCATCATACTTCCTTTTGCTATACTCGTATGCTAAAATTTATAGGAGCGTTACACTAACTGCTGTAGGGTTGGAATAAAACGTAATAATCGTAGGAATATGTGATGAAAAAGGCCGCAAGGCATTATAATAACGTATATCAATATTTAAATGATGACAAGAAAAAAGTATATATTTTAAGTGTGTAATTTGTAACAAAAACTTGGTGTTCATCACCACCTGGGAGTGGCGGCGAGTTTCTTGCCTGTCTTCTTTTCGTTCGTTCTACACCCTTGATTTTAACTGGTGGTAAATGTATTTTTTTTTGAGTTTTGATGTTTAACTTAATTGAGGTACATGAGTGTTCCTAGCTATCTACACATAGAAATGTTTTTTTGATTTTGATTTTAATGCTAGAATTGGTACCGTGATAATTTTATAGCAGGCAACAGCCTAAATTCTCTTTAGACGTCTCACTTTGTTCCCGAGTGTTATTCGTGACTAGAATATAGATACGAGCCGTTTTACTTTAAATTCTGTTGCAATTTACTGCTGGGTGACGGATTCGCTCCCGGTCAATAACGTCCTTTCATTATTCTCTCTCTGATTTATTGTGTTTACTGCTGCTGCAGAATACTAAAAGCAACTCTTGACGAGCTCGTTCGTCTAGTGGTCAGAGTCAGCGTACCCGGTTCTAGGACCGAGATCATTCATGAAGATCTCATGGTTGTCGATCTTATTTCAGAAAATTAAAAATAAAAAATGTCCAATATTTAAGTCCAAACATTAATGGAATGCGTTCTAATACGGTAAATTAATATTTATAAACTGTGTGACTAATGTTTCTCGAACTGTGTAATTTGCATGATATATAGGTGTAAGTCGATTCTATACGTATTTTTCTGCGACGGTTGTATGGATCCATCTCGAATGATCGACTGTCTTTGTTCACCTTGAAGTAAGAACAATAATAATAGAAATTACTTCACCTTTAAATCGTTGTTGACGGTTAGAAATAATGATATATGTATAAGAAATAGCAGCGTTAATTTTTTCACCCATCCAAGATCTTTTAGCACAAAAACTAATATTTAAATATTAAATCCAATTGCTTTGTTTAATTAAATGAAGTGAGTGCCATATTTTGCGCTCGTTAGGTTTTATATCATTAAATTTGCCAGCCATTGGCTAATATCTGTGGACATGTATGTTTATTTTGTGTCGTGAGACGCCTTGCTAGGCAACGCTATACCGGATCACCTTGAATCTTCACAAACGTTACGCAAAGCTGCGCTTGCGCTTCTAACTTCTAAGTTTCTAACATAACGATTCTAATGAACCTACACAGAGATTTCTGTTGAACTCGAAGGTTATTCCGTCCTCATAGAAGATTTTTTGTTTATGGCGAAGGTTACTTTCATTGTAGTGCATATTAAATCAATTGCAAAAAAATAAAACTACGCATTAATAACAAGTGAGCCTCGACCGCTAGATCCATACTTCATGCGATGCCTATGTTTGAATCCCGGTAAAACAAAAAAAAAATACATATAGTATTAAATAATCAATATTGTCTGTAGTTTACGCTAGTAGTACACATTGAAATAAAACACTTTTTAGTTCTGATACGTAAAATCTATTACATAACTTATTTTTATTTACTCTACTACTACTGAAAAAGTTAACTGATAAAATTCGCATTTTAAACTTTTGAAAGTGTTTCATTTAAAGAAAAAGTAGGTTTTGAATTATTAACCTATAAATAAGAATTGATTAGTGATACAGACACCAACGTTCTCCATGCCCCGCCAGTGGAAACGGGTTGCCACTTTTTTTGTAAGCAATATGTTTTGAGAATCGTATGATCTATAGATGTCTGATACCTACCTGGTAGATTTAGTACAATTTCTCTGTGCGTAATTATCAACTATCATCTATTAAAGCTTATGTAGGTACTTTCTTATAAGATATCTTGTTGAATACAAAGGAAAAGGTACCTTTGACATTTTACATGCAAGAGGATTACCTAGTTGATTACATCACCAAGGCGAAAGTTGCACGCGGTCAGTGACCTCAGGTCGCGGATGCAACACTGCCTTTATAAACATTAAATATACCTATATGGAAATTCGCAAGCCTTTCTAATGCAACAAACAGTCAACTGAAATGATAATAGCAATTAGTATAACAACAGATATATAACAATATATTACTATTTTTCTCAATTACAATGCAAAAGTAAACAAATTTCATTTGTGTTTAATATAGGTACTGTCTGCAGTTTACTCGAGTAGTACACATTTTAAATGAAACACTTTTAACGGTATAAAAGTCGAAATACGAAAGAATATGTCGCTCGAGGTCATAGCTTCGATTTCCACCCGCATGTTCGTAATTTTCTGATTTTTAAACATGTCTATATTATGGAAAATTAGACATTGCATACGTTATAAGAATATTAAAATTCGATCCTGAAAACCACAGCCCACTTGTGGGAAAGCCATGAAGTGTTAAATCGGATTTCGGTTTAGTCTGTAGAGTTGAAATAATGAATTTCACGTCCCAAAAAGTGAATGCTTGCTCCTTTGTGGTAAAAACAATATATATTAAATATTGTTATGTTCTATACACTCCTGAGTGTACCTACAGTTAACAAGTTCGACTTTCTACCTTATTCAATCGCTTTCGTTTTTGCTTAAGTAAATGTGTTAGTGGTACCATAATAACGTTCTTAGTTTTTTTTTCGCTGGATTGTTTAAGAATTGAATGTAAACATTTAAGTAGCTTGAATTTTAAAAGTTACCGTAGCAGATATTGTTTAAAATGTGCATCGATATATACTGTATAACTAATCGACAAGTACTAGGTGATTTTTAAGTCATCTAGCTTAGAATTTCGTTTCTTTATATGACACAGGAGGACTACAAGGCAACAAGGGTTCACTAAATGTAAGAAAAAAATCCTTAACTATGTACATTTAATTAAAAACCGTTGTCGTCCAGTTTTGTCGCAGATTTGATCTATAGGACTAAAACCGTATTAACGAGCAGAACGACATTGTGAGTAGGACAATGGGTGAATAAGCATTATGGATGGTTAATATTGAATTTCGTAGAAAACAAAAAATCCAATCACGAGTCTAAAGTCACAAATGTTAAGATTACGAATATATAAAATATAGTTCTGTTCAAAATATATTATTTGGGATACGGGGCATAATCTGTGTGTTTAATCGTCGATTTTAAGTAGTAAATGTGACCCTGCCCGAATAAAACAATCTATTAAACATGGGGACAGTTTATAAATACGAATATAGGAACATACTTATTTATATGAATAGCATGTAAATGTTTTAATAAACGGAAACAAACGATTTTCTACCGCGGTCCAGCATCATTGTCGTTCCACCCGCGCGACGCCTACTCACAACAGTAGTACATACACAACGCAATATTAACAACAATGCCATATAATTATTTAACAATCGCGTGACATTTTCGAAAATGCAATCTGTCATTCTGACATGTACTGTGTGGCTAATAATAATCTGTGAACATTGTCCGTCTCGTAATAGGATCTTTGGATGAATCTTAAAATTAATCTGCCACTACTATTTAAACATACTTTGTCTAACAGGACAAGTTAGACAGTTCACGCCTATAAAGTATTGTATTCGAGAAACTAGAAACAATATCGTACTTAATTTATTGTAATAATGGAGTACAATAAACTACGAGTATTAGGTATTTATTTAGACAACTGACGTGGCATTTTTGTTTGTATATGAACTTCCGTACCGCAACCGCTAAACAGATAAAATTAAGGGCTAATAAAAGAACATGCTGAAAAACTTAGAATAAATTTAAACATAATTTTAAATTCTGTTGTTCAGTGACTTCTTCTATGAATGCAGATGAAGTTAAGAGAAGTAGGAACGAGATGCGTCAGTCTGAACTGGTACAAACATACCACTGGTAAAAATCAGTCTGGACTGGACTGGTACAAAAGACACACTGAGATTCATGATTTAATGGTAGCCAGTGGCGTAACTATACCGTTCGAGGCCCGTGGCAAATTCATCGAATGCCCCCCCCCCCACTTTCCCAATATATAAAGAAGCTGAACCAACAATTGAGATTTCCTCGGACCGGGGGCCTCTTCGGGCTGGGGGCCCGTGGCATTTTGCCGACTTGCCACCCTATAGTTTCGCCACTGATGGTAGCTTGGTTTTCTACTATTTTAATGGAAAACAATAAATAGTAAGGCACGTAAAAGGTCAATTCTCTTCACCGTACCAATTGTTTTCTGCGATAAAACAATTGCGTAGATAATTTTTTCCGACTTTTCTAAATCATTTAGCGATCAATAATTTTATTGTTCTACAGTCGATTGTAATTTCCTCAATATCACGCAACGGTTGAAGTAAAAAGCATTTACTGCGCCGTTTAGTTTCGTAAAAGCAGTAAAAGTGTTGTAGCCGTATTTACAATGCGACGATTGTATTGTCGACGTAATCGGAGTTTTCTATCGGTTGCGGTCGCGAAGACTTCTCGCCTGGCTGGTTCCTATTAGCTGACAGTGCATTTCCACACCAAATCACATTCAAAAGAGCGTTCTTCCAACGTCGATTTAAGTAGATTGACAATTGACAACTTGAAGTTTGAACTACACGAGTTGTTTTCAGTTTTCAGGACGAAGAGAAATCGTTAAAATACAAAAAAAAAAGACTTGATATAATAAAGAGGGGGGGGGGGGGGGGGGAAAAAAAAAAGAAAAAAAAAAAGAAAAAAAAAAATTTTAAAAAAGGGGAGGGTATGGGGGGGGGGGGGGGAAAAGAAAAAAAAAAAAAAAAAAAAAAAAAAAAAAAAAAAATTTTTAGAAAAGGGGAGAACCGGGTTTGTTGTGCGGGACCCCTTTATTTTTGTTTCTAGTATTTTTCTCATATAAATACATTTTGGGTAAACCTAGACAATGACAAACTATTACTGAGATTATATCCAATTGAATCCTATACTATTATAAAGGCGAAAGTTGTAGTATGGATGTATGGATGTATGGATGTATGGATGTGATTAGACTAGAGGAGAGAAAGTGCAATGGGCGGCCTTATCGCTAACGAGTTATAGATACGAAGTGATCACTAACATTTTTTTTGTCCCAAAACAGCGAACCACATTAGTTGTACGGGAAACCGCCTATATATTTTATGCTTCTAGTATTTTTCTCATAATTAAATACATTTTGGGTAACCCTAGACAGTGACAAACTATTACTGAGATTATATCCAATTGAAAGCTAGTAATAAATATTATCAAAAAAATCCAATATAATATTTAGTTAACTTAGTAATAAGTGAATGTGTACATTCTTTAACAAATGTCTAAAACCAAAAAATATATATCTTTAATAGTAGTTCATATACATGCCTATAAGTGAAATTCGTCTGTTTATTGATAGAGGACGACGGACATGCCATCAGGTTCACTTATACCCAGCCTATAGCATCTAAACAAGATGCACTGTCAACGCTAAACACAATTACCTTTTCATCTATTCGCATTCGTTACCCGGTCGGAATTTTTATATTCCTACCATTGTAATCCAGATTTCCAGACGAAGTCCAGCATCTTTCCAAATTATAAATTGAAAAATTAGAAGCATGTTGGACGTGTTGGGAATCGAATCCACGACCCGTCGATCATTAGCTATACATAGCTACCATTATACCAACGAGCCCAAGTCTACCGATTGTATAGATAATAGAATAAGTAATTTCAAAGGCAGTAAGCACTATTTATTTAAGATGATGCTGACGTGATACCGTCGTGATTTACAAATAGCGATAACCAGATAAACCAACTATTTAGAATGCAATTCTGTGTGTACTTATGTTTATATGTATAACGTATGCAGCACCACGTCAGTGCTAGCAGATTTTCCTTATTTTTTATTTGCATGTCTAAATAAAGCTGTTTGAGTACCTTCAAGCCATGTTTAGTTGAAATAACGTACTAGTTGTGTATCCTTTCACTCGAATATGCTAAGTTAGTGGATTTTTCCATTCAAAAATGAAAATATATACATTTGAAAGTGTTTACATTTTTAAATAAAACACTTTAACGATTTAAAACGCGATATATTAGTTAAAATTATTTGAAAATGATCTTTAACTTCGGCTCTACGTTTCGGATGCGTCACGGGGAGACTTAGAAATTTTTAATAATTAGAGTGATTGAACTATTTATAATTTTCAAATTGAATCAAATCATTTAATCCATACACACACAAAACGACAATGCCATAAATAATGGATGCATTTAGAGGGACACCAGCTTTTGTTGTACCTGGAAGTAGGCACAACGACAATTGTCTTCTGAGTTCATAGGATTTCAGTCTATAGAGGCACCGTACAGCCGAAGCCACGTAATCTATTGTATGTTTCCAATGCATTTCCTTAAATTTTCCTTCTAACAAATAGAATAGGAAATAAGAAGAACCGTGTGTTTTTTAACTAAACCTAATACTACAGTAATGCATTGAATCACTATTTATATTCTTATTTACAGGACGAACCATTACCGATTGGAAACGCTCACGCCCTGCATGCACAGGCTCCACTAGCCCCATCAACATCTGCTCCACCACAGCAGAACACAGCCGCGCCATCGCCAGATAATCTGTTGAAAGAAGATCCACTAAATCTAGCGGAATCTAAATTCGACGAAGATAAATTACAGGTAAATATGTAATATATAAAATTGTCACCGTTTTAATTTGCAAGACTGAAAGGGCTTCTTGAAGACCTGTATGAAATTTAGTAATAGGAAAAAATGGCAGCAAGTTTATTCTTCAGTTCTTCATTCGTTACTTCAATGTTGACTACCACAACTTCAATATTTCTTTACACCAATAAATGCTTAATTAAAGCACCTGAACAGTGTGACCTTGCAAAATATAAATAATAATAGAACTGACACGGACTTGTCTCTCGAAGTATACAAACAAGTTACATAATGTAATTTGTAGGGAAAAGAAGTAATACGAAGTACATAGAAGATGCTACATTGATTTAATTACTAGATAACAAGATGGCGTTCAAATGTTTATTTATAAACAAGTGATTCTTGCGGTTCGTTGATTTTGAGTTCAGGTGACCATGAAGGTCGATTTAAACGTCAGAATTAGCGGAAAAATGGGTGGTTAATTCGCAAACATTAAGTTGCCCAAAACAATGATTAAGTAGTTTATAAGTGAGTATAGGCGAAAAGCTAACAGATATAAATATTTGTATCTACGATAACAAATCCAGTCTATTGGTTACGTAAAGAAACGTGTCTGGGACTTCAGCGCACTGATTCTTTACGATCGGCTCGAATGACAAATGGTTGTTATATATATAAATACTAATGTATACAGTTCTATTTATATAAAGATAAGAAGCTAAGCGCACTTATAAATGATTTTAATTAAACATTAGTTAGCGATTAATATTCAAAAGAATTATATGAGTAGGAACTAGGAGTTTAAAAAAAATGTGTTAAAATATATTTGTTTAATAATTGTGTGGCGTTCGGCGCTCTTCAAATGTTATCGGGTGGGTTTGGTATTGCCGGTACAAATTTTAGCTCAGTCGAACAATATGGAATAGCTGTTTATTGACTACATAACTTGACTAGGTCCGTTCGCTTACGTGTTAAGCGTAAACCGTTTTGAATAATTATCAAACACATGTCAATTTTGTTTAAACTAAACCATTTTTTTTATTCGATTTATGTCAATTTCTTTGTAAAGATTCTACAATTATAGTAGTAGTAGTTTTTGCTTTCATAATATCTACAACATGGTAGAAACGAGACTTTGACTTAGCTGTCTTTAATGAATTCTTGTAGCGCTAGAACTTTAAGCTTAAAAATTTAAAAAATATGAACTAAATCTTTAAGAGGCTGCCATATAAAGACAATAATTTCTTATCTGTTTTTGCAAGATCTCAGATAGAAAAAGTCACTAAACTACGAATATCAGACCAACATATATATGTACGCTGCTGACTATCGCTAATTTAGTAAGTTAGGCTCATGGAGTGCGGAAATGTTTGCCAGTTACATGACTGTTATGTAAAAGCAACGCTACATATACACAGGTCGTTTAGATCCACGTCAAGTTTCTGGTGGTATACATTCTTGTGGGCTATTTTAAAATAATCGTTCTTTGCACTGGATGAAATCGTTGCCTGGATATTGTCATTTATTTCAATAAAGAATAGTTTTTATACCTATACTACCATACCTAACCAAATATACCTATTAGTAAAGGTCGTAGATTCAGTCAATTCCTGGGTTCAAATCTTGGTAAATACTTTTCGGGCACAAGTCCGATCACTTATTTTCCAGGTAATAAAATTGAAAAAGACACCGAAACGTAACTAGTGCACGAGAAACAGTAATATGAGACTATTATTTGTGTAATGTATGCTTACTTCTCCTCGTTTATATACTAGCTGTGCTAGTGACTTCGTCCGCGTATAATAGTTATTTTGTGCATCAAAATTCTAGCGTTTTTTATACATTTAAAGAGGAATTATCCCTTCATACATATTTTTTGGGTAACTCGAACCTTTTTGGCAGCATCGGAAATTCATAAAGATGAATAATTTTCCACTTTTTTTTATATGTAGTGATGTTTTATTTCCTTCCTCGATAAATACTCTACCAACACAAAAATATTTTTTCAATTCCAACCAGTAGTTCCTGAGATTAGCGCAATCAAATAAACAAACAAACTCTTCAGCTTTATATATTAGTATAGATTGTAACAGTGTTGTTTTTTGATATTGAAATGAGCCTTGCCTTCTTCTATATTCCTGTTTTTATTAAATCAGTTGTCATTGAGCTGAGTGTGGCATGACAATGGATTAAAAAATGAATTAACTAGCGTATAAGTAAAAATATTTACTAAGTGAGGGCAGTGGAACAATGGTGCGCGGGCTTATTGTCTCTCGCAGGATGTCCGAACGCTTTGTGCCAAGTAAACAGCACAGAACGAGATATTTCGAATACACGAGATTTTCATCAATAATAATTATGCATTAGTTTTTTTAGTTTGTAAACATACTTTTTCAAAGCTTCATGGGTTTTCGAGCTAAGAGCGCCTCCGTCGCGGAACGTGCGACTTGTCTTGTTGACGTCCTGCAGTCATTTCGCCGCCATTCGCTTTACTAGTTATAATAATAGTTGAAAATTCGTCTAATAAATAATTTCATATAAATTATTTATTTAAATAAAACACTTTTAACGGTTTAAAACGCAAAATGTGAAAGACGTTTCACACGCGTGGTCACGGTGAGACTCCCCTTTGGCATCTGAAAGCGTTTTTAACAGGTAAAAGTGTTTTATTTAAACTTGTAATACTCCATAAACTACAGATAGTGTACATTATGTAAATAATTATTAATATTATTTCATATACTTAATGGCCATAGTGAAATATTCGTTAATTAGGTATAATTTTAAGTTTTATTGTACCCTGTTGGACATACCCCTAAAAAAAATAATAATATGAGCTGTGACTGCCAGTAATAAACAATGATTTATAGTTAGACGTGGCGTGCTCTTTGCTTTGCAGTTTGCACCTACAGTGTACTGTTGGTAAACACCTGCAGAACCGTGTAATTTTACCAAATTACACGCCATTGTGTTAGACAGAACGTCTATGGTTAAATGGATAACTACCTTCGGGAAATTGCTAAAAGACGTAGCATACTTTATAGTTAACTTATATATTTTGCGTTTGAAACCGTTACAATATTTTATTTAATCTTAAGAGTTAACTGTAAGAGATCCAACAACGATTTTTTACGATTTACTTTATAGTTACAGTAGGAGGTCATTGCCATACTTGGTAAAGACCTTTCACTTGTTACGAATTTGGCTTACTTAATTTTATATTCCTGAAATTGCAAAATATGAAGAGTCGAATATATCAAATATGTAAAACAGGAGTAGGATTCTTGTATTATATTATCTTTATTCACATAATTTCGATTGTATATTTAATAGATATGTGAACTATAATATTATACATAGGTATTTGACGGGCTAGTTGGTGTAATGGTAGCAATGCATGGCTCATAATCAACGGGTCCTGGGTTCGATCTCCCACTGAGGCCAAGGTTTTTGTAATTCACAATTTTTTTGAAACATGTTTAGCTTTGTCTGGATATATGGATATTAACCGGACCGTCTACGGATGAAAAAGCCATGAAGTTTAATCACGTTTCGGTTTTCTGTCTGTCGATTTCCGAATATCCAAATCCAAAATAAGTCGACAATACATATTGTTTGATTGCATCTTCCATCAAGTGAACGCCGTTCTCGTTTGTCCTTCTCTATCATAAAATTATATTTGTTATATACTATCTTTAAAGTAGACGTTACCTCACAAGTAATCTTAATAATTGTCTTTTACAGAAAATTGACGAAGACAACTCCAAGTCCGAAGCAAGCGATGAAAGCTCAGAGTCCGAAAGTTCGGGAGAGGACGAGGACGAAGAGCTTATTAGACCGCTGTTCAAGTTGCCAATCCAATTTGACCTAGACGAGCTGGCGGGTGCTTTCTTGGCCAATAATAATCAGAAGTAAGTAATTCTGGTAAATACTTAAGTTGTTCGGAATTTACACTCCAGGCAAGAAGGCTATATTCGAGGTCTTTATTTACAGCCAATTTGTTGATTAGATTAGTATGACAACTAAAACTATATCAAAAAATCGAATTTCGGTTCTCTTGTGCTTAATGCTATGTTAGGAACTGTATTTAACCATTGAGCCACTAAGTCGGTAAGTATTAAGACGTACAAATAATTAAAGAAAAACAAAATCTTTTTTAGACAAAATGAACAGCTTATGTTTCTGTAACAAAAAAAGGTAACGTTGCATACAACTATTGATTGTTTAGTTTTCCATCTTCGTGTAAATGTTTATTTGACAATAGATAGTATTTTTATTATTTAGTTGCGCGTGCGACCTTAGATTCCATTTACTACAGCGAGCCAAGGTTTAAATAATAATTGAGAAGTGTGATACTATAAAAGGAAAAAAATCAAGGTTTTTTATGAAAATAAAGTAGAAAAAGATAAGTTATTGCATTTTCTTCAAGAACGCTTTTTTAGTATTTACTTAGACAAATGTAAATATGTATATGTAGGATATATAAGACTAGCATAATAATGCGAATCTCTTTTATTTTAGAGCATATAAAAAAGAAAATAAAGCAAAACGTTTTTATATAGAAAATTGAACTTATAAATATATTGCGCATTTGAAACCGTTACTGACGTTTTATTTAAACAATATTTTGGTTTAATATGTAATACTATGAACTCTTTTTATGCAGTGGTAAATAAGAATTATCTCCTATTTTCGTATTTATTTTCACAGAGGGCGCATGAACTGTGTAGTGGAAAGGCGTCACGAAGACCCGATCGAGAGACGATTCCCATTCAACATTCTCGGAGCTTTCGCCCCCAGAGCCACTCAGGCTGAACGCGTCGCCATTATCTGCCATGGAGGTGACGAAAGGTACTTTCAAATATTTCTATATAAAACATAAGTTTTATCCGTTTTAAAAACTAAATTGAAAGTAACAGGATTGGTCAAAATTTTAAAGGGGGGGAGAGAGAGAAAAAAAAAAAAAGGGGGGGGGGGGGAAAAAAAAAAAAAAAAAAAAAAAAAAAAAAAAAAAAAAAAAAAAACCCGGGGCGGGAAAAAAAAAAAAAAAAAAAAAAAAAAAAAAAAAAAAAGGGGGGGGGGGGGGGGGGGCCCCCCCCCCCCCCCCGCGGGGGGGGGGGGGGGGGGGGCCCCGGGGGGGGGTTTTTTTTTTTTTTTTTTTTTTTTTTAAAAAAAAAAAAAAAAAAAAAAAAAAAAAAAAAAAAAAAAAAAAAAAAAAAAAAAAAAACAAAAAAAAAAAAAAAAAAAAAAAAAAAAAAAAAAAAAAAAAAAAAAAAAAAAAAAAAAAAAAAAAAAAAAAAAAAAAAAAACCCCCAAAAACACAAAAAAAAAGGGGGGGGGGGCAAAACGGTTTTCCCCGGACCCCCGGCCCCCCCAAAAGAAAAACGGGTAAGGGGGTGGGAACTGTGGGAAAGGGGGGGGTTAAAAAAAGAAAATTTTGAACAAAAAAATTTTAAAATTACCCAGCCATACATAACAAAAAAAATTTTTAAGTGTGTTTTTTCGTCCTTCCTTTACGCATTGACTACGTGACTCAACTGATAGTTTTTTTAGTGTATAGATAATTATATATATAATTATATGCATAAACCAAAATCCGTAATACCACGTCGGCCCTTTATATATAGATGTTTCGCGTTTTACGAGCCAGTTACTTATGATTTGTCTACAAAGCATTATTTACAAGAATATCTGTACGCCTAATGGAAATCTTCTTCGCTGTGAATGGGAAACATTTTACGGGCTACAACTGGAGATTGTCAGAGTTATATTCCCTCTGGGCTCGAAATTCTTGTCGTTCATTTGTTATCCAATTTTTCCGAACGCCTTTAAATATTTTATGAACTCCTTGCGTTTTATTATACTTAGATAAGTGTGGGTGTATTAAATATTAATTCATTGTATTTATTAAATGTATTACAAATTGAAAAAAATATCAATTCGCGGGGAATTGTATTCGTATATATAATACATTGCCAGTTGATGTTTCAAATTTATCGATAAATAAATTTTAAAAAGTTATAAAATTTAGATTGTCTCAAAAGGCGTATTATTGTCTGAACGATTTCCCCGCAAAGATTACCCCGCGAAGAAAGACCGCCTGGCAGTAATATGAATTGCTCCTTAGGTTAATAAATTCACAATGTATAGTTTATAAGACATGTTCAAAAAAGCCGGACTGAGTTTCTTGGGTGTTCTTCTCAGTTATGTTGCTCTTTTGAACATTCTGTAGAATAACGACGAACAGACAGACAAACAAAAATTTTTTTACGAATCTAAATGATTTTTAAAATTTTCAAGAGAATAAAGTATATTTTATTTTATTTTATTCACTAAATTATACTTCATTGAGAAAAAACTTAACTTTACGTTTTTAAAACTGTAGTAAGTTACATTTCGTTAAAATAGTAATATTACAAAAAACAAGGCTCCCATAAAAAGTGCTATTTACAATCAGTAATCATTACTTAGGTTCCATATCATATTGTAAATTAAAGGTCTACTTCCCTAACCCATCTCTCGAGTCTCTAGTTCTGACGGAGCGGTAGGTCGTTACCCTATAATAAAACTATCGGTGCCTTCAGGGACATTCGGAAAACAATATTAAACTAATCTAAGCTATAATATTTCAATATAGAATCTTGTCAGACTGAGCTAACGCATTACAAAACTAGACGTTTTATCTTCTCTACAGAGAGATGTCGCTCTAAGAAATATAGTATTTTGTATGAAAACTTTAATATCTTTCATGTTTTTATATATACAGCGTTCCATGACGTTGCTATAACCAATTGAGTTACCGTGTCCTATACGTTGTCGTCGAATTTTTTCAACCTCTTGATATACACAATGGCATAGATGCACCTTTCGCGCAATGTAATTTTAACACACATTTTAATATACATGGTCGTATACACGTCAACTGAAAAATAATATCACGTTTGTTTCAGACCCATGCCGATGTTCCCCGATCCCCAGTCGCAAGTGTTCGCCTTCCCCCTGTCAGGTCCTGTTAGGCTGCCAATCAGACCTCAGCCAGAGAGACCATCGATGCCAGCACAAGCCCCCGAAGCCAGAGCCCAATACTCCCCTCTCCCTCAGAGTCGCCCAGTGCCATTCCCGATGTCGGTAAGTACCTAGAATGAAAAGTATTCTTTAAATACTTTCTGTAGTTTACGCGAGTACACATTTAAATGAAACACTTTAACGGTTTAAAACGCGATATATGTTAGTTAAACTTATTTAAAAAATATTGTAATTACGACCCTTAAATAATTTGCTAAGTGTTAAGCAGAGGTCTACTGTTTCGATATCTCTCGATTCTGTTCACAGTTCCTGTTGTATCTTCGCTTCTATTTGTCATAGCGCAATGTTTTATAGCCTTCCACGATTAATGCTCTAACCAAAATGAAAAAATTTTTCAATGTAAACCCGTAGTTCTTGAGATTAGCGCGTTCAAACAAACAAACAAACTCTCTCTAGCTATTATATATTAGTATAGATTAATCATGACCATAAAATAATACACAGTCTTAACATACTACTTCTGTTTTATGCCACACGAAATGTTTATTTTTAAAGTATCATATTACAAGTCGTCAGATCACCTTATATTCGCATCACTTCAGAAATAATGAAATAAAACGCATCTACAAGTACGCCTTTACGGGTTAAAAATAAACTTATATAATGAGATTTTTCATTACTAAGCAAAAAAAGGGTAGAGCGGGAACGCAAAATCGGCATGAGTGTTCACGAAAACTTTTTACTTTTTGTATATACATCAGACGAAGGGTCGTCGTACTTAGTACTTACCGGTTTTCGCTCCCGAAATCCACACTTCTTACGCAACATAATAAAATACACATTCTTGGTATGAAGGAACTTCAAGGATTTCGATTTTATAGTCTGTTCAAAATAAATAAATTTGCTCTCAAAATAAAATCTTGAAAAGATTAAACGAAATAATTTGACATTCAATATCGTAAACATATGTGTAAACAACGTTTTTTATCATATATAATATGATATGGGGGGAAAATTTTTTTGTTTTTTTTTTTTTTTTTCCCTTTTTTTTTTTTTTTCTTTTTTTTTTTTGGGGGGGGGGGGGGGGGGGGTTTCCCCCCTTTTTTTTTTTTTTTTAAAAAGGGGGTGTGGGGGGGGTTTTTTTTTGGTAATAATTAAAAATTTACCGCTTGAGGCACGGGGGGTCCTGGTTTCGAATTCTGGGAAACTATAAATTGATACGGTCGTTCGAGACACAGAAGTGTGTTCAATTACATATGTATTGTTTGCACACGTATAGCGATATCGATCTTTTAAATTATCACATAAATGCCCCATGCCCCACAACGGTAAGCTGGGTTTCACAATGTTGTATGTAGATTTAGTTCATATATTTTCATATTTAATCCAAGTTCATACATTAAAACTCAATTAAACAGGCTACAGTGAGTAAAATAAGCTTTTTCGTATTAGTAAACAGATCACGTACGAATGTCGTAGTTGGCTCCATTCAGCTATCGGGTACCCACCACAATGCACCCTCGCCCTGTTTTAGATTACACACACAAAATGTGTAACAAGTAATTTAAAGTGGATGTTTTCTTTGCAAAAGACATACTGGGTTCAATTTCCTGGGAAGTGATCGTTTTTTTTGGTTACCTGTAAAAATTATCAACCAGTAAAACGGACACACAAATGTGTTCGCCTCATACCCTACGGGGAAACTTTGATATAACAAAACTATTCATATACGTGTACAAATTTCAGAAGTTATTTTAATTATAAATAGACACAGTGTAACAGAATACTGTCTGTAGTCTACGTGAGTAGTACACATTTAAATAAAACACTTCAACGGTTTAAAACGCGATATATATTTGTTAAACTTATTTGGAAATTATTTTAACTACGGCCCGACGTTTCGGAAGTTTTGCACATTAGGAAATACACAGATTGAAAGTTTGAAACCATTCAGTTAATAATTCAAACTTAGTCTGTGTACGATTTTGCCCCTTTTTTGTTAGTTGATTTGTGACCCGTTTATTATCCTGATTTTTAGTATTAGATCAATACGTTTAGAAAACTAAGAGCACTAGAAGTTATTTGTTAGCATATGATGTTGTTCTACCACTAGATCGTCTGTAACGAGTCCATGTAATCTAGGAAGAGCTTTTTAAAAGTTTTTTCAGAGCCATTGGCCGGGCTTGTTCATTCGACCGTTCAATCAATTTATATATTTTCTGAAACATATTGGACTTCATCTGGAAACCTGTATATTAAATGGGTGTGTGACGTGTGAAAGCCCGTTTCCCCCTCGTGGGGCATGGGGCGAACACATTTCTGTGTCCGTTTCACTGATCCGTTCTTTTAACGCAAGTAGTTGATGAGACTTCTGTGCCCTGTCCGATCGAAACAATGTAATGTTTCCCTGGGATTCGAACCCCGGGCCTCGCGCTTAACGCAATGCTAGGCAATACGTTTAACCGTTTGGCTACATAGGCGGTTAAATAAATGGTATATTAAATGGATAGTAATCGAAATTCCGTCCAGGTCACGAACCACCGTCCACAGATAAAAAAAACCGTCAAGTTTAAACACGGTCAATCGTGTTTTACTTTCAGCCTGTGGATTTCCAAATATCTAGAGCGGAAATAGGTATATATATGGCCATCTTAAACAGTTAAATTTGGGCGCAAGTAAAGGATGAGTTGGCAAAGTACTGAAGATTGTATGAGTTGTTCTTATCGAGGCTTAATAACGGTACTCAATGAGCTCTGAACACAATGAAGATGTCAGTGGGGCAACTCACTAGCAATCTCCTTTCAATAGCTACATAACTGTACCGCAGTGCTTTTATATTACAACATTGACATCGAGAAACTCTTTTGCATAAAATTAATTTGGGGCATCCTTATAATTTCGAGTATTCATTCTTTGCTGTTACAGCTTTTGTAATTATTGTTGACATAGTAATTCTATTATTGCATTGACTTTTTAGTGAAGGGGCAATATCTATCAATGTCTAAATTAGTAAATAAGTCTCCTTTTTAAATATAGTCCGATTATATAGATGTAGTAAGTGTCACTTATACTATCTTCTTATTCCTATAGGCTTTTTTCTATTGTCGTTTTATTACTTTTTTATTTAAAATGGTGCAAAGATACTCCCAATAGATATAGTCATTCAATTTAAGTCATACAAAATTCGTTATCTCTATGAAATTTACTAATTACGGTTACGGAAAGGAGAAAAAAACCAAAAAAAAACAAAAAAGTAAATTTTGAAGAGATGGTGATTTATAACAAGTTAAATATAGAGAATGCAGATATCAAGGCTGAGCTTACAATAACATCGCAGTGAGATGTAAAAAATGCGCGGCAAAAAATTCAAATGGAACTATTCTTTGTGAGACCTTTGAGAGCCTCTATCATTATTTTAATTTAAATAAAACCTTCTTTTCAGAACCGTAATAAATGTTGACACTAATATGGCACTCGTTGTAATATAATAGCAATAATAATTTATTTATTTAGTACTGGCAACTAACAATGACATTTACAAACATGGTAACAACGTACCTATTAGTTATAGAAAATCTACAATTAAGCCCAAAACTGAAAATGGGTTCTTGTTCTGTTTAAAATTAATACCAAACTATATTCTTTAATAATAAAATTCTAATATTCCCATATAATATTTATTTTAAGTAAGTCGAAGAGAGAAGTTCAATTCCTGAACGATTCTTATAACTAAATTCAAAATGCATGCAATAGTTATCGTAGAAAATTTAAAACCTTAAGTTTCCTTTGTAAGATCTTCTCAAGGCTTGTAATTATTGCGTCGAAGTTGAAGGGCGGTAGGTAAATGCCCTATTTACTGCCCTCGACTTTGCGAGCACAGGTATGTTGTATTAAACCTATATGGAGTCTCTCCTTAATTAATTATCTTCAAAAGATGATATTTCAAACACATTATAGCTGAGAAAAGCTTTGTGTATTATGCAAAGTAATTAATGTTTATTAAATTTGCCGTCTTGTATATTTATAAATTTATAAATTAAATAGAAGTAATTTGACTGTTATAGTTTTATATTGATACAATTATAAATTAGTTTATTTACTTTTTAATATGCCTATTCAAGTTGTTTTCACTATATTATTGGGCCAAATTTATGTAAAGTTATTATATATTATATTTAAATTTATATTAACTTGAATTGTAACGGCACATAATGAGAGTTAACGCACTGCTTAAAGGTCATTTACTTATCAAATTTCAATTTTGTAGTCTCAATTTTGGCTTTTCGAAGTCGCCGTATTATATTTAAAGTTTCAAAGTGTTTTATCTACCTCCGACATATTACTTCACAGAGCACACAAAATAATTCAACAAACACAAGCAAAAAGTTTCAATCACCCACCTAGCGTTTTTGCTTTGTTCGTCAAAAAGATAAGCATGTTATTTGAATATAATTATAGTATTATTACCTGATAGCATCTTCGGATCAGTTGATTACCTTGACAATTTTACATCAGGAATAGGACGATGTTAGAAGTGAAGATGATTTATCTCAGTAAAGGCGTTTACAGTTATCAGAGTTCTATGCCCTTCTGACGATCATGATCCAGGATCGGAATCCAGGATAATGTGTCGCACTGTTCAGCAAGGGACGCGGTTTCACTCGCAAATATAATAATGATATTCTCCACCTGTCGTCAGTGCCATACACATCTACGTAGGATAATTAACAAGCATCACAATATAGTATCTATATTGCTGTTTACCTTGGCTGTAATAATATATTCTAAGGTTCATAACACTACTTACAAATGATGCAAGTGACATGTTGTATAATTGCTAATTTACCTTTGGAATTTGTGTTATAATTAGACCGTATTTTAACGGGTTCACATATGTTTACGTTTTGTATTAACTCCGTGACGGCACAGTTGACTGAATAATGAGGCTTTAGTGGAAACTTGCTATTGCCTATTACCAGGAATTAGTACTCGATCTAGTTACAATTTAATGATAGAGGAATTCCAAAAGTAATTCCTAATAAAACTGATGTCTTAATTTAATATTTAATATTTAAATTAACGGTACACTTTTTTAATCAACT